TTTCTTCAGACTTGGAGTTCTTAAATTTTGAATCGCTACTGTTTTTTACATGAAATAAATTAAGGAATTCATATATCGCCGTGTATTCCCGAGTCAAAATTTAAGTCGTAGATTCAACGTATTGAACGTTTAAACCGTAAATTCGACGTATTGAACGTTGAAAACGTAAGTTCAACGTATTGGACGTTGAAATCGTAATTTGAACGTATTGAACGTAAAAAATATAGATTCAAATGTTTTAAGAAGAATATATGATCCGTAGTAAAAATTAAAAGTTACAAATGTCATATACCAAACCGTAAAAAATAACCTATAGTCTAAATTTATTTAAAAGCTTTTCCCAAAGATTTGATGATTGAGTTAATGTTTAGCTACTTGCTTATTTAATCAACTAATAAAATTACGGTTGATTGGAATTAAGGAAGTTATTAAATTAAGATTGATTTTTGAGAGCCAAATTCTCATTCAATCTCGATATTTTGAGATCTTTGAAAACTATTAGATTGATTTTCATTTGCATTTCAAAAATATTTTGAAGATTTGAGGAGCTCATTGACCGACTTATAGTTAGATTTTCAAGCATAAAGCTTCAATATACCTAAAATTTCATTAATAATTAAAATTTTCACTTCAGTGGAATGAATTTGTAAAATATACTTGCATGCATGGTGCACCAGCAAAATTTAAAATCAATTTACGCTCACAATACGTTAAATACGTTCAACTAACGTTTTTAACGTTCAATACGTTCAAGTTACAATTTCAACGTCCAATACGTTGAACTTACGTTTTCAACGTTCAATACGTCGAATGTACGATTTGAACGTTCAATACGTTGAATCTACGACTTAAATTTCAACTCGGGTTCTATAAACTTTGTTTCCAGATATTTCAGACTCGTTACAGTCAAAGCTGTAGAGACTCCTCTAAATTATTATTTTCAATAATTAAACTTGTGAAAATAGCTTTTATATTTATAAAATTCTTTTAAAAAATAATCTTTAAGAATTTATGTTACTTTGAATGTTCTTATATAATTCTAATATCATTTTTTACGTGTAAGTAATTATAACCTAGCGAAAAAGAAAAAATTGATTAACAATTATTCTTTTATAATTGTTTAAACGCATTTAAATAAGACAATTATGATCATAATTATAGACAGCATATTTACTAATAATAATAAATATAAAATCTTTAATAATTATATCCCTGAGTTTAATCACTCTTATCTACTTAAATCTACTTTTAATTAAAAATTATTAGTATCACGTAAAGATTTTAATATTGATTAAATTTATCACAGTTCGTACGGGATCCATGTACTTTCATGAAATCTCTTATTCATAAAATAAACTGTAATTTTTAAGTATCAAAACTGATATAACAAGAATAATTTTTTAGTCGCATTACAAAAAATGATTCTAACGCACTATAAAAATTAGATAATTGCCATACAAATATAAATTCTCTTGTTGCCTTAATTCACATCTGATGCGTTGCATCAGAGAATAAAGCAAAGAGATTTAATAACAACAAAATATTAATTGTATGGCACTATTTATGTCAACTGAAAATTCGTTATATTTATAATAACTGAATTCCAATTGCACTTCAACAGAAAAAAATTTTTTTCTGCCCAAATTTTTTTTGCTCACCAAAGAAAATGAGATGATGAACTTCTTGGACGACGTAGAGATGCCTTGGGAGGAGCCATCAATTCCCATTTAGAACGTGAAGTGTATCCTCCTGATTGGTTTTGCAGGGGCAAGATTTCTCGAAGGTAACTAATACGTTCTGATGGCTTGAGTCCAATACAAATAATACTGAATAAAAAAATAAATTAATAAATAAAAAAAAGTGAATGCAATTATTCAATATTTTATAAACTATAAGTTTACGAATATATAAATCATCATACCTGCTGTGTTTTGCATGGTGTATTTTGCCATCTCCTATTCATGAAGGATTTTTCTAACAGAGAATTCGGTGGACTCATCTAGTTATTAAAATGAAAACAATATTAATTATCCAAAGAGAAAAAATAAATTTTATCATTGATTTTTTTATAAAAGAATTCTACAAACATACCTGTACTTTGCGTGTATAGAAGCTCATGTTCGAATTCGGTGATTCGGGTGACGATGGATTCGAAGAACTCTAATCAAAATTTAATCGAAAATTTAGATATTTTAACAAATAAGTACATATCAGTATTTTTTTAATTATAAATTTACCCATTCTGATTCTGACATATAATAACCAAATTTTTTTATGGATTTCTTCTTCTGATTGATGCTTGAAAAAGTTTGTGTATGGATGACCAACTGTTTCATCAACTTCCATTGCCAAAAAGTTTGAATAGAAAGGCATCTATTCCAAGTAATGTCTCATTAGTACTGAATATAATAATTAGTGAATATTGTACTTAAAGTAAATCCTACAGATAAATAAACTGTTAATTTTACTTGTAATCTGAGAATTTTTGTGAAAATAAAATTAGCAGACATCTGAAAATTTTTATGATTTTTTTTATTGAACAAATTAGGTATTGCAAAAAAATTTCAAATGTAGAAAATTTGAAAAATTATACGTGCAATTTTTTGTAAGTGTTTTTTACTTGTAATTTAATTGATAAAAAAGATAAAAAATTTTTGAACATCGGCTAATTTAGTATCATGAATTTTTATTCAAGCTTTAGACTTAAGAACTTCATGGAAATAATGATATAAATGGAAATAACGAAATAATTTATTTCTAAGGTGATTATTGATATATTTTTCAGATTATTCTTCCGGTAACATTAAAATATGAAGATTTCAATAATTTGTGCTTTCACAGAAAAATAATTGTAAATAAAAGTATCCTAAAATCTTAAACATTGAAAATAGCAAGCATTTGATCATATGTTGTCTGTAATTATAATACGATTAAAAATTTTATTTTTTTTTTTATTAGTGTAGAAAGTTTATTATAGTTCATACAAAAATTTTGCCAAGAAGTAATTGGTAAAATAAAAAAATTTTTAAAAATGCATTAACTACGGCTCACCCTTATTAACAAGTAAATGACTGAGATTGTAGAATATTATGTGCTATTCCATCGGATTCAAACTTATTAACAAAATCATTAAACGTTGAAAAATTGTGACAAATAAAATAAATTCAATTTTAGCGATAATCTTGGTTTATATAAATTTTAAAATCTAAAAAATCTTGTATAAAAATGTTTGAAAAATTATAAAATAAATTAAAAACTTACGTTGATGATCAGCAAAATAAATAAACGAACAAAGTCAAAAAATGTTTCGTGGATAATTAGAAACAAGAATTTATAAACGAGTCGAATTTGTTTTATCACCACGATTCGATAAAGAAATAAAACGAGGAATGAAACAAAGATTATTCTATTCAAGCGTTATAAGGATCCGTCACAAAAAGAAGTGTGCAGACTCGGGGTGTTTGAATCGGACTGGACTTGCCCTACAATCGTATCCCTTCCTACGATGAAATAACGAGTAGTACAATAGAGTCTTTGCAGTTTTAAACCTGAAGTTAGAGAACACTTGATTTGAGGATTTGAAAAGATTCGATGAAAGGTTGATGAGTAAACGGATTAAATTAATACCGAGTATTTTAATTATTATACTTTGAATTAGGTATTACTATTATTTATTGCTATAATCTGTATTTCTTTTGGATTTTAGATTATCCTAGAAGTAAAGTGCCTTTATTTAAGCGACAAAATTTTTCTTACTAATATAACCCAAGCTAAAGTTAATGGCAAACATTAAAATAAATTTCGAGATAATTTTTACTTACAAGTATAAAGTAATGCAACAAAAACTTCAACCATAATAAATTTATTGCTGTGTGCATTCTTGATTAAAATCTGAAAATCAGTTAGGATATTGGAAGTTCAATTATTTTCATTAAAAAATGTTTTGAGTAAGAATTTATGACTAAAAAATATTCAAATAATTATACACTTTAAATAGTTTTAGGTTTAAAATTATTATTAGAAATTTCATCTAATAGAGAATTTACTTTCTTACAAAAAAAATCATTCAATATTTTTCAAAATATTTTCAGCCACCATTTTTTTTTTCATTAACTAAGTAAGATAAAGATTTAACTTTTCGACAATTGTAATCTTAATAATATCTGGACACTTATGAGATACCGAAGTTTTTTTCAGATATTCAAAGTAAAAGATGCGCATGTATTTTGTGTAAATTTCTTGGTGGTTTTTTGAATAAAATAACCAATGAACAACATATTTATAAAGAATTTTTATGTTTTCTTAATAATTTTTTAAAATATTTGTTAAAAATTTGATATATTTTTCATGAAAAATATAAGTGCCTCTATTTCCTATTATAACTAGAAATTTAAATAGCGCGCGCCTAAATTTTAACCAATTATGAATCGTGGCCCGTTTTTTGCGAGTTTCGACCTTTGACTAACTTCAAGATTTTCATGTATTTTAACTTAGAGGATTTATCAAAATTACCTCACTATTACAGATTTTTTTAAATATGTAATTAATTAATTAATTTTAAAATCATCACAATATTACGAACAGTGTTGTCATTTATTTCTAGATTTTACTCACATTTATTATATGATAGTTGCTGCCATAACAACGTAAAAATTTAAAACGCATGCGCATAAGGAATGTTTAAATTTTCCAATCATACTCGAAGTTTTTTTTGACATGAATTAAAAATAATATTATTTTGGAGATTTTTTTTTTTTCATTACAAGAGAAATAAAATTTTTTTCCTATCAATAGGGCATGAAATTCAATTAAAAAATATATTGAAAAAAATTCAAGACGTACGAATGGCAAATATAGTTTCTCAAGTTGGTCAATGTCCGAGGGGCGAGCCATTTTCCTCTTTCATGATTATAAGTCGCATGGTGTGGTAGTAGTCTCTGTATATTCGCAACAGTTATTATCAGTAAATTATTTATTTGGTGTTATATTAAAATCTCAACATGCCGAAGAATAAGGGTAAGCAATGAAATCATACAAACTTATAATGATAGTTCGTTATTTTCTCTAAAAAACCATAAATATAATTTAATTGAAATTTTGACGCGACAATAGGGTTAGTTTTTGTCTGGTGTCAATTTTTATATATTCTGATTTCATAAATTTTTTTTTTTTGTCAAATTTTATCGAATTTAATCATTCATCAATTCTTATAATATTTAATTAAACTCGTTTTTAGGAAAGGGAGGTAAAAACAGGAGGAGAGGAAAGAATGAAAATGAAACAGAGAAAAGAGAGTTGGTATTCAAAGAAGACGGACAAGGTAAGATCCATTGTAGCATACGTATATGTTTTTGGTCAAGGGCATTGATAAACGTAAATACAACTGAGATATTTTTTTTTTTTTTGTTTTTAGAATATGCTCAAGTGACAAAAATGCTTGGAAACGGTCGACTCGAAGCTATGTGCTTTGATGGAGTCAAACGACTGTGTCATATTCGAGGAAAACTACGTAAAAAAGTCTGGATCAACCAGGGTGATATTATATTGATTGGACTCAGGGATTACCAAGATGCTAAGGCTGATGTTATCTTGAAATATACCGCAGACGAAGCTAGGAATCTCAAGACCTATGGAGAATTCCCAGAAACTGGTAAAATATTTATTTTGATTGTTATTGCAAAACTTTCACTTTTATTTCACAATGATTAATTAGAAACTTTTATAATAATTTTATTATTTATTATTTTTTAGTTCGTATTAACGACACCGTCACGTTCGTGGAAGATGGATTTGATGAAGATATTGAGTTCGGTGATGAAGTTAGTAGTTCAGATGAAGATGACGTAGAAAATGTAAGATATTATTGATATTTAATTGATTTGTTTAACGTTCAAAGTATTTTAATTATTGTATACTTATCGATTTTATTTCAGATCTGATGAGTCATAAAGGAATAACAAGAAAAGTGGTAGGAAATAAAATCTGGAAAAATAGATAAGATCGGTTGAACCTCAACAATTTAATCAGGTCAAAAAAATTGAATTAAATAAATATATAAATAAAAGGAAGCAAGTAAATCTTTAACTTCCACGTGTAAAAGTAATTGTATCTATAAAATAAACTATCATTTTTTTCGTTTACTTTTTCATAAATGTCGTCTTATCTGTAAACGCACTCGAGTTATAGATGTCATGTACCTCGAAATACAATTATTTAACTTTTTTCATCCTTCTGTGAAAAATATTCGTACATGAATATTACAAATATGTAAACTTTATATGACAATTAATTGATTCCATTATGATTTTAATTTATTATTAATGATGTCGTAGTTAGATTGTTATTTCTTAAGTAATTATTAATTTTTTAGACTTATACGCGAAAAAAAATTTTTAATTTAACTTATTGAAATATATAAAATTCTGTTAAATGAAAACGATGATCATAATTAATTTTTTTTTTTTTGTTGATTTCGATGTAACTTGAGATTGGTTGGTATTTTTGAGAAATTTTTTAAATTAAATATATAGCAAAATTATCCAAAAAGGTGTAATTATTTATAAATATCCTCTGAATCATTGAATAATTTTAAGAAACATTTTTGATTTTTTCATGCAAACGTACCACTAACAATAATGTTTATTTTCAAAAAAGATAATATAGAATGAGAAATTAAAAATTAAATAGCCACTACAAGTGATTAATAAAAAATTTAAAAAGTTAATACATGTCAATAACCAACATTATTTATTTATTATCATAAGCTTTCATTATTAACTCTATCACAATTTACAATATGACATTTTACTCAAGATGTCTGTTAAACATGAATAGTAGTGAAGGGTAAAGAAGCTGTATAGGTTTTTTTTATGTTCTTTGGTTGTTAGAATTATTTGCTTATAAATAAGTTAAACTGAACCGTACAAAAGTTACGAATAATTTGTTAAGTCAATACTAGTATCCAAAATATTTTAATTCAGTACAATAGAAAAAGAATAATTAAATTCGTTAAACATTCATTCGCATACAATTACCATTTTATATAATAATTCAGTTTTTTAATTAAATAAAATTGTAGATAAAAATAGTATTTGAATACTTGTATTAACATCGTCATTAATGGCAAATTACATTATATTAGTTGATGGTGAATAGATGAAGAAGATTAATATCATATACATATTTGATAGAGTTAAATGGTTGTGCCTTTGGTCCTTAGGTCAACTTTGGGCTCTAAGCAAGTATAGTAGGTACAATAATTTATAAATCTTAAACGTGCAGCCATATTTTCATCAATACAATATGTTATTATATTTATAGAATGTATACTTTAATTATATTAGCTAATTATTTCTTCAGCTCACCTCGTTAAATCCTTTTTCAATCTAAATATATAAATATGCTTTAATTTCTCCTATTAAACTTTTTCAACCATAAAGACAACGAAAGACTTCCTCGAAGGCTTTTTATAAGTATATATAGTCTGTAATAACTGAATAATTTAATTATGCACTGAAGATGAAATATAATCTAGTAATCAGGTGATATAACTAGTAATTCTGATGAATACAACAACAACCTGGAGGAAGAAATTTTATCTGGATAATCATTGATAATTATTTAAAGTTGGCGTTAGTTTTATAACATTAATTTATTATTTAAACAAATGTTTTTTTTTATCTATTACTTTACCACATTAATTCAATTTAATTGCTTCTATGTATATATGTTATATAATAAAATTATTATTTATTAGTAGATAAATTTAAAATTCAAGAGAGAAAAAAATAATTGCCACAATCCATGATTCATATTTTTAATAATTACACTGTTCTTAGCAAAAGAAAACAGCATTCAAAAGTTATTAATACATACAATAATTATGCTTGTAAATAAATTTTTTTAACTTTAATTAAATTATAATTATAATAATAGTAATATAGATATCGCTAAAAGAATAATGATAATAATATACACAATTAAAAAAAAAACGTATCGAAAAGGATATTCGACCAAGTCAAATTTACAATTGATTCATGATTGGTAGAAATATTAACGTCATATTACAGCATAATTTTAAATTTTATTTTTTTACATGATATATATTAAAAAAGAAAAAAAAATTATATCGATTGATTTACGATTTTCATTATATGACTTTATGTTTGTTAATCTTACAGTATTGAAGCACATTATTCAAATATATATATTTTTTTTATAATATCGTCACTAAAAGCCGAAGCTCAAGAACCATTTAATTATTTTTTATTTTTTATTTTTATTATTAACAGTAAGAAAAAACATTAACATTTTTAGTAGCAAGCAATTTATGTACTTATTATAGAGATATATGAATCAATTTTCAATTTCAATTATTTAAGTGACTGCTAGGAGTGGATATTTTTTAGTTTAGACATTCTATTGTAACTTTATTTATCAATCCACTTTATTTATCAATCACTCATTTTACTTATTTCTAAAATAATTGATATATGATTATTTAGCATTGCATGATCATAAGTTAATGTTGGAAGAGTTACAACACTCTTTAATGGTCTTTAAAATAATTTATCTGTTTTATTTTTTATAATAAATATTTTGAACAATATTTTACCAGAGTCTGACAGCAAACATGATTTTAAAAATTGTCAGAAAGCAAGCATTTTATTAATTTTTCACGTGGACGGGCTGGCATAGTGACGACTAGGTATTGAGATAGCTGGTTAACGAATTAACTTTAGCTATTCATAATTACTTAATTGTTAAAAAAAAAAAAGATAAAACTAATATAAATAATTAAACAAATGAATTTAGAGTAAAGAAAAAACATGGTCCAAAGCTAATGCATAGTTCTAATTATGTAATTTTGACATAGAATAATATGCAATAAAAAAAAATATGAATTTGTAGCGAGGAATAAATTCATACTTATATTTTCATTTAAGATTATTAAAATTTTTTCATCATTAGTTAACTTTAAAATACTAATTTATGATTTTTTAGCTAATCTTGTAGAAAAAAAATTTCACTGTGCTCTTCTTTCTTCTGTCATAAATTGATCGACAACTTTTTGCATCGATTCTCGAAGTTCGTCATTTCCCACCATTTCTTCAGTTCCAGGCACCGTTGTTGATGAGGTTATTACTCGTGTCGTTCTCGTTATTCTGCAATAGAAATATTAATCATCATCAGTATTTATATTTCCTTAAATATTTGAAGACTATAAAAAAAAGTTTTAATTATTCTAATAATACCTTTCGTTGGTCAGTGGATCGATTTCTGTTGTGGTCGTTTCCATGTAGGATGGTTCACTATGTTGTAAAAAGTCAGATTCTGTAGATAAATAAAAAAAAAATTAAAAATTAAATAAGTATGATTTTAAAAAATTACTTTGAAAAATTCGATCAAATTTTTAATATTTATATATTCTCTCCCTTTTCTATATGCTTACATATATTGTCGCATTAAATAATAAAATATACGTTACTCTGTTAATTATTTTTTTTTAACTTTACATCATGCCCAAACAAGGGGTATAAAAAGACTAGACACATAAAAAAAAAAAATTCACAGCATTACTAAATTCTGGCAACAAAAACTTTACTTTTCTCATCTAACTATATTCATTTAACTTATGTCTATGATTACTTTACTGTTCAATCAATTTTTTCTTTTCAAAACTAAATCTATTCATGAATTAGGCAATTTTATTTTATTTTTTTAAATTAACATTCAACAGAGAATTAAAATTTTTTACACATTACGCAATTTTTTAGTAATTAATTACTTGAAAATGGAAATACTATATTGAATTTTAATTGATTGGTAAAAAAATAGGTTTATTAGTACTGTTAGACGAATAATTACGTTGTGTGTTTGATTCAATCTAATCTAATTTTTAATTGATTATAAAGAAAACATTTAGTTTGGTTAATAATAAGATTTTAGTTAATCAATGTTAGATTATTCATTAAAAATTTTTTTTTCAATTTATTAAATCTACAATATTATTTATGATTATATTGAGAAGCAATCATAATTAATTTATCACGCTTACTTACTTTCAGATGATAATTAACTTAATATTAATAATTTATGAATTAATTTTATTATAACGATTCGTCTAACAATTCTGATGAATCTTTCATTCAATAATATTCTTTATTTTATTTATATCATATATAAACCACCGTAACGTGAACGTTGGTCCCTCTAAACTTTAGCTTTATCTTGAAATATTTGTTCTCACAGGAGCTACAAAGGATCAAGTGGTCTCGTAAGAGTTATGAGATTATAAAAACGAGATCAATAATTAGCGTATAATAATAATAATAATAATAATAATAATAATAATAATAATAATAATACTATTATTAATACCATACTACAATATCGTGCAAAACAAATACTATTACTGCTTGTGATGATTATTGTTTAAAAATAAATATAACATACTTTTGTAATTTATAGAAGCGAAATAATATAAAAGTGCAAAGTGTTCTATGTATTATATGATATTTTATCATATATATATATATATTGTTTTTATTCATGCCAGTATACATACTAAGTATTCATGCAATTTGCTTTTTTAAAAAACAAAATATCGAAAAACTAAAGCTTGTATTTTTTTTATTATCCTACCATCACAAAATATCTTGAAGTAAAATCTCGATATCTATAATAGTAATCTGATATTTATATATTTAATCAAGGTATATTTTGAATTAATAAAATTTCTTCTTTTGATAACGTGTTTCTTGATTGAAATAATAAATATTATGAGTAATGTAATTATTAATTTAAAAAACAAAATAATTATCATTGGTCGTACCCAGATTGCCTTGGGTCATGATTTGAGAGGACACGTGAGAATACTCGAGGTTCCATCAGGGCTAGATAAATTGCACATATGCCAATTAAAATAGCGGCTGCCACACTTATCCAACAAATGCAGTTGTCTCTATTAGTCTTGGTCCTTTTAAGGTCGCTTGTAGTCCCTAGAGGACAGCTTTTCACTCTCTCGGCCAATCGTGCAAAATTTCGCTCTGCTATTACCACGGTAATTATAACATATATGCTAAGTAAATGATGTCATAAATAACAGAGATCACGATAAAACTTTTAGTTATAATTGCTGATCCCAGAATTCAGTTAATGACCAACCGTATGAATGATTGTAATTTTCCCAATGAATTTTTATTGCACGGAAAAAAAAATATATAAAATCTTTCCATGGCTTTTATTGAGGATTTTAAGCAACTAGCTGCCATTAATCACTTAGCAAATCATATTTTTATACCTTGTAAAAATAAAATCAAATCACCTGGCGATAATATAAAAAAAAATCTTCTGTACAAGCTTTGTTTTTGTTTTTCCCAAATTTTTTTTACAAACGCAATGATCATAGAAAAATCAAGGTGCAGTTTTCAAAACATGCAAGCCGTGCAAATAAAATAAAAAAAAAAAAAGCATGCAGTCAATTATGTGTTGATCGATTGAAAAAAATGAAGCAAAATAACAGGGAGAGATAAGTAACAAAACGAAAAAGTATTTAGGACGGCAGCGAATGAAGCTTTTTAAAATATAAATATTTATTTGCGGCTTAAGGACCAGGAGCCTGGACATGGCCTGAAGGTGAGTCGTTTTAGCAGGATATTTACATCGCTTACTTAGAACTGTTAGCTGTGAGTGAGGTACCTTGGTCGTCTTCCATAGGGGAGAGCTCTGCACCTTCGTGCAATGCAACATCAGAGCCACTGGAGCTGCCAAGTGTTCGCCTCTTGCTCATTGAACGTCTTCTTTGTCGTGGTGAGCCCTCACTATCGCTGTCGCTTGGTAAATCATGCCTTGAGTCACTGTTTTTAGTGAATCCGGCATCACATGAACCTGGTGAAGTGTCCAATGAGTACTGAGTTTCCCAATTATCGTGATCATCACGAGATCTTGTTGATGACTCCCAGGAACTCTTGGTGCTGATTGACCTTACTTCCTTTACTATACTACCAGATGCATTTTCCTCGCTCATCTGATCTTCTTTCGATCTGGACAATGGTATTCTTTCGTTAACGAAAGCCTTGGAAGTCTTTACAGTGTAATTGCTGACTTCAGCGAGTTGTGGAAATTTATTGAAATCCTGTGAAACGTCCTCCAGCACTTGAGATAATTCATTGGTACTTAATATTTTCTTGATGCTATTTTGATCCACTTCAGAACTAACAACTGTTGTTACTGTTTTAGTGTAAACAATATCTTCAGGAAAAGAGTAAGAGGCAATGGACGGATTCTCTATTATAGAATTTTGGATAGTTGCCACAACTTTATCTTCAACTATTTCCAATGATTTTTGTTTATCCACGGGAACTGGAATCATACTTATTTGATTTGCCTCTGTAGAATCAGATGTGGATACTCGAAGTTGCTTAACAGGTAACTGATCTTCGCAAATATTTGCAGATATTTTACTTAGCTCTGGTATTTTTGATTTTGGGCTCTTGGGTTTCTGATGATGCTCGTCGAGTTCAAGAGTTAACTCTGATTTGCTGATAGATAACTTAGCAGAGTGACGTGGGGCGGGAACAGGTTGCTTTGTTGGAGCAGAAGTAGTAACATGCCTCTCTACAGTCCCATCAATCTCAGCCGAATCATGCCCTGACCCATCCAAAAGGACACGGACAAGAACAGGAACAAGGGCAATATATAAAGCACATTGATACACACTAATGAAATTTTTAACTTTCTAGCCCAGTATTAAATATTAACTTTTTATTTCTTCTTGCTTAATTGGCTTTCAAATAATTTTAAAAACAATTTTATTATTTTGTTTTGTTTTAATACATAAGAACAAAAAAATAGGGTCAGCCTTCATCAATCAATATCAAACAAAACTTTTTAGTTGGTATCAACACGAAATGAATGAATGAACTTTATCATATTTTTTTTTCATGAAAAAGAAAATGAGACATTTATTAGATAGTGTAATATCTAAACTGATTGAATGCACTTCATTGAAACTAATGAATAAAGCTTTCATCTATAATTCTTATAGTCTAATTTTTCTAAGTCTAATTGTTCTATTGTTAAAAAAAAAAAATAAATTTACAAATTGTAAGAAATAATTTCGTGCTAATAATAATTATTAGTTTAAAAAAGTAATTAGTTAGATCAATGAAACGCATTCGTAAAGTATTAGTTGTGTAGTAAAAGCGTCAGCATGTGCTAACTATGGAAGATAAAGCTAAATATGACCGAGGGTACCACAAGAGTAAAAATTACTCTAACGTACTGATTTCTTCCAGCTAGTTTAGCTATTATAAATTACATATTTAAATACACAATAATAATTATTTAAATAAAAAATTAATTGCGAGTGAAACAGATAAAATATATTTTTTAACTTTTCTTTTATGTGCACATTTAATTACCTGGTTTTCCTGCTGCTAAGGCCTGATCTGCAAGAAGTTGGGCACGTTTGGCAGCTTCCTCAGTTATATCTGAAATAAACCCACAAACATAGATAAGTAATGACTTGATTCAATTTTTGATGAACATTTAAAGCAGTGATTGAAACAATGGTAAATAAGGATGAAGTGATGATAAGTTTCCTGGCCATATTCGTTTGGTTCGCATGCTTCGCTAGACCATGGTTCTCCTGTTAACGAAATTATTTAAAATTTATGTACCACGCGTTAAAAAATTTTTGGTTGTATTTTTTTTTAAATAAATATTAAGTAGATATTTTTTACAATGGTAGTATTACAATGATGGGATGAGGATACAATGATGAAAAAAAAGATTAATAAATTAATTGGATTGTGATACCACATAGACACCACAGTGCAGTGGTTGATAAAGCTCTGCAAAATTAGTAAAATAGTAAAATAAAAAATAAATTAATATTCCCTGGAAACATGCAGTTAAATTAAATAAATAATTAACATAAAAAAAATCATTTATCGTTTTTATAACGATAATGATTATTGCTGTTAAAACTGAAAAAATAATTAAAATAGCAAATCAATCGGATTATATCACAATAAAATATGAACTTTTCTTTTGGAGTTTTAAAATTGACTAGCCGGTCAATGTTAGATTTAAGTTGCAAAATGATAGAGAAATTCTTCTGTCAAGATAAAATTTTTTTCTAAATTATTTTGCAGTTAAAATTTTCTGAAAGGCTAGTTATGCAATTTACGATATTAAATTAAATATTATTAGAATTAGATTACACTATTAGCGTTTCAAAAAGATTTCATGATGGATTACGGTGAATGATTAATTTTTTTTTCTTTTGCCAGACAATCATTAATAATTGGCTTTTCTACCCAACTCATTGGGGTAGAAATGAAATAGTTATAAAATTTATAAAAAAAATCAATCTTAATGAGTTAAAAAATAAATAAAAGCATCAAAAAAAAAGTTTAACGGAAATTAGGTTTTTTATGTTACACACAGCTGGGTATGTAATATAATATATGTATATATATATATATCTTTATCAAATATATATATATATAATACAATCAATCATTGTTTTAAGATACCTTTAATGCTACTGTCACCGAGCTCGTCGGGGCTGGGTGGCGGGGTCGCCACTGCCGTCCGCACAGACTTTGTTACGACTGTGGTGACGGATTGCACTGCGCGAGGCTCGAGGTGCCCTAATATAACTAAGTCTTCATCATATACATCAAGTCTTTCTGTGGACGATGTTTTTTCCTCAATTCTAACTACCCTAACTTCTTTAACTACTTCTCTTGTTGTACTGGTAGTTTTTTTTGGAATGCACGAGACAGACTTTATTCTCATATCTGAATGATCCTTTGGAATTGTTTCTCTAGCTAATTCTAATGAACTAAACGACTCTAACTTATCTTCTAAATCTGTCGCTTTAACTGATTTAGAATCGGTCTCGCGGAGCGGGGAAGAAACGTCGTAACTGCCAGATAAATGCGAATCTTTTGAATCAATTTTAGTGTCCTCCCAGAACTTTTCTGTTGCGTCTTTAATATTATCAGTAACGTGATCAACTTCTTTAGTTATTTTGTGTGATACATTCTTTGCACTTTTTACAATATTTGAAATAACCCCCTTTGATTTTCCTTTGCTTGAAGATTTCTTCGGAGATGTTCCATGGTCAATAGTACTGTGAGCTGAATCCAATTCAGATACAGACTCACTATCAGAACCACTCTTATCTAAAAGCAATGTCACTTTTGTTGGAGATTTTGGATGGTAAAGTGAAGTATCTGCGTTATCATGTAGGGTTTGCTCCAGGTTTAAATACATTTGATGCCTCATATTTTCTTCATCGTCAAGATCATCTCCAGATTTAGCACTCATTAATTTAGCGGGCTTTTCTGACTCTTTAGCTTCGCGTCGAGCATATTCTGCTTTTTCTTCTTCTTCTTTTGTCTCATCCCAGAATTCTTTAACTTCTCCTGTTACTTCGTCCACCACATGTTTCGCACCTTTAATTATTCCCGAAAAAAAACCCACACTTTTATCTTTAGATTTTTTAGCGTCTTTTCCAACATCATCGGTATCTTCGTCTGACGGTTCGATAGTTGATTTCTTTATAATTTCAATTTCTTCCATTGTGTTATGATCTATCTCTTCTGTGGCTTTGCCAGCAAAATCTTTAATCCCTTGGTTTTGTTGTCCTCGATGTGATCGTAATTTTTTTTCCGAGTCAGTTGTATGCTTCGGACTTTTTAAAATACCAAAGAACATACCACCATTTTTGTCTTTAACTTTCTTAGCATCTTTTTCAGCTTTATTGTTAGTTACTTCAGCAGATGTGATTGCTGTTTCCATCGTTCCTATAAGGTTATCGCTAACGCCCTGAGTATTATCTTTAATTTTTTTATTTAAAGTTTCTGCTTTAATTTGTACATCGTCGACGATTTCATGAGCTGTTTTCGCAACTGCCGTTATATTCTTTTCAGTACCAATTACGGTTTTTTCTTCGATAATTTTTACGGAAGGATCAGAAATAACTGCATCTTTAGTTGCTTTTAATGATACATCTCGCCTACTGTGAATGTCACCTTTAACGCTATTAGCAAGTTCTACAGCGACTTTATAAGCACGGGATTTCTCTTCCGTAGCTTCCTGTTGGGCGTCTCTCAAGAAGTCGTTAACGTCGCTATGTTTATCGTTTGAACCATGCTTGTTACCTTTTAGAATTCCGAAAAACATACCACTGGTTTTATCTTTCTCAGCTGTAACTTTTTCGACATCAGCTTCGAAATTTTGAGTAATATCCGATACAGCATGTGATGATTTATCCGTTGTATCCAATATTGCTTCACCAGTAACTTTAAAAGCTTCGGACACAGCTTCTTTTCCTGCAGCAATCTTCCCAGCAGCTTTGTCACTGCTGTCCTTTACAAGTTCATTAACAGCATGTTTCGCCTTCTCTTCTTCTTCTTCAGCTTCCTTCTTTGTCTCGTCAACGAATTCTTTAACATCTTCAGCCACTTCGTCCGCGGCATGTTTGACTCCCTTAAATATACCGGAGAAAAATCCTTTACCTTTGTCTTTAGCTTTCTTCGCTTCTTTCTCTGCTTTGTCCTTGGTTGATGTTGCACTGTCTACAACCGTTTCAGCTGCACCGCTTATTTTCTCTTTGACGATTTGTGAGTCTGCTTTTACTTCTTTTGCAACTGTATCTTTTGTTCCTTTCAAAGCATCAGAAGTTTTAACTGCAGTTGCGGCTACTTTGTCTTCTACTGTTTTTACAGCGTCAGACAAAGATTCTTTTTCAGCGACAACTTTGCCGTGAGCCTTTTTCGCTACATCTTCAACGTTTTTGGCAATTATTTTAACGCTTTCATCGACTTTTTTAGTAGTGTCTTTGGCAGCTTGTGATGTTTTATCTTTAGCCTCAGATATTGCTTCACCAGTAGCTTTAGCAGCTTCAGAAACAGCATCTTTTCCTGCAGCGATCTTTTCAGCGGTCTTTTCTTTGCTGTCCTTTACAAGTTCATTAACAGCATGTTTCGCATTCTTTTCTTCTTCTTCGGCTTCCTTCTTTGTCTCGTCAACGAATTCTTTAACATCTTCAGCGACTTCGTCCGCGGCATGTTTCACTCCCTTAAATATGCCGGAGAAAAATCCTTTACCTTTGTCTTTAGCTTTCTTAGCTTCTTTCTCTGCTTTGTCCTTGGTTGATGTTGCACTGTCTACAACCGTTTCAGCTGCACCGCTTATTTTCTCCTTGATAAGTTCTGAGTCTGCTTTAATGTCTTTTCCAACTGCATCTTTCGTTTTTTTCAAAGCGTCAGAAGTTTCAACTGCGGTTGTGGCTACTTCGTTTTCTATTTTTTTTACAGCGTCAGACAAAGATTCTTTTTCAGCAACAACTTTGTCGTGAGCCTTTTTCGCTACATCTCCAACGTTTTCGGCAATTATTTTGACGCTTTCGTCGACTTTCTTAGTAGTGTCTTTGGCAGCTTGAGATGATTTATCTTTAGCCTCAGATATTGCTTTACTAGTAGCTTTAGCAACTTCAGAAACAGCTTCTTTTTCTGCAGCAATTTTTTCAGCAACCTTTTCTTTGCAGTCATTTACAAGTTCACTAACACCATGTTTCGCCTTCTCTTCTTCTTCTTCAGCTTCCTTTTTTGTCTCATTAACGAATTCTTTAACATCTTCAGTAACTTCGTCTGCTGCATCTTTGACACCTTTAAATATACCGGAGAAAAATCCTTTACCTTTGTCTTTAGCTTTCTTAACTTCTTTCTCTGCTTTGTCCTTGGTTGATGTTGCACTGTCTACAACCGTATCAGTTTCTTCGCTTATTTTCTCTTTGATGACTTGTGAGTCTGCTTTGATTCCTTTTGCAACTGCATCTTTTGTTTTTTTCATAGCGTCAGAAGTTTCAACTGCGGTTGTGGCTACTTCGTCTTCTATTTTTTTTACAGCGTCAGACAAAGATTCTTTTTCAGCAACAACTTTGTCGTGACCTCTTTTTGCTACATCTTCTACGTTTTCAGACACTTTTTTAGTAATGTCTTTGACAGTTTGGGATGTTTTGTCTTTAGCCTCAGATATTGCTTCACCAGTAGCTTGAGCAGTTTCAGAAACAGCTTTTTTTCCTGCAGCAATCTTTTCAGCAGCCTTTTCTTTGCTGTCATTTACAAGTTCACTAACAGCATGTTTCGTCTTCTCTTTTTCTTCTTCGGCATCCTTCTTTGTCTCGTTAACGAATTCTTTAACATCTTCAGCAACTTCGTCTGCTGCATCTTTGACACCTTTAAATATACCGGAGAAAAATCCTTTACCTTTGTCTTTAGCTTTCTTAGCTTCTTTCTCTGCTTTGTCCTTGGTTGATGTTGCACTGTCTAAAATCGCTTCAGTTGTACCGCTTATTTTGTCTTTAATGACTTGTGAGTCTGCTTTGATTTCTTTTCCAATTGCATTTTTTGTTCCTTTAAAAGCGTCAGAAGTTTCAACTGCAGTTGCGGCTACTTTGTCTTCGACTGCTTTTACACCGTCAGACAAAGAATCTTTTTCAGCGACAACTTTGTTGTGAACTTTTTTTGCTACGTCTTCAACGTTTTCAGACACTTTTTTAGTAGTGTCTTTGACAGTTTGGGATGTTTTGTCTTTAGCCTCAGATATTGCTTCACCAGTAGCTTTAGCAGCATCAGACACAGCTTCCTTCCCTGCAGCAATCTTTTCAGCCGTTTTTTCACTGCTGTCATTTACAAATTTACTGACCGCATGTTTCGCCTTCTCTTCTTCTTCTTCAGCTTCCTTCTTTGTCTTAACGAATTCTTTAACATCTTCAGCAACTTCGTCTGCTGCATCTTTGACTCCTTTGAATATACCGGAAAAAAATCCTTTACCTTTGTCTTTAGCCTTCTTAGCTTCTTTCTCTGCTTTGTCCTTGGTTGATGTTGCACTGTCTAAAATCGCTTCAGTTGTACCGCTTATTTTGTCTTTAATGACTTGTGAGTCTGCTTTGATTTCTTTTCCAATTAGCTTCCTTCCCTGCAGCAATCTTTTCAGCCGTTTTTTCACTGCTGTCATTTACAAATTTACTGACCGCATGTTTCGCCTTCTCTTCTTCTTCTTCAGCTTCCTTCTTTGTCTCGTCAACGAATTCTTTAACATCTTCAGCCACTTCGTCCGCGGCATGTTTAACTCCCTTAAATATACCGGAAAAAAATCCTTTACTTTTGTCTTTAGCTTTCTTAGCTTCTTTCTCTGCTTTGTCCTTGGTTGATGTTGCACTGTCTACAACCGTATCAGTTTCTTCGCTTATTTTCTCCTGTATAAGTTGTGAGTCGGCTTTTACTTCTTTTGCGACTGCATCTTTTGTTCCTTTCAAGGCATCAGAAGTTTTAACTGCAGTTGCGGCTACTTTGTCTTCTACTGTTTTTACAGCGTCAGACAAAGATTCTTTTTCAGCGACAACTTTGCCGTGAGTCTTTTTCGTTACATCTTCAACGTTTTCGGCAGTTATTTTGACGCTTTCGTCGACTTTCTTAGTAGTGTCTTTGGCAGCTTGTGATGTTTTATCTTTAGCCTCAGATATTGCTTCACCAGTAGCTTTAGCAGCTTTCGAAACAGCTTTTTTGCCTGTAGAAATCTTTTCAGCCGCTTTTTCACTACTGTCATTTACAAATTTACTGACCGCATGCTTCGCCTTCTCTTCTTCTTCTTCGGCTTCCTTCTTTGTCTCGTCAACGAATTCTTTAACATCTTCAGCGACTTCGTCCGCAGCATGTTTCACTCCCTTAAATATACCGGAGAAAAATCCTTTACCTTTGTCTTTAGCTTTCTTAGCTTCTTTCTCTGCTTTGTCCTTGGTTGATGTTGCACTGTCTACCACCGTTTCAGCTGCACCGCTTATTTTCTCCTTGATAAATCGTGAGTCTGCTTCAATGTCTTTTCCAACTGCATCTTTCGTTTCTTTTAAAGCGTTAGAGGTTTCAACTGTGGTTGCAGCTACTTTGTCTTCTACTGTTTTCACAGTGTCAGACAAAGATTCTTTTTCAGTGATAATTTTCTCGTGAGTTCTTTTCGCTACATCTTCAACGCTTTCACCAATTTTTTTAACACCATCGTCAACTTTTTCGGTAGTGTCTTTGACAGCTTGTAATGTTTTATCTTTGGCTTCAGATATTGCTTCACCAGTAGCTATAGCAGCTCCAGACACAGCTTCTTTTCCTGCAGCAGTCGTTTCAGCAGCCTTTGCTTTGCTGTCCTTTACAAGTTCATTAACAGCATGTTTCGCTTTCTCTTCTTCTTCTTCGGCTTCCTTCTTTGTCTCGTCAACGAATTCTTTAACATCTTCAACGACTTCGTCCGCGGCATGTTTCACTCCCTTAAATATACCGGAGAAAAATCCTTTACCTTTGTCATTAGCTTTCTTAGCTTCTTTCTCTGCTTTGTCGTTGGTTGATGCTGCACTGTCTATAACCGTTTCAGCTGCACCCCTTATTTTCTCCTTGACAAGTTGTGAGTCTGCTTTAAGTTCTTTTCCAACTGCATCTTTCGTTTCTTTTAAAGCGTTAGAGGTTTCAACTGTAGCCGCGGCTACTTTGTCTTCTACTGTTTTGACCGTGTCAGACAAAGATCCTTTTTCAGTGATAACTTTCTCGTGAGTTCTTTTTGCTACATCTTCAACGCTTTCACCAATTTTTTTAACACCATCGTCAACTTTTTCGGTAGTGTCTTTGACAGCTTGTAATGTTTTATCTTTAGCTTCAGATATTGCTTCACCAGTAGCTTTAGCAGCTCCAGACACCGCTTCTTTTCCTGCAGCAGTCTTTTCAGCAGCCTTTGCTTTGCTGTCATTTACAAGTTCATTAACAGCATGTTTCGCCTTCTCTTCTTCTTCTTCGGCTTCCATCTTTGTCTCGTTAACGAATTCTTTAACATCTTCAGCAACTTCGTCTGCTGCATCTTTGACTCCTTTGAATATACCGGAAAAAAATCCTTTACCTTTGTCTTTAGCCTTCTTAGCTTCTTTCTCTGCTTTGTCCTTGGTTGATGTTGCACTGCCTACAACCGTTACAGCTGCACCGCTTATTTTGTCTTTAATGACTTGTGAGTCTGCTTTGATTTCTTTTGCAATTGCATCTTTTGTTTCTTTTAAAGCGTCAGAAGTTTCAACTGCCGTTGCGGCTACTTTGTCTTCGACTGCTTTTACACCGTCAGACAAAGAATCTTTTTTAGCGACAACTTTATCGTGAACTTTTTTTGCTACATCTTCAACGTTTTCGGCAACTGTTTCAGTAGTGTCTTTGACAGCTTGTGATGTCTTGTCTTTAGCCTCAGATATTGCTTCACCAGTAGCTTTAGCAGCTTCAGAAACAGTTTCTTTCCCTGCAGCAATCTTTTCAGCCGCTTTTTCACTACTGTCATTTACAAATTTACTGACCACATGTTCCACCTTCTCTTCTTCTTCTTCAGCTTCCTTCTTTGTCTCGTCAACGAATTCTTTAACATCTTCAGCCACTTCGTCCGCGGCATGTTTGACTCCCTTGAATATACCAGAGAAAAATCCTTTACCTTTTTCTTTAGCTTTCTTTGCTTCTTTCTCTGCTTTGTCCTTGGTTGATGTTGCACTGTCTACAACCGTATCAGCTGCACCACTTATTTTCTCTTTGACGATTTGTGAGTCTGCTTTTACCTCTTTTGCAACTGTATCTTTTGTTCCTTTCAAAGCATCAGAAGTTTTAACTGCAGTTGCGAGTACTTTGTCTTCTACTGTTTTTACAGCGTCAGACAAAGATTCTTTTTCAGCGATAACTTTGCCGTGAGCCTTTTTCGCTACATCTTCAACGTTTTTGGCAATTATTTTAACGCTTTCATCGACTTTTTTAGTAGTGTCTTTGGCAGCTTGTGATGTTTTATCTTTAGCCTCAGATATTGCTTCACCAGTAGCTTTAGCAGCTTCAGAAACAGCATCTTTTCCTGCAGCGATCTTTTCAGCGGTCTTTTCTTTGTTGTCGTTTACAAGTTCATTAACAGCATGTTTCGCCTTCTCTTCTTCTTCTTCGGCTTCCTTCTTTGTCTCGTCAACGAATTCTTTAACATCTTCAGCGACTTCGTCCGCGGCATGTTTCACTCCCTTAAATATGCCGGAGAAAAATCCTTTACCTTTGTCTTTAGCTTTCTTCGCTTCTTTCTCTGCTTTGTCCTTGGTTGATGTTGCACTGTCTACAACCGTTTCAGCTGCACCGCTTATTTTCTCCTTGATAAGTTCTGAGTCTGCTTTAATGTCTTTTCCAACTGAATCTTTCGTTTCTTTTAAAACGTTAGAGGTTTCAACTGTGGTTGCAGCTACTTTGTCTTCTACTATTTTAACAACGTCAGACAACGTTTCTTCTCCAGCGACAACTTTGTCGTGAGTTTTTTTCGCTACATCTTCAACGTTTTCAAAGATTATTTTTACGCTTTCATCGACTTTTTTAGTAGTGTCTTTGGCAGCTTGTGATGTTTTATCTTTAGTCTTCGATATTGCTTCACCAGTAGCTTGAGCAGTTTCAGAAACAGCTTTTTTTCCTGCAGCAATCTTTTCAGCAGCCTTTTCTTTGCTGTCATTTACAAGTTCACTAACAGCATGTTTCGTCTTCTCTTTTTCTTCTTCGGCATCCTTCTTTGTCTCTTCAACGAATTCTTTAACATCTTCAGCGACTTCGTCCGTTGCATGTTTGACACCTTTAAATATACCGGAGAAAAATCCTTTGCCTTTGTCTTTAGCTTTCTTAGCTTCTTTCTCTGCTTTGTCCTTGGTTGATGTTGCACTGTCTACAACCGTATCAGTTTCTTCGCTTATTTTCTCTTTGATGACTTGTGAGTCTGCTTTGATTTCTTTTGCAACTGCATCTTTTGTTTTTTTCATAGCGTCAGAAGTTTCAACTGCGATTGTGGCTACTTCGTCTTCTATTTTTTTTACAACGTCAGACAAAGATTCTTTTTCAGCAACAACTTTGTCGTGACCACTTTTTGCTACATCTTCTACGTTTTTCAGTACACTTTTTTTAGTATCTTTGACAGTTTGGGATGTTTTGTCTTTAGCCTCAGATACTGCTTCACCAGTAGCTTGAGCAGCATCAGACACAGCTTCTTTACCTGCAGCAATCTTTTCAGCCGTTTTTTCACTGCTGTCATTTACAAATTTACTGACCGCATGTTTCGTCTTCTCTTTTTCTTCTTCGGCATCCTTCTTTGTCTCTTCAACGAATTCTTTAACATCTTCAGCGACTTCGTCCGTTGCATGTTTGACACCTTTAAATATACCGGAGAAAAATCCTTTACCTTTGTCTTTAGCTTTCTTAGCTTCTTTATCTGCTTTGTCCTTGGTTGATACTGCACTGTCTACAACCGTTTCAGCTGCACCGCTTATTTTCTCTTTGATGACTTGTGAGTCTGCTTTGATTTCTTTTGCAACTGCATCTTTTGTTTTTTTCATAGCGTCAGAAGTTTCAACTGCGATTGTGGCTACTTCGTCTTCTATTTTTTTTACAACGTCAGACAAAGATTCTTTTTCAGCGACAACTTTACCGTGAGCCTTTTTCGTTACATCTTCAACGTTTTCGGCAATTATTTTAACGCTTTCATCGACTTTTTTAGTAGTGTCTTTGGCAGCTTGTGATGTTTTATCTTTAGCCTCAGATATTGCTTCACCAGTAGCTTTAGCAGCCTCAGACACAGATTCTTTCCCTGCAGCAACCTTTTCAGCCGCCTTTTCACTGCTGTCATTTACAAAGTTACTGACTGCATGTTTTGCCTTCTCTTCTTCTTCTTCAGCTTCCCTCTTTGTCTCGTCAACGACTTCTTTAACATCTTCAGCCACTTCGTCCGCGGCATGTTTGACTCCCTTAAATATACCGGAGAAAAATCCTTTACCTTTGTCTTTAGCTTTCTTAGCTTCTTTATCTGCTTTGTCCTTGGTTGATACTGCACTGTCTACAACCGTTTCAGCTGCACCGCTTATTTTCTCCTTGATAAGTTCTGAGTCTGCTTTAATGTCTTTTCCAACTGAATCTTTCGTTTCTTTTAAAACGTTAGAGGTTTCAACTGTGGTTGCAGCTACTTTGTCTTCTACTGTTTTCACAGTGTCAGACAAAGATTCTTTTTCAGTGATAATTTTCTCGTGAGTTCTTTTCGCTACATCTTCAACGCTTTCACCAGTCAGATATTGCTTCACTAGTAACTTTAGTAGCCTCAGAAACAGCTTCTTTTCCTGCAGCAATCTTTTCAGCAGCCTTTTCTTTGCTCTCATTTACAAATTCACTAACCGCATGTTTTGCCTTCTCTTCTTCTTCTTCAGCTTCCTTCTTTGTCTCGTCAACGAATTCTTTAACATCTTCAGCCACTTCGTCCGCGATATGTTTCACTCCCTTAAATATACCGGAGAAAAATCCTTTACCTTTGTCTTTAGCTTTCTTAGCTTCGTTATCTGCTTTGTTCTTGGTTAATGCTGCACTGTCTACAACCGTATCAGCTGCACCGCTTATTTTTTCTTTGATGACTTGTGAGTCTGCTTTGATTTCTTTTGCAACTGCATCTTTTGTTCCTTTCAAAGCATCAAAAGTTTCAACTGCTGTTGCGGCTACTTCGTTTTCTACTCTTTTTACAGCGTCAGACAAAGATTCTTTTTTAGCGAGAACTTTGTCGTGTGCTTTTTTCGCTACATCTTCAACATTTTCGGTAATTTTTTTAACGCCATCGTCAACTTTTTTGGTTGTTTCTTGGATAGCTTGTGATGTTTCATCTTTAGCGTCAGATATTGCTTCACCAGTAACTTTAGTAGCCTCAGAAGCAGCTTCTTTTCCTGCAGCAATCTTTTCAGTCGCCTTTTCTTTGCTGTCATTCACAAGTTCACTAACAGCATGTTTCGCTTTCTCTTCTTCTTCTTCGGCTTCCTTTTTTGTCTCATCAACGAATTCTTTAACATCTTCAGCAACTTCGTCCGCTGCATGTTTGACTCCTTTGAATATACCAGAGAAAAATCCTTTACCTTTGTCTTTAGCTTTCTTAACTTCTTTTTCTGTTTTACCTCCAGTTACCGCGATACTATCAGCAGCAGTTTTAGCCGTAGCCCTGACTTTTTTTCCAACGAGTTTTGTGTCTTCTTCTTTTTTTTTCATCTCAGGTCTCTTTTCAGTAATATGTTTATCTTGTGCTGTACCTTTTACTTTCTCTACACTATTAGTCGCTTTTACAGTATGTTTCGTCTTTGGAATTACTATATTACCTATTTTTTCTTCGAATTTTTCATCTTTTTTGACAGCTTTTTCACCTTGCTCTTTTTCTATCGCAGCTTCGTATTTCGTATTATCTAAAAATTCTTGAACATTCCCGACAGTATTTATTGATGGTTGTTCTACTCCGTGAACCAAAGCTGAAAAAATTCCTTCTTCTCTTTCTTGAGCTTCCTTCGCTTTTTCTCTATTTCCTTCCTCTGCTGCACCTTCTGTTTTTTCCATAGAATCAGCAATAGCTACCACAGTTTCTGTAATTTTATACTTTTCGACTCTACCATTTTCGTTATTTACTTTTCCATTGGTTTTTTTCGGTTTTTTAGCACTATCACTGACCTGTTTAATCGCGATTTTACCCATTTTTGTAGGTTTTTCTTGAGTGGTTTTAACTGTTTCTACTACAGTACTTTTTCCACTAGACTTCCTATTCGTTTGATTTTTTACAGCTCCCGAATCAGGAATAACCTTTGCTGTCTTCGATATTTTTGCTGTTATTTTATCTTTACCAGTGAAAGGAGTAGGGGTGATTTTTTTTTTAATGTCTTTATTTTCGTTCGAACTTTTTTCGACAACATTTTCAGGTTGCTCTTTTTCCAGCTTCGCATCTTCTCTTGTATCATCCCAGAATTCTTTGACGTCTTTAGTTACTCCATCAACTGCATGTTTAGCTCCTTCAATCACATCAGATACGAAGCCTGTTTCTCCAGTTTTTTTAGACTCTTTTTGAGCTTTTTTCTCCATGTTTTCTACAGAGACTGCTTTCGCAGTTTTGTTAGTACCTTTTACAGCTCCTGTTTTCATTTTATCTTCCAATGGCTTACCTCTGCTAGCTGTATCAGTTTTAATTTTTGGTTTAACGTCTTTAATCTTACTCTTTGCTGCTTTCATATCTTTAGCTAATTTGTCTTTACCTTCTGTTATTTTTCCTGCTACCTTACTTTTGATATCTTTAGAAGCTTTCTTGGTAACAATATCAGTTTTTTTATCTTCTTCTTGAACCTGTTCTTTCACTTCATCTTCAAATTCTTTCGCTTCGTCAGTTACTATGTCGACGCTCTGTTTAGCGCTCTTGTCAATTTTTATTAAATAGTTATTTTTATCGATATCTTCTTCATCTTTACATTCATCTTCATCTTCTTCTTTTATGTTTCCATCTTTATATGTGATTACTTCTTTTTTATCTTCTTCACTTTGACTTATTGGAGCTGAAGGGTAGGGATACTCTTCCATAATAGCGGATATACTTCTGGTATCATCTAAAAATTTTAATGTTGCAATTTTTATTTCCTCATCTCCACTATCAAAAGATACGTCAGTAGATGAACTTTTTTCTCTTGATTTACTTCTTCTTTTCAAAGTACTTTTAGGGCTTTTAAATATACCAAATATTCCACCTTTGTCCGAATCTTTTTTTGAATCTGAAGAATCAGATGCAGGTGAAAGAATCGGGACATCTAACCCTTCAACAGCTGTAGACTTAGTATCAGTTTTGACACTATCTTTGAGAGACTTCCTTCTTGTTAGGTCAGATTCACCAATATTGTCAGCTGCTTTTTTTGTATCTTCTAAAAATTTCGATGTAGCATGTCTCAGTTCTTCATCTCCACTATCAAACGAAGGTTCTTTAGAACTACTTCGATCTCTTGATCGACTCTTTTTATTCTTTACTTTTGGACTTTTAAACATACTAAAGAAACCAGTTCCCTTTTGTTTTCCTTCATCAGCAGACTCTTCAAAATCTCCTGACATTCTTTTCTCAGCCTTTTCTAATTTTTCTGTATTTGGATCTTTTGTAAATACAGTTTGATTCATTTCTGAAACTTTTGGAGTGTGTCTATCACTATTTTTAGTATCATCTTCAGGTCTTGCAATAACACCAGTAGCTGCTGTAAGGACAGTTGAAGTTTTAGTAGGAGATGCTTTGACATCATAAGATGTGCTTTTTAATTTGTCAATTGGTACATCTGAATCTTCTGTGACGGAAACGAATTTTTCAATTTTCTCCATTTGAGTCTCGGAAATTATTTTTGAACCATCGTCTTGAGCTAATTTGTCGGCAACTTTCTTTGTATCATCCAAAAAAGTCTTAGTAACGATTCTTAATTCTTCATCACCACTATCAAATGAAATATCTTTTGTATCTTTGTCTTTTGATCTACTTCGTCTTTTGTCTTTTGATTTTGGACTACGGAAAATACCGAAGAAGCCACCTGACTTTTCCTTTATTTCATCGAGATCATCAATGTCTGCTTTAATGTCACTTTCAACTTGTTTAGTCTCTCTTTTAATTGTTTCTTCTGAATTTTTCATTTTGTCGTTAAGCGTTTTAATTTCTCCGCTCAAACGTTTCAAGTCAATGTCAATAGATTTACCAGTATTATGAATACTTTGTTTCATCCTATCAATGTCATCATCAATTTTTTTATCTCGTCGTAGTATTGAGTCAACATCATCTTTGGATTTATCCTCTAAATCATTGACAGACTCTTTAATATCATCATCGATTTTTTCTTTTAGATTTTTGATATCTTTCTTTGCTTTTTCTTCAATAGGTTCAAAAGATTTTTTAGCATTTTCATTATCAGAATCTACATCACTCTCAACTTTTTTCGAAGTTTTAAAAAGATTCGTGAAAAATCCGTGTTTTTCTTTGCTATCTTTCAACTCTGTTGGAATTTCTTTATTTTCTTTTTCCTTATCTGAAGATTTTTCAGTATCCAATTTCTTTAACTCGGGTTTTTCAGGTATTAGATATTCAGGGACAAAGGCTTCAGCACTTCTTCTTGAATCATACAAAAAATCTGCAGTAGCCCAAATCGGATCACGATTTGGTTCATTTTCCGGTAGCTTTTGAGGGCAAATAGCTATATATGTATCAGGATCAAAAGCAGGATAAGATGGTGATTCTTTGATTGGTTCAGCAATTTTTCTGGTATCCTCTAAAAATTCTTGAGTTGCTACTTTTATTGATTCATCACCACTGTCAAAAGAAGGATCTTGAGAATCTTTCGATTTTCCTTTCTTCAATTTTGGTCCCTTAAAGATGCCAGAAAATATACCGCCTTTTTCTTTTTTCTTGCTTTCTTCTTTAGTATCATCCGGTTGATTATAAACATCGTCATATACTGATTTTCTTGAATCTTCATTAATCTTTTTCGTTTTTTTATCAATCTTATCTTCTTTATTAGCCGGTATGACTGTATTTGTTTTTTTTGTTGACTTTTCAGCAACTTCTTTATCTTCTTTAGAAAATTTTTCTTTTTCACTCGTGCTTATATTTTCAGCCGGCATCGAAACAGAGTCAACAATGACTCTGGAGATGCTTTTGGCTTGTTCCGTTGCGCGATCGATTGGAACGTTTGTGTCAAACGCAATCGTCTGCGCTTCCGGTATAGTAGTTGTTACTTTTGTAGTAACAATTTTCTCCTCAGTAATGGGTCCAGTTGTAATAGTTGTCTTCGTTACGACAACTTTACTTGATTCTTCTAATGTTGGTTGCGTCACATTTACTCCAATAATAGGATCATCAACACCAAAGAAAGATGACTGTCCAGGAGATATTTCACGCACTGTTGTAGTTTTTGTAAATGATCCAGAATCTGGATCACCCGTACTTGTTGTTACAATAGTTTTTGAAATAATTTTACCCTTACCACTAGAATCATCAATCATGTTTGGTTTTATTTTTTTTGTAATGACCGGCTCGACAGATTCTTCCCCGCGAGTTACTGTCTCTTTAACTATAATACCTTCAACATCATAAACTAATCTATCACCATCACGAACGTCTATTGCACCTCCTGCCTCTTTACCCCCTTCTCGATAAACCCCCGACAACCCCTCCATCATTAATTTCTCCTTCTCTTTCTCAGCGTCTTGTATAACACCTGTTAATTAAGTTACAACATTTTAGGCATATCTAAAAACGTAAGAAACATTATAGACAATTTTCAGTTATTTTGTTTTAGATTTTTCTTATTTTGTTTTAATTTATGAAGTTTTAAGTTTTGCGCAATTGTTACTGTATTATTTGTCATTATTGTTTAGTCAAAGCTACGTTAGCCGAATATTTCATTTACTTATTTATATTATTTTCATAAATACTACATATTTTACGTCATTAACTATTAATTACGACAAAAACGTGAAATTAAACAATTTTTTATGTGGTTTATGTGCGTAAGTGTTTGTGCTATGGAGCAGGTATCTTTTTACATTTTTCCTTTATTCAAAACATATAAACACTTCATCTTTCTGATTCATACGTTAATAGGTAACTAAAATTTCCATCATCCTACATTTGCTCAATTTACTATGAAATAAATTTACATTTGGTTAATGTAGGAAGATAATTTTATGACAGGATATAATCATTGTTCTACTTTAGTATTTTTGATTTTTTACATAATTAAGGGATCAGATGCAGTCATGATTTGAAAAAAATAAAATTGATTTTTTAGCGTTTTCTTGAAGTGCGGTGTTTCGAAAATATTTTCTGAAAATTTCAATTCGATTAATAGTTTCCGAGATATCCTATAATGACTAAAGGGGTCAGTCGGTCCCCCATTCTTGATATTAGTATCAGCGCGCTGAAACTAATGGGGAACTCGATTCTTACAAGTAAAATTGTCGCCCTCTAACTCCAATTGTTATGGATGACATAAAACCAATTCATGAAGATCTGAGTAATGGAAATTTATTCTTTAGGTGAATCGGTGGCTTTAATCAAAACAATAATGAAAGCTTCAATTAGCTTGTGAAAAAAATAAGCTCAAAACAGTGTTTAGTAGCAATACGATTGCAGAAATGGCTGTATATGTTATTGGTTGTATATTCAATGAAGGTAAACATACATTATCAATAATCATGAATATACTTGGAATTTATTGAGGACTCAGTTTTCACCGGTAAAAAGAATAATTAATATTTATTATTATTTTTATTCTGTAGGAATCAAGTTGGATCATAATGTAAATTTTCTGTGTAATCAGTTTTATAAAATAAACTTATAACAAAAAAAAAAAAAAGGAAGTTATGAAAAATACTCTTTTCTTTGAAGACTTTGACTGCATCTCACCCCTTAAATGTAAAATACAACCTTACGTCGATGTTATTGTCTTCTATCGAATTTTGCTACTAAAAATATTGAAAGAATAAGTGAGTACTTTTATTTATTGTCGCTACTTTTTAGTAATTTTTGAATACTGTAGAATCTATTATGAAAATTATTAATTACAATAAATCAGAATTAATGAATAATGAAAATAAATACATTTTAGTAATTCTATACACATAATAGAATGTTATTAATGATAATTATACTAACACCTGTATGTTAATTACTTTAAATACTTTGAAACTAATAGCTATCAAGTATCAACTTGTTTATGTTAAGAATAAAATAAATTAAATTCTGGAATTAAAATTTTTTTTTTCATTTACTTAAAATTACCATGTTAACATAAATAATTCAAGAACAGTCGTTAACAAAGACAATACAGTATCCATTTTACTAATATAAGAAACGACAAAAATAATCATCAGTTCGCTTGAACTATGAGTAATTCAAAAAGAGTACGTAAATATAATGTAGAAAAAAAATAATTCGTAATATGTTCAAATTTTTTTTCCAATTAATCAAACGACAACTGCTCCAAGTGCTAACAGCCAGCTCATGCAACGCTAAATACATAAAAAAATAATAGCTATTTATTTTATTGGCGGTTTTGCCACGCTTAAAAACACTGCTGTAAATTAAATTAAAATATTCGACAAGGAGAAAGAGAATAAAAGAGAGAAAGGAGAAATTTATACCAATCTATATAGGTATTTATACTAATATAAATTGATGTAAATTAATTAGTAAGTTCTTCTTTATAGAAAATTTAAAATTAAAGAAAACGTTTAATGGCGAAGCAATTGGCCCAGTCATATTTCATAATGACAATGACGAGTTGCACAAAGCCAAAATAATTAATAATTTCAATATATATTAATAAAAAATTCACTGGTGCATTTTCCTGTTATTGTTTAATTTATTTAAAACGAAATAAATAAATAATGGTTTTTACGATGATGGTATTGATGAATATTGATTAAATTAAATTTAATTATTAATTATTTATTTGTGCGCTGTATGTGAAGTTATTGTGTAAATAAATGATAAACGTAAAAAAAAAAAAAGAAATACGCAATTAAATACAAATAATAAATAAAAATATAAAGAATGATGATTAGGTCTCGAGGTCATCAAGAACATTGAAGCTCAAGAAAAATGTAATAACTGCTAAGCAAAATGATTATGGACACAGTTTCACGAAAAAACAAGTATCTTTCATCTTGTATAACCGATTAAACGCTTGATGCATAGTTATGCTATTTAGATCATTATTTACTCAATTAATAAATTAGTTTTTTCAGCTTAGGCCTAAACACTGAGGCCATTCATGCTTTTTAAAACTAACTACACTTGAATAAAAAAATAAAAATAGATATATTATTAAAGAAGAATGAATTCCACTGAGCACGTTCACCTTGCTAGCATTTTTAATATAAAGCATAATCCCTTAATCCATTTAGTAATTTATTGTTTTATTTTAATTTTATTTTTTTTTTAGTTAAATAAATTTTAAGAGGAAAAACACTTTTCTTTGTCTATTGGCTACTTATAAAAATGGGATATTACTCACCAGTTACTAGTCTATTAGCATCCTCAATAACCCTCTGTCGATTTTTTCTGTCATCGTCAACTTCGTCGCGTGATTTTTTAGTCATTGTATCCGTGACGTAATACTTATGTTCCAGAAATTCCGCCATATCGTCGCCAAGATCTTTTTCTTCACTTGCGTATTTATCTTTTATTGGGGTTGAGGTACCATTGAACACAGTGCCGTTCGTAATTGTTATGTGCTGCTGTTTTGCTGTGAAGTGCATGAAAATAAAATGTGTTCACATTTAATAAATAAAACTATAATTAATGATGCATAAGCATAATATTAAATTGAATAAATTTTTTATTTAAAGTAATAATAATAAATGTAAGCATGAGAATAAAGTGTGAATGTAGACATAGATCGTGAAAAATTTGAACTCAATCCGTACCAATAAGTAAGTATTCATGATGATGGAATGTTGTCAAGGTCAACTAAAAGATATACCTTTAAATGTTGTATTTCCCATTTAATTTAATTTAATTAATTTAAAAAGTGGCTAAACGATCTCACGTTACATCACACATTATCACAATACAAATCAATCAGTATAAATAAAATTTGATTAAAAATAGTAAACAATTGAAATTATTTTTGCTACGCAATTCGAGCAGAACACGTCGCTGCACAATAGTGAATAGAAGCAAGTGTCAAGTAATGTGTACATAGAATATAACATTCAATGTGACTCAGTGCATTTTCTCTTTCTCGCTCTTATCCTCTGATCGTAGTCAATCTGATCTGGCAATAGCACGAATTATGGATCACTAACTTGATTAAAAAAGTGACATCATATGTTCACTTCCTCTCGTTCAAGATATTAAATTTAATATTTTATTATTCTCATTAACATTTTGAATGTTGATTTCATGTAATAGATTCGTGTGTCATATACTAATAATATTATTAATAGCAGTGATTTGTAACGTAATAAGATTGTTGTAAAAAATTGTATAAATTGTAAGAAAATGAAATTAATATTATTTCAATATTGTAATAAATACTTACTGTGTTTTTGCTGCACATTTCCTAAGTTACTCAAATCCTCAACTGATTCGGAATCCTGTAGAAGAATTAGCACAACAAAGCGCTTGATTAGTGAAGACAATTATCGATATTCCCAAGCGAATGAGGTAATTTTAAATTAGCTTTAACAATAGTGGGAAGTAAATAATGAACAATGGACTATTTTAAAATGTTATCACAAAGTAAAATTGATAAATTCTTTGAAACTGAATTTTATAAAATTAATGTATACTACTAAAAAGTTAAACTTGTATCAAATTGTAATTTTTTGAATATACTAAATAGTAAATTTAATCAATACTTTGTAAAATGTTAAGCTACTTACTTTCATTCGATCAAGTTCATCAAAATCATTTTTCTGAGATGCAAGTGTTCCATCACGTCGAAGTGATGAATCCCTTGAAGGTCCCAACTCTTCTTTGAGTGAATCAAAACCTGGTTGTTCTAATCTGACTCTTGCTACTGCTTTTTCAACATCATCAGTAACAAGCTCAACATTGAATATACATTTTTTCACTATGTCCTCTCGGCCGATTTTATTCAGTGCCTTCTCAAGTGTATTTCCTGTTAAAATAAACAAAAAAAAACTAATAAAATAATAATATATTTTGTTTCCAGAATATAAGAATTAACTCAAGTACACATAAATGCTTTCATTCATTTAAATTCTCGTTAAAACTACTCAAGTGTAATAATTGAGACCACGCGGACGCTCACAATTCGACTCTTCTTTTCTTATCTTATTTCACTCTCCAAGTACCACGTTGAGATTATCTTCTGATTGAAAACAAACCTCGTTCTCGAGTTATTTGGACTCGTGAAGGTAATGCTCTGTTGAATAGCAAGTGAAGTTCACTTGTGTAACCCGAGATTGATGGATTCTCGTAGGCTTGGTAGAGAGTTATAAACATTTCTCAACGATAATCCTAATATTTACGTTGATAATATGATCGATTTTACTAAGTAGTTTTTTAAATTATCTGTAAGTGCACTGGGTATTGAATATTCTTTAAAATTAATTATGCACTTTTATAAAATAATATAATAGCACCACCTTCGCTTTCTGACGAATACAAAGTTACTGCCAACGTACTTAACGACTTGTTGTTTCTTCTTTTGATGATGATAATAATAATGATGTAATTCGCGTGCTTAAGACTCTAGCAATATGATTAACATGACATAAAATAGTGGGAGAAGCGAGGCGTTCGGCTGTAACATCTCCTATCTAGCATGTTTATGCCATAGGCATAATAATGCGCATGGTGAGTTCATAAACTAAATGACTACAAAGATTCCAGACAGTTGACTCAAGCAATACCTATCATATTCTGTTGTAATTTGTCAAGTCAACAATTTCATAATTATTTTTATTCATAAATTAATGATTATAGTCGGAGGTTTTTTTTTCTCAATAGTCGGTTTATAATAGTTTAAACGGAAAAAATTTGATGCAAGCAAAGAGATATTATTAAAAAAGTTAAATTAAATTAAATTAAAAAATCTTTTAATTTTATTTGCTGAATAATACATTGTGACAAGGACACAACCTTACGTCAGAAACGTTATTTCAATCTGCGACTCATCAGTTCATTTTCTTAATTATCACCATTCGCGCACTATCAACGAGTAACCGGATTTTTATAATATTCAAAAGTCAAGGTTATTGAATACTATACAATATTGGTTACACTTGAATATATTTTTACGCTCTAATTATTGTGATTAAACATTATTCTGCATTAATAATTTTGATACTTCGAATTTTTATTTATGATGAAATAAAATTATTGAATACAAAATAATAATTGAACTTGAATCCTAGAATTAATATCATTATTGAGAAATCTATCGAATATTCAGATGGTTAATAACTTTTTTTTTTTTTTTATTCAGTTTCATCTTTTCAGTAAAAAGCATATAAATAGATGAATTTTTCTTCAATCATTATTTCATAAAACATAATTATTTATACTTTAATTTAGAATAATTTTTTTCTTGATATTATATAATATAGAATTACATTTAATCTTTAATCATAGCGCTTATTTAATATATTTAGAGATTATACTAACCAGTTACTTTATTGCCATTGCCCTGCCACAATTTAAACATAGCAGCAGCTTGAAGTGCTGGTTTACCCGGATATTCATCTTTAATTAAATTGACATCAGCAGGCAATACGTTAAGTTCTTCGGCTAATTTTTCCCAGTCACGATCAAGGAGATTCGCAATATCCGTCAGACGGATAGTCGCTCTATGAATTGTATCCGGACGACCTACAAAAGTAAAATTGTATTAAAATATTATTATTATTTGTATAGGTATCTACGAAGATGAATTAAATAAATCTTACTTATACCGCCATCACGTAAGAAGCTATAATTCTTGGATAATTCAAGTAAATCTAATTCAGAATGCCCAGTCTCAGGTGAAATTTTTTCCGGTAACAAGATATTCAACGTACATATTGGTAATTGTGGTGGTTCGCCCTTGGCCACCTTTGGTTCACTCATAAACATTATTCTACCAACCATGTCCGCTGCATCTGGATCTTTTACTCTTGCCGTGAAAGGCACGCGATTCTCCTTAAACGCCCGGAAGGGTAACTGAAGTTGTTCACCGCTCTTCATAACGGGTACAAGGTTACCGGCAAACTCCATGTATTGAGTTTTGCCCTCGAGTACTTCAACATCACGGCTTTTTGCTACTTCTGTAAAATGCTCCTGATGCTCCAAAGTTTTGTCTTCTTTGTCATCTGTCATACAAAAGACACGTAATCTCGCCTCCAGTGGGTCAACTCGTTTTGCAAACACTACGAATCTAACAATTAACAAAGCAAAAGAAATTAATTTAATAAAAAAAAATATATTTTTGTCACCTAAACAAAACTAAAAACATTAAAAATATAATTAAGTGACATACTTGGCCATGAAAGGTACATGTGTGGCGTGGGTATAAAGCTCGGTGGCCATTCGCGTAGCCTCGGTAATATTCCTACAGTCCATGAGCCAAAATCTTGCGGATACGGTAGTGGTAAAAGACACACAATCCTTGACGAAAGTTAGGGGCGTAGAGCCGGTTACATCCTCCCAGACCGCCCGTGACTGACCCCCTGAACGACATACATGCCAAGTCCAATAACATCATTAAAATATGTCAGTGATGTAATTACAGCAATGATTAAAATAGTGAATCGTGTAATAGAGATATATATTTATAAATCTTCTGATATTAAATACAGTTTATGTGGAAAAAAAAATATAATAAAAAAAATTATCTTTAAAAAACAAGTATAAAAATTATATTTAATATTTTGTTCAATGAATACTGTATTTAAAGTCAGTTTTGTTGTATGTGCCTTATTGTTATGTGCTTGGTATCGATGTAAAAAAGTAGGAATAATAATAATAATAATAATAATAATAATAAAAGTGTCACCGACTTATGATAATGCTTGCGAAATAATAACAATAATAATTATAATAATAAAAATAATTATGAACCAATAATTATACCCTTTCATAAAGCAATGGGCGTGAGTGGTAGTTGAAAAGCGGCAAACTATAACCGAATCACATATAAATAAAGAAATAAATTGCAAGTGTATTTTAATCGCGAGAGATGAAAATTGAAAAATTAATTCATTTAATAAAAGGTATGATTTTACAAAAAATTTGTTTCAAATGTAAAATATAAAAAGTAAGAGAAGAAAGATACATTTGCTGTAAATTTTTGATATTTTATAATTAAAATTAAAAAATTTTAAATACCAATTATTATAATAAAATATGGATAAAATGTATTAAACGACAATTAATAATAATTATAATAATGATAAAAATAATAACAACACTGGGAGTAAATTTTTGATGTGAAATACATCTATGTATGTTTATACATATTATCTAAGCAATTATCATTCAAACGAATTATGTGCTGAAAAAAAACTATTGAGTTTACCAATCCACAATGAGCTAGAAATAGTTAAAAAAAATTTATCTACATTTAATTAATGATCCATACCTAAATGACTCAATCCTAACAATACGCAAGCATTAACAATGAATCACAACAAGATAATGTATACAACAATGGTACTCGACTTTTGTTACTTTTTTTTTTCCATATTTGTAAAACTTTTTTGTTTTATAAATTGTACAGTTACCATTTGGCCTACGAATCTCTAGTCCAGAAATAAATTATAGTATTATTATTCAATATATAATGTTACTGCTAATAAATAAACTGTAAGTTCACATAATAATTTTAAATATAAATAACCATTATTAATTATAAGAAAATGATACTATTAAGTGTTATTTACTAATGGAAAGAGATCGCCCAGTCAAGCTGGTGACTGCTCCTACATTGTTACGCGCAAGAATATATTACCAGTTATGCTGCACAGAAGCCTCAAAGTTGGTGCATCGCCAGAGTACTGATTAATCATGCCCTTGTTGGCTGCTTGTGGCACGGGTATAGTCAATGTAATGGGCTTATGGAATTTTCTACGGCGTGGTTCAACAGTCACGATGGGCGATACTGCTACTCGATTTCCCAAGAGTTTAGCCACCAATTCCGCAGGTATTGGATGAGCCTACCATCAATCAAAAATTATATATATAACATACTGAATTCCAAGATAATTATTCAAGTGAATGTTGTTGTTGAATCTAAGCTAAAAGTACCTGTAGGCCAACTCTAATTTTCTTAGTGAGCGCCGCTGGTGGAAACACGGCTTGTACTTGTGGTACCGCTGATGATGAAACAGTTCCACCCTCAGGACCAACCGCGTGAACTTCTTGTCTAATCCGCGACACCACGGCGAAATAATGGGGAAAGTCAACCGTGAGAATACGTACGATTCGTGACGTTTGAAGATCTTCTAGCTGGCTTAGTTCTATAAAGAAAATAAAATTTATAATTTATGTTCTCAACTACACATTAACATAATGAATAATATTAAAAATGATTAATATACTAAATTCTTCTAATTCATACCTTCTCCTTCAAAGCTCTCATTAAGCACATCCTGAACAGCTTCCTCACTAGCTTCCAGGGTGTGCTCGCGCCAGGTCTCTCCATTGTCTGATCGAAGAATCACAATCTCTCTTTCCTTACCTCGAAGAGAAGCAAAGTGTGGTACTTCGATGATAACGGGCCTGAAATTTGTTTTTATTTATTATTAATATTTATATAAACTCATATTAATAATTTATAATTAAAAATAATAAAACTGTAAATATACCCCAAAAATTTGGCCGCAACTGGTCCAAGTTCAAGTATTCGACTGGCAAGCGCTTCACCTTCCATTAAAGGAGGTGGATTCGTTAATTTATCTCTCTTGAGATATCTGCAGGTAATTCTCATCGGCATCGCTGCTTTGCGTGGTGGTACAATAACTCGTACACCACTGTGACGACATCCTCGCATTGCTCCACCACGAGCATCCACCAGGAACGAAACCAAAAAGCTGTATGTGACAATATAATGTATGACATTAAAAAAAAAGCTTATTTATTTGAATATCGCACTTCTGTGTGTTTTGCATACGAGTTATTGTCTTTGTAAATATAATTTATCAATTTTTTTTTTATTCTATTCAAAGCTATGTACATATAATTTTTCAGTTATAAAAATTTCAACAATAGTCTGTAGGTTGATAATAATATTCTGAAAAATTATGTGTACTTTGTTTAATATTATAAAATATGCAAAAATAAGTGTAAATAAATATAGATTGTTTTATAAAAATATATTAATAATCATGGATAAATTCTTAAATGCAAAATTGTTTATGTAATTATTTTAATTTCACTGTTATAATTATCACAAGGAAATAACAACATAAAATTATATTGATTACATTCGACAATTTACCCACTTATAAACGTATATATTGTATTTGTATTTTAAAGAATAAAAAATTGAGTGATCAACAAATAAAATGAAGTATAAAAAAAATATTTACGATAGTTGCATCATTAGATCATACGAGATATCTGTTTGTATCTAAATGTGACGTCGCGGCTAATATTAAAGACAATTTACTCATAGGATAAAATTAAACTAGTGTTTATTAAAAGTAAATGTAATTCTTATTTATAAATGAGAACTAATTATGAGTAAGTAATGTAATTTGATTGACTAATATACAAGCAATAATTTTAATTAATGCTATCATGTGTCGATGATTTTTTAACGATAATCTCACAAGTTATAATTGTGCAGTGTAACATTTTGTGCTTTTCTGTACTATGAATAGATGTTTGTTTACCGTTTTGTTATAAATTAATAGATTTGCTGTTCTTTTTTTATATCTATATATTATGATAAGCAGATGAATGATATGTATGATTAACTAACAATTACTATATATTAAACACAATATTAATAAATACATTTTTCTAGTCTACGTCTATTAAAATTTTATAAACAGGAATACATATTGAAGAAAAATTGACTATAAACTTTATTATTGTTTGATTTTTAGTAAATTTTCTTTTGTTATCGAAAAAAGTTGTCGAGGTAAACTTTGATGAATATGTATTCACTGCCCTTTTAATGTTGCAAGGGAAAGTGGAATTCTAAATGAGCAGCATTAATCAGCCACTACGATATATATATATATATATATATATATATATATATATATATATATAACGAGAAAGGTAGTGCAAAACTAGCAACGAATAGTAAACAATTGTGACGGCTGTTAATTTTAAATAAAAAAAATTGAAAATGAATTAAAATAAATAATTGTATCTTGCCACAGAGTAATTACTTTAAAGAAACAAAAATAACAATAATAATGAGGCAGAGGAGTAAAATTTTGTTGTTTATTTCTCATTCACTTACTTTCTCCATGATGGAATTCTGCGAGCGCAAATAAAATAACAGAAAGAATCGGAAACAAAATAAAAATACGCGTTAGTATTTCTTTTATTTTCAATAAAATATATGAGAAATGTGGTCTATCATTTTTTTAACTATCACTGGTGATTAACTTTTTTTTTTTTTTTAATTTTAAATTTAAGGAACTCTAAATGTTGATATAAAACAATAATAATTATGTATTATAGTTGAGATTTGGATTATAGCATTTCACTCACACTGTGCAAGATGACTGAGGGAATCGTGTCGCAAGCCTCAATGATCACGGGAAGTGATAACTTAAGTTATAAATAATAATGGGGAACAATAATAATTAAATATAATAATAAAAAAAAAATTAATAATTAACATAAACGATACTTTAATATATTGTCAGCCACTAGAAGCGTTCCTGCCAAGCAATCCTTATTTTTTATACCTCAATAGATTATGGGGTTCCATATTTATATTCTTCCTTCTTTTATGTAGACGTCACAATTTTCATTTTGCTTTGCACATACAGTAATAACTTGTTGATTATTAAAATTTATTATAAGTAAAAAAAACTTTCCGTGTTGATATTGAAAATTAGATCATATAAAATAATTATTTCGCACTTTAACCATTTTTTAAGTATTAACAGGTGCTTAAAGCATCAGTTAAGTTAAAATATTTTTAATTGTTATAAATATTTTTATTTAAAAAAAATGTTATTTAGCAAATAAAATAATGAAATTAATTAATAATAATAATAAGAACATAGAAATAATTTTGAAACCCATGGTCCAAGTATTAAAAGATTAAAAAATATAATTAAAATAAGATATAAAGGTGATACCTGTCCCTCCACATTCCTTGTCCTTTAGGTACGATACCAAGGGCTGCCAGTGACCAATTTAAGGAGTCTAGTGACGGTCTAAGTATTGGAACAGAACTCCGTAATAATTACATTCAGGATAAACTCATCTAAACCGTGCTCATGCTTTTCTCTACCATTTTTTTGTTCGTTCTTTTGAAAAACTTTAGTTTATAATACACGTGCAAAGACTTTATATCAAATCCTTATCATAAATAACAAACTTGTGAACCTAATAAACTAAAACTACTGTGCTACATAAAATTTTATAATACAGTAGCAATGATAATGAATCACAATGGATGTGAAATTTAACTTAAATTAAAATAAAATAAAAAAAAATAAGTAAATGAACAAAATGATAATTTATGATACATTAAAAAATTAAATAATGGGTGAACTTTTTATAGTTATTACACAGTAACAGGTGTAACAGGTATGACAATAATAAATAAGAATTTCTATTCACTATATATGAAATCTGCGGGCGCACAGTAAATGGAATGAATTTCACGAGAGAAAGAGCTTGAGAAAAGTCGACACACGATGAGCGACTGCGAATAAATGACTGTCTCTTAACTTACTCTGCTTGTTTCATTGGCAAAAAGTTGAGTAGACGGGTTATATATTAAATTTAAGAGTGTCGGAGAATATAAGTTGGTGAATGAAATGAACGCACAATGATACTGAATGAACTAACTCCAACCAGAATAATATCCCGCAACGGGATTGAGTGCGGTCGTATAAAACACCGGTAATAGTACTTGATTTGTATTCATAAAATAGACACTCTGGCCGAGGATTCCCTAATTGGTCATAGGTATATCGCTTGCTGATGACTTGTAGGGCCTACCATCTATACGTTATGTTTATAATATAGTATTAAGTCTATATCTATAAGTATAAAACTATGATTTACTGTTATTATATATGGTTACGCTTTCATGATTGTTTTACTCTATTTTTAGAACAGTTCTATATTTTTCTTCCTTCCTAAGACACTCAGTCAAACCATATCGTTGATAGGATTTTTTTGAATATTATTATTTTTTAAAGAAAAATATTATTAGTCATGCTAGGTTTTTGCACACACCACACACGTATTACAATTTCAATCAAAAAACAAATGATTCATTTTTTTTTGTTAGATTGTGATAGGATATCAGACTTAAATAACAACAAACGGTGCCTCTAAAAAGTAATTAGTTAAAAAAAGAAAAAAAAATCATTTTGAATAAATTTATGAATTTAAAAAGTTGCATTTAACTCTCACACACCCATATCACACTATAATACAAATCATTATTGCTCCAATGTTAACTAATTGTCATATTTACATTGGGAAATATTTATATATAATTGATTATGTAAGAAAATTGGTTTTTTTTTTTTTTTTTTTATACAATTAAAACTTCTTTTAGTTGATAATTAATCAGCTTGACTTAAAGTCTTAAGTATAGTTTATTTATAATAAAATACTGATAATTACTTAGATAGTAAAGAATATGATTTGAAATGAAGTAAAATAGATAGGTGAGGATAGATGAATTATAAATACATACCCAACGTGAACTGGATGCCTATTGATGTCAATATTATCAGGCTTAAGATTCGCAGCATTCGAGCGATGATAGTTTTCTTTCGTGATCATATCTGTAACCGTGGCTCCTGTTAATTGACAATAAATATAGTAAAATATTCTTATCAGTAGTATAGGTAATGTAAACGGAAGTATATAAATTAGAAATTCGAGACAAGTTAATAGCAGATAATTGACTGACCTCCGGAATGTCGATTGTCCCTCTCATCGTCAGTGACGTTTACTCTCATTGAATCGTCTCCCATTGACTTCATGTCATCAACAGTCATGTAACGATATTGCTGTTGGTCGCTGAGCATTGGATCTTCGCCTACGAATAATTTTGTTATTTTTTAAAAAATACAAATCTCAATTAACAATCGTCACATATTATACATGGATTATATTATTATCGTTATTATGCAAGAGTTATTTAATAATTTAAATGGTATGGTTCAATGACAACAAATCAATGACTGCAAATTAAAAATACAAAAATTATTATAAAATAAAAAAAAAATGATAAATTACAGAAGCATTGTTAATTGCTTGATCACTCATGAAGCTTATGAACTAATTATGAACCAAAGAATAATTTAGAGTAAATAAAAAATATAATGAATTTAATATAATTATGAATATGAATATTAACTGGATGCAGTATTATTAAATGTTATTTTTTTGTCAAGAATAACGAAGTGGTATTTCGAAATTCAAAATTTAATAGCTTCCTGCTGGTGAATTCATGAAAATAAACAGTTAAAATCTGCACGGCATAGAATTGTTTATACTAATATATATTCTCGTTTCCTAATATAGCTGCCGAAATATAATAAAAAATAATTATAAAAAAAAACCTTGAGTTTAATTTTCTCGTTTTTCTATTCACCTTAATAGATAAAGAAAAAAACAAGTATTTCGATTATCGATTATTGTAGATAAAAAACTAATTAACGAATAGATCGTACTACAATTGACACTTGAATAACGTATTAACCGTACGTTCTAATGAACAGGTCAAGAATGTGAAGTATATACATTTCAAATTGAATTGACCCAAGAATTCGTACTGCCCACGTCAACGCTAATGCTTCCAACGTGTTAAGATATAATGTAAAGAATGTGACATATATAAAACCAAATTTCCAATGGCTATATAGTAAATCTGTTGTAGCTATTTTAGTATTATATATCTTTTGGATTTAAGTATTTTCTTTTGTTATTCTCTGTGACAAAAAACTTGGCACGTGCAATAAGAATTTACGTCTGTCTAACCGGCGTCTTGAAGAGGATTTGAAAACGTGCAACGCAATAACATCGTATAAAAAGTTTTATTAAAATAAATATTGACAAAAAAGCATGTGTTAATATTTAAAAATAAAATATTAGAATACTTGATCGCTTTTTTCACATTATTGATAAATAAAATTGTTTTATTTTTTATAGCTTTAAGCAGTACTTAAATTTTTTTTATCTTGAAATAGTTAACGCAGTATCGCCATCGACCTATATTACCACTGCTTATACTTATCCCTACAAAAATTTATTAATTGAATAAATAGCCTTCAGTTTAATGCCGTAAGGCTGATAAAAATCATCGAAATATCGTTACAAGAATAATTTATTTTTATAATTTGATAATTTATTCTAATTGTTTAAAATTGTAAACGATAAAATAAATAACAGTATATCAAATTCTAAATGTCCGTGTCCTTTTTACGTCATAACTTTAATTTTGATCTATTTAAAACTGCTTACTCACATAAAAGACTGAAGAATTTTATGAACCGCGATAAATTATTTAGAGCATTTGTAATTGTTTATTCACGCCCTCGTTCATTTAGCCAAGACATTGAATCATATAGATTAATTTTCTCTAGTCCGTTGTCAAAAGTTCAGGGATTTATGTTAATGATATACCTATACAATGCATTTTCCATTTTCCATCTCTAATAAATGTATTCTTTCGATAATAATATACTAGGTCTATATTCCACAATGTAGCTCCTGTAATATCATCTTGTGTTTACAACAACAGAATACATACCCTGTATACTAATGTATATACCTTCAACGAGATCTACAACAATATTCACATGCTTTACCTGACCCAGATGTATTATATGATATGAATACCAATCGCTTCCTTCATTCGTTTTAACGATGACGCGCGCCTTAAAGACCGTGATGTAATCAAATTACCCGAGTCCACTAGTCTAATGCATTATGTGCAGGATGTTTATTATGTATTTGTAAAAAATTACATTATTTTCAGCTACTAATGCTAATCCCGATAAAAAAAATATCAATGAGAATTTCAATAGACATACTTCGAATACTATGAATAAATTTTTTCTTTTAACAAATAAAATGAATACTCCTCGATAATTAGCGTATAATAGTGAAGCGCATAAAATACATCAGCGTTAATTTTTCCGACTAGTCACGTTGTTATGACGCAATACCTCTATTTTGTTTAAATTTAAATGAAAAATGATGTTATAATGAAGAATTCTAAAATTCGTTATTTTTAATTACAAAATATGTCGCTGTTCCTGTTACGAGTGCACCCACAGCATGGCATTCTCTTCGGCTTCTTCCGAGTCTTCACTTTTGCGTTATCTTCAACTATTTTGTCCTTGGCCATTTTTAACTTCAATTACACGGCACAATTATGATTGTAGAAAAAAAAAAAAAATACTGACAATTTTTCTTACAGGAAAAAGTTAGGTACAAAAAAAAAATTAGTGAATATTACAAAAAGGTTCAATATAGGTAAAAACCAAACAATTAATTAACTAAACAGAAACCACATACGCACTATCACAATTTATTATTTTATATCCTTTTTTTTTTCTTGTTCTATGTCAATCTAAATATTCTTCTTAAATTTTTGAAACTTTTTCTTCGTCGAAGTGTAGAGTCTTTACAGCAAGTAAACAATTCTGATCCACGTTCTCATATGTTATACTGCTCGAGTGCTTCTAATGTTCTGAATAGTATCTCAATTAAACTCAGAACAGAACGCCCGCCTTCGATGATCAGGAACAGCGACTGGTATACCGTAGATTGATTCAAGATCGGCGCGCGTCTACTAATGTGACCTCACGTTCATAGAGCACCAATTTTATATTAGCATCTGTGTGAAGAGATCTTCAGTGCTGATTCTCCCCACTGATTTCTTCTCTATATTTTTTCATGTATTAAAATAATACATTGCCGATAATTTTTGCGTCATGAAAACTCAGAGTAGAAAATTCGAACTTTGGTAGTGAAGTAAGGTAACGTGGAATATAATTACATTAGTTCAGTTTGCAAATGCAAGTGTTAAAGTAAACACAACATAAACTTTAGCAATTATAAATTCGTCATAAATTTCATTGTAAAAATAGACAGTTTAACATAAATGAATGTTGTTTTGAATATTATTATTGTTTTTAAAATATTTTTTATTTTTTAATTGGCCTTGCTCTATTATCCAAATTCTCCAATGTGCGTACGTACTTCTCAAATAACTATATTACTACTACACCTCCTGTTACATAAATTAAACGTATTTCGGTCGACGTTTTGAATTTGGCAGTTTGCCAACTAACGTCGAACTGACTACACCACAAAATAAGAACCATAGAATAAGGCTGTACAGCTCTGAGGGATTATGTAACAGGTAGGCGGTGTGGGAAACACGGGTGCTGCTACGATATTCACCACATGACGACGATGACGATGACAACGACAACAATAATAAACCACCTTCATATACGTTAGATCTAATTGCCCTTTACAGTGTAATATAACGTTAAAAGTATGCTACTATAATAGTGACACAATATGCACTATTGTACCGTCATCTTTACATGTTAATTGTATTAATTGTACAGTGTCCTAATTCCATTCACTACATTTGATCACGTTTATTTTCCATAATATCGGTTGGCAACATTCACGTCTTGATATATATATATATATAGTAAAATAATTTATCATATAAAATCTAAATAAAATAAATGATCTCTATGTGTCTTCAAGGTCGATTATAATTATATCATGAATGACTTCCGTATGATTATGAATTGAAGATATATATATATATATATATATATATATATATATATACGTGTGGATATATAAAAAAATAGTGACTGAAAGAATCCAGAGCTTTTTCAAGTACCTCTTTCAATTTCTTTTACCACAGACGAAATGTATCATAATCTAATAATAAACGAGACTATATTTATTATACCTAAAACTATCGAGTGAATATTAATCACGATAAATATGATACGATAAAAAATATTATTTTTATAGATTGCCTGATGTTTGTAAAATAAAACTACGTATTGATGCAAATTTACTACAACACTATAAATTAATATTAAAAGAAGATTGATGTAATTAAGTTATTGTAACGATTATTGGAGTATGTATGTGTTTTATATAAATATGTACTACTGAATGATTGAGACATTGTTTGTGTAGTGATGTGACAAAAAAAAATAATAATACATAAAATATATGTAGAGGAGATACGAGGGTAAATCGACATCGAGTAACAGTGAAGTGACAACATTTGGTGATACTTAAACTTACGAGTGTAGGTCATTTGGCCCTGGTAGTAAGAAGGGAGGTACACATGTTGCGCGTGAGGCGGCTGTCCGTACACATTCATGGCCGCAGTGCCGATCTCATCACCACCTACATTTTATCATCGAGTAAAAGCTCAACTCGTCTGCTTTTTTTTTTTTTTTTTTAATTTTATTTTAATCAATCAAAATATTAAAAAAAAAATATCCAGTAAAATTTTTATCGTACAGCATTCGCAATATTCTTCAGCTGTTACTTTCCACTGAAGACAAGTGGAGCAAACAAGAATAACTCAAGAAGAACATGCTACTTCCAACAGAAATGTACGAAAAATAATATTTAATACTCCTTTTTTTTTTTTCAATAAAATAATTTTTGCATTAATCTCAATAGCTCGCATCTGCATTTACTGTCAATAATATAATAGAATACACATTAAAAAAAAAATCTAAAAAATAAAGTCCAAGTATCTCGAAAACTGACGCAAAATAATATTTATTTAATTTTTTTAGTCTCAATCATGCAAATATCCCATGCAATTAGTTAAAGTTTTTACACCTTTCGTTAATACAATTATTCAATTTCCAATTCAATTTTTTGATTATCTAACCTTACACATAAATAAAAACACGTGCTTGAAAAATTTTTATAGAATTTAAAAGTATTATTTTATGTATAAAATTGAAATAAGTTATTATAAATTTGAATATATAAATAATATTTAAATTATATTGAATTCAAGTGTACTTACCACCTTCGTCTTCACTATCACTCATAAACGTTTCTTGCATAGATTCTGGTGCTTGAACTCTGTATTTTTCTTCAATCGTGGTCGTATGTGTCGTCGTAATAATTGTTTCTGTTACAACTTTGAGCGTTTCGACAACACTAATATAACCAAGTTTTTGTGCAATCGCTAAAGCAGTTTGTCCATTCTAAAACAAGAAATAAATTATCATTACATATATGTGAAAAATAGTATGCTATACTATGATTCAAATAAACAAAAAAAATTTTAGAGGGTAATCTTACGTTTGTAACTGCATTAGGCTTGGCTTTACTTTCGAGTAGTAAGTTAATAACAAGCGTGTGGCCTTGCTGTGCAGCTTGATGCAATGGGGTATAGCCGGCTCCAGTACTACTGTCTACTGCTGCACCCGCCCTCAGTAGGAAACGTACCATAGCTGCTTGACCGAAGTGAGATGCCACGTGTAAGGGTGTATATCCGGCCTAATAGGATGAAATGAAATTTTTAAAGTTTGTTTTTTTTTTTTTATAAATTTTACTTATTCTAAGAAAAAATATACAATTGACACTAATACAATTGTATTAATACAATACTTATTAATATTTAATATTTAATACAATATTATACATTTTAATAAAAGTACTATTACACGGAAAGAACAAGATGACACTAGATGTCATCCCAAATTATACTAAGTGAAAAAAAATTTCAGATAGTATAATCCAGTAGTGAAAAAAAAAATTTTCCATATCCACAGATATCACTGAGTATAATCTGGGATGATATCCAGTGTCATCTTGTTCTTTCCGTTGTATAATTAAGATACTCAAATTTATTAATGCCATATTAATTTTTTTTTAAATAAAAAAATAATTTCTTTTTATACGTCTACTTATAGATAAAATAAATATATCGAATCAATAATTCATAGTGATAGGAAAACAATGAATTACCTTAGTTTTAGCATCAACTTCGGCACCATTTTTCATAAGGATTGTCGCTACATTAGTCTTGTCTTCTTGTGCGCATAAATGTAGCGGCGTAAGTCCATTCTGTCAATAATTAAAATATATTTATTAATTATGATTCAAATAATAAAATAAGAAAAGCATGACTAAATTATGCTACCTTTGCTTTATGATTCGTATCTGCTTTATGTTCAATTAATAATGTTGACATATCTGTATGTCCCTCCTGAGCACTAAGATGGAGAGGGGTGAAACCAGCTTTAGATTCGGCATTTGCTTTAGCTCCATACTCTAATAACGTCGTTGCAATATCCATCTAAAAATATTAAATTATATATGGAATTTTTTTAGAATAAGAAAATAGTTACAATATAGAGTATCGTTAGTCTCAATTTTCAATTACTTGATTTTTTCGTGCTGCAATATGAAGTGGTGTATGACCATTTTTAGCCATAGCGTGAGGTGACGCACCCTGTTCAAGTAGTAAAAGGGCAACGTTTTGATGATCATAATGAGAAGCTACATGAAGTGGAGTAACGCCATTCTGATATTAAAAAAATATAAATTATTTATTCAGATATTCATAGAAATAAATGTCACAATTTAATTAATAAAAATATTTTAATTTAATTACCTTCCCCTGAGCATCAACTGGTGCATTTTTCTGCAATAATAGTCTCGCAACGTTCATATTACCGTACTTAGCAGCAAGATGAAGTGGAGTAAAGCCTTTTTTAGTTGTAGCAGTAAGCGAAGCTCCATTTTCTAATAGAACGGATGCAACCTGACAATTTAATAATAAATGTATCAAGTTTATAGTTAATCGAAAATTAATTTTAATGAACTTAAAATACTTAAATTAAAATTTACCTCTTCTTGACCTTCTTTAGCAGCAATATGAAGAGGCGTGTACAAGTCTTTCGTGGTAGCATCAACTCCAGCTCCGTGTTGTAGTAAAAGCATAACAATATCGACATTACCTAGACGAGAAGCAACATGAAGTGGAGTCTGCTCTTCTCTTGCTCGAGCGTCAACCTGAGCTCCATTTCTCAATAATATCCTGATAATATCGGTTTGATTTGCACGGGCTGCTAAATGGAGTGGTGTTTCCCCTCTAACAGTTGGTATATCGGGACTAGCTTCGTTTTGCAACAAGTATATCACAATGTTCATACATCCCATGAAACTTGCGACATGCAGAGGCGTAAGACCTGACTCTGTGGTGGCCTCGATACTGGCCTTGTGCTTCAACAATAGTTCCACAACCTTGATTCGATTCTTCTTGCAAGCAATGTGTAAAGGTGTGAAACCATTTAATGCACGGGCATTTGGATCAGCATTGCGATCCAGTAAAAGTTTCGCTACGCGAACGTGACCGCAGTGTGCCGCTACGTGAAGCGCTGTTAGATAATCGACTGTGACTTCATCAACTGGAGCCCGATGATAAAGTAATATACGAGCAGCATCCACGTGATCGCCTTGAGACGCCATGTGAAGTGGTGCCAGGCCGTTTTTTGTTTTAGAACCAATGGGTGCTCCTTTTTCTATTAAAATGTCTACGACTTCATGATGACCGGCACGTGCGGCACAATGAAGCGGCGTTAAGCCGTCGCGTGTTTTCGCTGCAATATTCGCTCCTTTGCTCATCAATAAATTAACCATTTTTATTTTGCCCCACTTTGCAGCGACGTGCATAGGCGTTATGTTGTGCTAAAAACAGATTGAAAACAATTTTTAAATAACTATAGGCATTAAATTTTATTATTATAGCGTAAAATTACTCTTTTCAGTCGCATCGTTTGTGCTATAGCTTTTATATACTTCAGATGTTATGAACACCGGGTATTTTAATAATAAAAGAGATATAAAAAAAAATCATACTTTAGCTGCAAAGTTAACGTCGGCTCCTTTATCATAAAGCAAAGAGGCGATTCGATCGTTGCCATAATGGGCAGCAATATGCAGCGGTGTAAAACCGCTTTTCGATGTAACGTCGGGATTGTGGTCGTTCTGAAATTAAGATAATACATTTTTATAGATATATTTTAGAAAAAATAATTAAGTATGAAATGAATATTACTTGAAGAAGCAAAGCAGCAGCTTTGCAATCATCTTTTTTAGCTGCAATGTGAAGGGCGGGAAGTCGCACTTTGCCTCGCGTGTCGTTCTCCAGGAGTACTGCAACGACCTTGTCGTGTCCCTGCTGCATCGCAACAGCCAACGGAGTGAAACCATCCTAAAGTTGGAAAGATAAAATCTCAGATTAGTAATCTATTGAACTATATATTTCTTTTTTATTTAAACACTACATTTAAAATTTTTTTTTTTTACAATTGTAATCACTACTCATTATTTTATTTACCTCAGTTGCAAGAGTCTGATTAGCTCCTTTACTGAGCAAAAATTTAACAACAGAGTCATGATTTTCTTGCGCTGCCATGTATAGTGGAGTAAAACCATTTTGCGATTGTGCGTTTACAGAAGCTCCTCGTTGAACAAGTAATTGTACTACTTCCTCTTGACCCGCTGAAAAAATAGTTACAAATATTTATTAATATAAAAACAATTAAAATAAATTAATTAATTATAAATAAAAAAAAAAATATGTATATATATTTACCAAGTGAAGCAATGTGTAAAGCTGTGTTACCCTTTTTAGTAGCTGCATCTACAATTGCACCGCGCGTCAACAATTCACGTACAATCTCCGAATGGCCGTCCTTGGCCGCCAAATGAAGTGCATTTAATCCATTCTGCAATTATAATAAATTAAAAAATAATTTGTAATCAATTTTGTAATATCTAACAAATAATTACTTTGAAAATTCAGCAGAGAATTCTAATCATTTATTTTATACTTACAGCATTTGATGCATTGATATCAACTCCCGATTCTAAAAATTCTAAAACTTTTTCCAATTGTCCAGCTCGTGCAGCCCGTAAAAATGCGGTACTTGGGTCGCTCTGTAAAATTGAAAAATTTTAAACGGTTAATTATCATATTAATAAAAACTGATAAAAAAAAATATATATAGATGTACGCATTGAAAACAAGTTTATTTATCGAATAGATGTTGTATAATGATACATGTTTATTTAGAATCTTTGATTTTATTTGGTTTAACGATTGCACGGGATATACAACTGTAACCAGGCCTGCCGTAACCGGCTTGTTCGAGTAACCCACGACGTAATCTCTATTTTTAAACTCGACGAGTAGAGCCAGTAAGTTATGGAAGATACACACAAACTTGACAAATATCCACTTGCCAGCGGTAAGATAGTTGCTTTCTCATTTTATCTCATCTAGTACAGATACTATGAGTTATATAGGACTTGAGGATTTCAAGAAAAGTGATGAAAATTAAGTTAGCCGACATTTAGAAATTTTTAGAGTTTTTTTTATTGAAGAAATGATAACAAAAAAAAAAAAAAAAAAAAAAAATTCACTTGTAAAAAAACTTTAAAACCTATAAGTGCAATTTTAAAAAAAATTTTTTTGTTCTAATTTAATGATTAAAAAAAAAATCAAAAAATTAAAATTGTCGGCTAACTTTAGTATTATAGAAAAGTGACATTTGAACTGCCAGAAAAAAGCAAACAAGTCGAATGAGGAAACCAGAATTTCGTTTTATAGTAGTATTAATAATAATAATAATAGTGGTAACAGCATTACAAGTAGGAGTAATAACAACAAATAAAATTAAAAAAGAGCCTGAGGCTCGGTGTTGTGTATTCGCAATCATATACTTCATTGCAATGCCTTAACTGTTAAGTGGTTCAAGGAAAGTCTTTAGATATCACCAATAAATTTTACCTTATTTTGACTTGCTAAGTTGACCAAGATACATTGACCATTTTTTCAGGTAAAGAAATGTTAAATGACTTGCTATCATTTTTTGCCATTAATTACGTCATACGCTACACTAAATCATAAGAATGTAAAAAAAAATGTTCAGTAAACTGAAAAGATTCTATTTACATAATTTAATAAAATAAGTTTCAAGTTAAGAGGCACGTGGCAGCCGTCATATTATCTATCTATTTACAGTACTTGTTTAAATATTTGATAAATTTAAGTTGTAAATTTTTGTCTCTCTTTATATTCATTCATAATCTTGATAGTCTTAGTGATAAGACAAGAAAAAAAAAGACTAACAATAGAAAAGGATATAGTTTTTATTTTATTCTCACAATACACTGTTAATTATCCCATCATTGTTATTATTTACTTTATATTGTGTACTTCAATAATATCATTCGCGTAATTCAATAAAATAAATATAGCATGACATAATGATTGGATCATCATGCCTTTGAATGTTGAAGTGACGTTACAACCAGTTGACCAAGAATTGTCTAGATAAATGTGATATCAAGGACCATCAACATAGACATCATGTGTAGATCAAACTTATTAATAAATATGATCATTGAATTTGCTGTTACAAAATATTTCATTAGTGGTTACTTTTACTCGTGATTATAATTTTATTTAATTAAATTTGAGTTGGAGTGGAGGTAAAAAATTTATAAAGGCTCGAAATAAAAAGTAAGTGTAATACAGAGTAATTGCAATATGAGGGTGTAGTGGATCGAAAAATGAGTATAGGGTGGAATACAGACGCCGAGTTACGGCCTCGTTGGGCGCCGACAAGTCTACCATGTGACGTCAAGGGGTGAGGGAACTTCGTTACTATACATATACAATAAATGCGTATTTTAGTTTTGTTATTTTGTTTTCCTAAAATCAACGCCACTCTATTTTATTTTGATATAAATAATCCGATATAAAATGAGAAAATACCACTATTAAAAAAAAAATAGCGTAGTTTGTTTTTGAATTTACTGGTTACGACAATAGTAATTTTTAACTTCTATCTTCCTTAAAGTATTTTTGATGAGTACAAATGTACGAGGAAGCTTTTTATACTTTTTACTACGCTTAATAGTAGAATAAATAGAGGAGTTAGTCTATTTTAAATTAAAGACGATGAAAAAAAAAAAAAAAGTTATATGCCGCTCAGACGAAGTTCTTTTACAAATAAACTGAGTTGATTCCATTTTTAAATTTAATAGTAAAGACATCAATTTAACTCAATTAACAGTATTCTCTCAGGTAATTTTTTAAACTTTAGGAAATTAAGATACCATAGTTTTATAGGTCATACTTATTTTGGTGGAGGTAAAATAATTTTATAAGTTAACATCGACAACTAAAAATAAAAAAAAAATAGTAATAGTAAATACTTATAATGATAAAAATGCATTATCTTATTCTCAAGAAAACTAAGCTATCTTGTATAAATGCATTCTCAATACTTTTTAATCTACTGAACACGTGTTGTGTCTTTTTGCTGGTACTCTTGAACTGACTTTACTCAAATTTAATACACGTATTTATTATTTCACTTTTTTTTTTTTTTTAGTCCACGTAATGGTTTATTTTAAGTTTGTCATCTCTCTGTTACTCACATAAATATTAAATAAAATCTTAGAAAAAATATATATAGCGTGGTTGTGAAAAGCAAATTTTATTTATTAACTCATAGTAAAAATTTATATTTTCTTAGCCACATTTATATAAAATTAAATTTGAAATTTTGTTTACATTTAATCTATAGTTCAATAATAAAATATAATATATTTACTGACTGTCATATAATTAAAGTGTTATTTTTCGTTAAAATTCAAAAGAATTTCAAACAATCATAACAATTTGCTTGGAAAAAAATTTTATAAGCTCTAATTAATCAATCTAAATAATAAATTTTTTTAATATAGAACGGATGTAGAAGTGTCAGATCAAAATAATGAAAGCACTTGGCTTACGGTGTTAATGAAAATATATGTATATGTATTTATTGTTTGAATAATAGAAGTCTGAATGAATGTAGCATGAGCCAATTACTGATGATGTTAATGGATTACATAGGAGGGAGATGGGATTTTACTACTGGAGATTATACAAATCACAGTTCTGGATATTACCATGACCCACTTGACCTTTTAACTTCGTCGCCATCATAATCACTTTAGCCGGAAGAATCATTTAGCACGACTATAAATGAGACAAGAAGGAACAAAGTGTCAATTCATGCTCTTGACAATGATGTTACATTCATAATTTATCAACTCATAATGCCTTTCTATAGTCTACTATTTAGGGTTGATAATCTTTTAATATTCAATAATATATTACATAATCAAAAGGGATTATTATAAGAAAAAAAAATTAAAAAATTAAATTTTTGATAAGCACAAAATTTTAAGAATACAAAAATATTAACTTGATTTGTGAAAAAAAAATTTCGAACCAAAAAATTCATTTTGAAGAATCTAGTAAAATTTACTTAAACCAAAATAGTTTTTTGGTTTGAGATTTTTTCTCATCAATCAAGTAAAATATCATGGCAGATTTTGAAAAAATTTTATTATAAGAACAATTTCATTAAATATATTGATAAAAAACTTAACTAGATTCAAGAAAAAAATCTTGAGTTGAGAAAATAATTTCGATCATTCTGTATCGAGCAAAAAAGTTTTTGAACTAAAAAATATTTATTGATTTAAAGAAAATTTTTCTTCATAATTCAAGACAATGAAATTCTTCAAAATGATTTTCGTTGTTCAAGATTTTTTTTCTTGAATCAAGATAAATTTTTTAAGAATTTTAAATTAAATCAGGAAGATAAGTCTTACATAGAGGGTTATAATAATAATAATAATATAATAGATATTTATTATAGACAGTTTTATAACTCAAAGTGTTCTTATATATAAATCATGTCATAAATTTACTGTATGACGGCATCTCCCGTAAATAAATGACAATTGTGAAAATTAGCCTTGACCAAGATCACGTGTGTTTACTAGATCCTTTTGTGATTATTTTTATTTTAGTTTATTACAGTCATAAAATTATAGCAAAGAGGAAAAATAATGAATCTAATAAATTACAATAATTGTTGTGACCGTCGTAATTATTTTAATTTTATCTAGTTAATTAAATTTTTTTAACGAGTATAATTATAAATTGAATTACAATTGTAATTTTAACAGGTATATGTTGTGTGATATTACGATGAGCTTACTTTAAATTGCTCGCGTGGCTTTCAGGGTCACCTAGGAATCTAACTTGTAAAGCTGTGAGTTCGTTGACTGCTTGACACATCGAAAATAATGGCCTAACGATATAATAAAAATAGTATGTGTTGAGTATGAAGTGAATGTAAGATATAAAGAGCACGAAAAAAAATTAAAAAATAAAATAAAATAGAATATGAGAATGGGAATAGAAGTGGACAGGACGAAAGAAGAGTCAGATCGGACTTGAAGCGTGACCAAAGAGCAGCGAACCACATCGGCGACACGTTCGCACGTCGAACTAAGAAGAAATGAAACAAAAGAAATAATGCATAGTGGACTTACTGGTGTTTATTTCCACGAGGGTCTGTGGTACCTGACATACCGAGAAAATAACTAATCTAATCTCAAATTATAATTTAGTACAGGAAATTTCATTTTAAAAAAAAAAATTATTATTGTCTTGAGAAGGAAGTTATTTTTACAAAGAGAAAGTTCACTTTTTTAACGAATCACCAGGTAAATAAAAAAATAATTAATACTACATTACTTGGTCTTAAGGTCATTAGGTCAAGTATCAAGTTATACTATCCGACTTCATACTGAGCAAATATAATCATTGTTTCAAGTTAGGTCAAGTGTACTGCTGTATGTAATGTATAATATATAATGGTAGTGGTAAATGAAGTAAAGGTGAGAACTTAAAGAGAAGGACAAGGTGGGTAACTTGAGAGGAAGCATACAAAGGGACAAAATTATGCACACGCTTCTATTCATCGAATAAAGTGCAATTCAATGCAGAGATAACCCAATGAGAGACGCTTTTCTAATGAATACAATAAAGAAGGGTCTAAATTGTATTGCACTGTAACAATGATTTAATAAATAAATCCAGTTGTACCTTAATCTATATCAATTTATATTTTTTATATTATTTTTAGTTTTTTGATTTAAAATTTGAAAATAATTCTAATTCGTGAAGATACTAGACTTTATCCAATAAAGATTTTTAGTAAATACAATCGATTGATTTTTAAAACTGAATCGCAAACTTGCTAAAATAGGTTCATTTTTTTTTTTAATCAAAGACTTAAAAAAATAAACGCTAAGAATGTTTCTTTATGTTTTTTAAAAATTATTCATTAAACTTTAAACTTAGGAAGTTGAATACACACACTGAGAGAACAATTTATTTGAATCCAATGAGACTCGTTTATTATAAAAAAATCTCTTATTTAAAACGACCAACTGATACTTATTTGACACAATTAAATGAATTTAGTTGAAACGAATACACAGAAAGAAATGAAGGAAGACCGAAGTTGTGTTGGCCGAAGTAAAAATTTTTCTTGAAATTCTATTCTTGGTGGAAGTAATTTTTTCTTAATTCAAATTATCATAAATACTTGATACAATAAATTTTTATATTTGATCAAGACTTTTAGATACTTTAGGGAAACATCGCCACCTACTTCAGCTGAGAAAAAAATTATCTCATCTTGAGAAAATTTTTCTCTTGAATATTTGATACCCATTTTAGATCATTTTAGCACGCAATTATACATATTGAATGAAAAAAAAATGATTCAATATTATTTGATCTTCCCATTTGACATGTTAGTCAATAGAAATATTAATGAAAATTTACTATCAAGATATTTAATTTTTTGGAGCAAGAGAAAAATTTTCTCAAGACAAGAAAATTTACTTTTGTCAAGAACTTAATTTTTTGGAGCAAGAGAGAAATTTTCTCAAAACAAGAAAAATTTTCTTGACTTAAATAAATTGTCTTGGATCAAGAAACGTATTTCTTGAAGCAAGAGAATTGATTTGTTGGAATAAGTGAAATTTCTTGTGTCAAAAAAAAATTTTTTTTTCGCCCAAGTAAATAATTATGAAGAAAAATATTTTCTTGGCTCAAGTGAACCTTTCTTTCTGTGTAGAAGGTTTATTCAGTGTATTTGTTTGAATGAAATAGTTATTTGCTTATAGTTAACAAATGTTTCTTTAATCCTTTAAAATCATTTATTTCAGTTAAATTAGATTTTTTAACTATAAACAAATGTGATATTTGAATGTCGATAAAGAAATCATACTCTGTAATACAGTAAATAATAATATCTGACTTATTTTTAGAGTTATGAAATCAATGAGGATAAGTTTATTTATATAATTTATATTGGGATATTTTGTAATAAACTAAAATTCGAGATCCGAGTTAGATTTGATAGTTTTTTTTTTTCCATTATTAAATTCATTAAACATTTATGTATATATATACAAAATTACTCAATTATAACAAGCAACGATAAATGTATTAAAATTACGATAACTCAAATAGCGACACAAATGTCCCATGATTTATTTCAAACGAGATTTGTTAACTATTAACAAATCTTATTTGAAAGAAATAAATGGGCGAATTCAATCAAATAAACCAGAACAAAAAAGTATTTGGTTCAAAGTAATGAAAATTTAAATAAAACAAATATGTTCATATTAAATACGAATTTTTAAGTTAATTTAAATAAATCCACGAATTTAAATCAAACAAACTGTTTTCCCAGTGTATTTTTACGAGGATATCACTATACACATGTGAGAATTCTGCAAACTACATTGCAGTCGAATATTTGTTCGTATTATTGAGCTCAAACAGTTCAAAATATTGTAATACAACATTTGTTGAGCACTTTGAGCTCTAATATAACAACAAGTTCCAGGGATTGTAGGGTTAACAATTTTTAAAATTTTTAACTTCCTACTTTGAAAGTTAAAAATTTAATTTTCAAAAGTAGGAAGTTATAGATTTCGGTCCAATTTTAAGTATACGAATTTTCTTCAACGAGGGAAAATAAGGCTAACATTTTCGACATCGCAATTCGCATTTAGTATATAGTTGGGTTGCTTTGTTACGTTGCCAGTCCGAATATTTATTGAGAATTTGTCTCAGTTATTTCATAAGTTATCAGTTAGTTCACTAAGTGATAAAATTAACAAATTATCAAGATGTTTGAGGCAAGATTAGTTCAAAGCGCAATTCTGAAAAAAGTTTTGGACGCTGTAAAGGATCTTTTATCAGAAGCAACCTTCGAATGTTCCGACTCAGGAATCCAAGTCCAAGCCATGGACAACGCTCACGTTTCCTTGGTCTCATTAAATTTAAGAAGCGATGGATTTGATAAATACCGATGTGATAGAAATCTCTCAATGGGAATGAGTATTCCGACGTAAGAAATTTTTTTATAGGTTATATATTGGCTGGGTTATATTCTAAAGATTTAAGGTTTTCATTTAATTTATTGTATTAAATTATTTATGAATTTTTATAGTATGGCCAAAGTTCTGAAAGGAGCAGGAACTGAAGATACTGTGACTCTACGAGCGGCTGATAATCCTGACACAATTACATTTATTTTTGAGCCATCCGGCAAAGAAAAGTTAGCCGAATATGAGGTCAAACTCATCAACATGGACCAAGAACATCTTGGAATTCCGGTAATTTAATAATCTACAATCGATGTAAACATCCTTATATAACTATATAATACATTATTTCAATTGTCTAGGAAACTTTTTACTCTTGTGTCGTCAAAATGCCGTCAGCTGAATTCGCTAAAATTGTCCGTGATTTGTCACAGTTTGGTGAAACCGTAGCCATTGCTTGCTCCAAAGAAGGAATCAAGTTTTCCGCAGCTGGAGACTACGGAAGCGGTAATTATAATTTTAAATTATTAAATAAATACCTTATACCTCCGGAAAATTTCGCTCACCGACATTTTCTTTGAATAGCACTAGCACAAGCTTTCCTTATCAACTGAACTGCTTAGCAACTATTTCTCAACTGACTGTCGTTATATTTCTAATCGTTAAGTTATTTCAAATTTGTTTTAATCCTATTAACTATTTTCACTTTATTATTTAATTTACTCAGTAATGATAATCTCTATATACTGATACGAAATCGTAAATACTTATTATCTCATATTAACAAAGCAGTAAATAACTAAATCATAAACTTATTGTAAAATAAAAAAAAAAATTTTTTTTTCTTTTTCAGCAAACGTCAAGTTGGCACAAACAGCCGATGACTCAAACGAAGAGGAGGCAGTAGTTATCGAAATGCAAGAAACAGTTAAACAATCATTCGCTTGTCGTTATTTGAATAGTTTCGTCAAGGCAACGCCTTTGTGTAGCCAAGTAGTTTTGTCCTTGTCAGCAGATGTTCCTCTTGTTGTTGAATACAAAATAGGAGACATTGGACATATCAGATATTACTTGGCGCCAAAAATCGACGAGGAAGAAGAGAACTCATAAATTCTACTGATTGTATTAGTATTTTCTTTTTAAAGAAATTCATCATTTCCTTATCATTGAGATTATCAAGTATTAAAATTTTTTTTCTCAATGAATGTATAAATAAGATTAATTTTTTGATTTACTTAAGTCGATGTAAATGATTGATTTCAAACATCTCAGTGCCTTCATAAATAAAAATAAAGAATAATAAATATTTTTCAAGACAATATATTATTCAAATTTTACATTTAAAAGTTATTTGGCTTGTTACTGTGCTAGAAGAGAATAACGCAGTAATCGACGATTATTTTTGTATAATGAATAAGATAGTTAGATTGTATCAGTACGAATTTTTTTCTGTTACACATAATTTTTTATCATCGATATTAATTGTAATTTCTTACTCTCTTCTTTTGTTAACATGCACGTTTTCATTTTTTTTTTTTTTTTTTTTTGTAACATGTAAGAACTTAATACATTTTGGAAGAAAAAAAGTTAAACTTTTGTCATATATTATTTATTTATGATAACGGTTATAATTACCTATCCTAATCAGAAATTCAATTTTCTTATTTTAACTGTCAACCTAATTACTTTTTTTAAATGTATAAGCTAGTTTTTAATATAAAAATACATAATTAACTTACGAGCTGAAGGAATAAGTTTGTTTGGCTATCATGGATGTTATAGCCCAGAATTATACATATATAATCTATATATTTTAATAAATTTATGATTAAATCATCTCGATTTTTTAAAATCGCTTTTAATATTTTGTTAAAAAAAAAAAAATTTTTTGTTTGAAAGTTCAAACTATGAAAAAAACGAAAAATATAAATAAAACTGTCAGTTTCTGGTTCATTCAATGTTTCATTTTAACTAAATAAATTTTGTTGAATTCAATTTTCATATACACTTGAGGTTTCCTAGCTAACCAATATGAATAGTTCGATCTTTGGTAAATATTATGTTTTCACTTGTTAAAATGATGCATTATGATATCAAAATTTGTGATTAAAGAAAAATAAAATTTTATTTTGGCAATATCAGTCAGCCTCTTTGATTAAAAATACGAATGGTATTGCTTTTGTTATTGACAATAAATTAGTAACATCAATTAACATTATACGGAAAAAGATGATTTTAATTAATAAAATATTTCGGAAGATTAAAATTACTTGGACAAAGTAAAAATTTTTTCATTTGCAAAAAAATTTTCAATTCATTCTAGATAATTACAATTTTCCTGAATATTTTGTTGCATCGAGAACATATGTATGTTTGCGATGAAATTCTTCTTTTCCGTGTATAATTACAAGAAATGATTTGAATTTTATCAGTATTTTTATCAATATTTAATGGATTGATTAAGACTAAATGAGTTCTATAAAGAGGCAAGTATTAAACAAATTGATAAAAAGTGTAAAATTACTTTGATTATATTCCATTGTTGCTAAGATTTGTTAAAATTGGAAAAAATTAAATGAAGAAAGACTTTAATACCTTTAGTTTACCGTTGAATCTGACTTTTTAAAAATTTTTTCAATAATAAATATAAACGTCATATCAACGCAATCACTGCCACGTAATTGAGCTTTTTTTTTTTTTTTTATATTTATTTTTGTGTCTTTTTTCTGTTAATTCGAGAAGACAGCTTTTACTTAGGCATTTTTACTGCCATTACTACCATATAAACTTGGATGAACAAATTTATCATGGAGTGTTCGAAGATGCCTTAACAAGTTACTTTTTACGTTGAAACCTTTTTTACAGTAAGAACAGAGAAATGGCCTTTCACCCGTGTGCGTTCGCTGGTGTATTACCATTGAAGCATGGCTTGGAAATACTTTTTGACAAATATTACAAAGTTTTTGATGATTATGAACTCGTTTAGGTTTCGGCGGTGCTGAATTATTCATCAGGGCTAATTGTTCTTCGGTATGTTCGGTTTGTATATGACGAACCCATTCTTGAGGTGTAGGATACATGTTACCACATAAATCGCATTTTAATGGAGGAAAATCTTTATTATCGTCATCGTCACCCTAAAAAAAAATCATAATTATAAATAAATGAAGCTCCTCATTATGTAAACTAAATCAATATGATAATTAATTCACTATTATATACCTTACGTTTCTTCCGACGATTTTCTGTCATATCTGCGTGTGTAAATTCTATGTGTCTTACCCAATCAGAAGGACGATTAAAGGTTTGGCTGCACATATCACAAGTTAAAGGTGTATATTCTTCCTCTTCTTCTTCTTCCTCCTCTTCCAACTCTCCATCTTCGTCAGCACTGTGTACAATTTCCTATTAAAAAAAGATTAAGTATAAATATAAACACAAATGTTAATCGATCATAATAGCAATACTTACTGGTTTAATATCAATGTCATGATCTATCGTAAGCGATTCAGTAGGATCCATAGACTCTTCCCAATCAATAGGTTCATCTTTCACTAAAAGACCCAAATTTAATTCTGTATCACCAACATCACTTCTAGATTTATTTGAATCTGTTTCAATATCTCTAGACCTTTTCTTCTTTCCATTTTCCACATTTTCTTTATTCTTAATTTGGTCATTATTTTTGGGGTCATCTACTACTTTTTTCGGTTCAGTATTCATTGACGCTTCTTCAGGTTTTTCTTTCATTTTCTCAGGTAGTACTGTCGGAACTGGTGGACTAGGAGATGGTACTGTAGCATTTGTCATTGTCATCGTTGTTGTTGATGTTATAATTGGCTGAACAAGCGGTACAGGAACTGGTTGAGGTGTTGTCGTAGCTTCGGTAATTATTTTTTCAGTACTCGGTTGGACTAATTTTATTTTTTGTATTTGTCCTGGCACTGGTTGTTGTTGTTCTTTTTTATCACGATCAACTTTCTGATTATTTGATTGAATATTTTCTTTCTTACTCGATGTATTAGATCTCCATAATCCACGGACTCTTAGTATATCACCGGCTTTTAAAACGCCTTCTAGCTGATCATTGGTGACTGTTGCTTCGCCACTATACATGTATTGAATTAATATTTTCAATGTACGGTAACCAATTTCAATTGGTAAGACCTGAAAAAAAAAAAAAAACGTATACATTTTGAAATTACAATTTCTGAATTTATTAATTAATTTACTTACTACGATGATTGGAGAGTTGGTATTGGCACCAAAATGACAAGTCTGAAATATATGACTGAGATAAGATGAACAGGCGGCAAGAACGAAGCGATGTGCAGCAACGTGACGTCCACAGGACGTAGCTAGTAGAACATCAGCGAATGATTCCGAATGAAGCAAAGTAGCTACTGAACTATGGAGATGAGCTCCATAGCTGTGCCACTTCAGCTGATAGTTTTCTGACGCCGCAATGGCCATTTTTTCTATAAAATAAATCAATAATGTTATAATAGATTTATTATTTATCAATATATCGAATTAAATAAAAGTCAAATCGAATTTAAAAAACATATTACAGTCACGATGACTATGATTTAACTATAATGAAAAAAAATCACAAATTATTATCGACCATAAAATTTATTCCCTCGGGGGTACAACCGCGAAGCTCGACTGGCTCTATTGTTTCTCAATCGATCCCACACACGTTTCAAATGCAATCATTTATCTATCCTTCCTTCCTTATTCCGTCCATTTCCTATGTGCTAATGTTTTTATGAACGCAAACAAGTGATAATAGTATAAATAACCATTTGTATAGATTTATTCAATATCATCATCTTGCATTATCATCATCCCGACATCACATTTAATCGCACAGTATTGTTCGACTGCATATTTGAACTTGTAAATAAACTTTCAATGAAATAATATTCAATAAATATCGTATTTATAACACGGAAAATTTTTTCAATTGATACTTATTTTATATTACACGATTACATAACGAAAAAAAAAAAAAAAAAAATAGTGTTCTCATTTTTACCTGACGACATCAATTAAGATTACAGTCGGTCGATGGTCACTGCAAATATTAATTTTTCATTCACCAGTGATCTCTAAAATCTCTCTCTTAATCTCACTTATCAATTAAACAAGGATATCCTGATAAGTTAAAAACACTTATAAAATATAATTTTTTGAACGTATGACAATAATTAAACAATGAATAATATTCGCTCACGCGTTGGTGTTTTGAATGGCGTGTCGCTGACGGGGTACGGGGCAAATATGAGCATCGAACCACGGCGTAGGGGCCTAAAAATCGATATTTCGGTCTTTGCTCCATCCTCCGGCTGTGCGGTGCGGTTGTGCGACCGTGTGGTGTTGGTTTCGTAGAGGATAGATATATGGAAGTATAGGTGCAGGGTACCCCCTTGTTCATTATCGATTTTCCCCGGCTACCAATCGCACGCATCCATTTATCGCATCGATCGCTCGAGCTGATTTTAGCGTTTGCGTCTCTCCCAACAAACTCTCCCTATCACATACTGCTACTGCTACTGCTTTTATTTATTTTCTCCTCTTTTCATCTCTTTTTATATTATAAATTTACCTTCATCTATAGATGCTCTCGGTTGTTAAGTTTTTCTCTCAGTTGTTCTTCTCGCCTCTTTTATATCCTACTTGCTAATATTATCCGTTATTATTCAGTAGTGTGTTCTGCTGTACATCATCAACCCCTAAAACCGCGTTTTAGCTATCGACCATCACTCATATGAATGTATATTAGGTGTCTCTCTCTCATTGCTATTTTTTCCCGCCTAACTATACAACAACCACCCTCAATATGACTTCCCACTATCTTTAACTTCAAGTCAGAACTTAAAGTCAAGTATTAATAATTATTATTTGCAAAAAAAAAGTCTTTAACCTTTAATTACAACAGCATCCTTCTGTCATGATAAACTTTTTATATGCTCAACTGTGCCTAAAAACCATAAAGTTGAATTATTTAAATTAAATCTAATTTGACTCTATTTATAATAATAATAATAATAATTATTATTTTTTTTTTTTGTTATTATTGATTAATTATCATTATAATCAATTATTATAACAATAAAACTAAAATAAATACAATTTATAATGACACTGAAGTTAGCAGACGTCTAAAAATTTTTGATTTTTTTTTTTTTTTAATTAAATTACAACTGAAAAGATATTTATAAAAATTGCACTTATAGTTTTTCAAGTTTTTAACATGTGATATTTTTTTTTTAATTGTTTAATTGAAATTTTTTCGATAAAAAATTTCTAAAAATTTTGAAATGTCACCTAACTTCATTTTCATAATTTATAAATAAACAATTGAATAAAAAAGAAGAAAATTATAAATTGTGAAGATATATGGAAGTGAGTAATTTTAATATGAATTCTTAAGTCTTACTATTATATAACTTTTCATAATTATTGAAACACATAAGTAAATACATAAAAGAATGTTATGAATAACTAAAATAAACATAAATATTTACGCAACCATAATAAACAATAAAAATTTACGTGTTAAATATTTACAATTTCGTTTAATTTTGCCAAATAAATAATGACATTGATCCAGCCATTGGAAAAAATGGGTAAATATAACTTTAAGCAAAATCTTTTTTGATTTTCATTTAATTTTTTCTTCAGCGGACGATTTATCCGCAGTGTTGCAAGAATCCGAACAGAAGATTTTCCCATTTTCAAAAATTATCTTGGTAAAATGAAACAATATATATCTTTCAATGTTTTAATATATAATTATTATACGCCTTTATGGTATCTGTAACGAAAAATATCTCATCACCTTTGTAGTTTTCATAGTATTGATGACCTTCATATTATTTAGGATGCAAAGATAATGAGTAACAGGAAAAGTATCATCCACAATGGTTAACTAATTCTCGATCGATAGTACTTTGTATTATTTTTCTGACCTCAAAGAGAATCCAACAGACCTAATTATAGGGATTAAAGATTATTAATACGGGTTGCGATATCGAACGCTTACATGTGATTTGTAGAGAAATCAATCATGAAAGTTATTTTTTTATTACGTCTGACAAAAATATGCAATAATTTCACATGTGTTCAAACTGTATAAGAATATGTACAGGATATTTTAATATTTAGAATTAAAAATTATCTTATTGCAATAATTTACTTAAATTGAAATGTATTATTTTCAGCAATCACGTATACTGATCGCGAGCGGAGCGCCGAAATAAACGCTTATCTTGAAATGGTGAAATCCCGGTTAAAAGTACGATTTAATCATCCAATCATGAAAAAGAGTATGATAATCATTTCTTATGAATATTTGAATTCTTGTTAATATTTAAAAATTTGTACCTATTTTTAATTAATTAATTCTTTTATTACAATCGTACATATACTAACAATACGAACCTGGCGTTGTACATATATAATAATGTTTAATTAGTTAATATTTACTGAAGTTAAAAAAAATTTCATTCTATTTCCTTAATCTTTCTTTGAAGATTATATATAAATAAATTAAATTAATTAACTTGACATACATAAACAAAAATAATTATTAAATGCAAACAATTATATAATTGAAATAATTAATATCGTCAAATTTTATTCTTCTTTAAATTTTTTTACTCTCTCCCCAAAAAATGTGTTAACTTTTTAATAAATTTAATTCAACAATTAATAACTATGTAACCAAGGAATAATTAATATTTAACAAAAAATAAATAAATTTTTTTCTTTGTTACAAAAGTGACAGATAGAAAGAAATTTTGACAAAGAAAAGTTACATGAAATTCGATAAAATGCGGTAGTATAAAATATTATTTTTTTATAGCCGAAAATAATTTGAGTGTTACATTTTATATGTCCAAAAATAAACCAAGGCGTATTTTTATATCATTTTTACAGCATGTTTATCTTGTAAAGTAAGTATTCCCTCAATAATTTGATAAATAAGATAGAAAATTTTATTTATAAATAAATTCATATACAAACACGCACGTGTACACGATTTGCGCGTTCGTTCACATTATTGTCTGTCGATAACTTATCATATCGATGTAGTAGCAGCTATCGATTTATACTCGTCTTTTTAACATTTTTACCCCACTCTATCATCTACTATCTAGCACACTAAACCATGACACTCGCACACACATGTTGAATTCCAAGATCATCAGTCGTAAATACACGTCAGGTATTGTGATAAATACTAAATGGTATTATTAAAGAGACAGAAAGAGATTAGTTAATTTTTTTTTATCACTTCAAGTTGCGAGATAAACAGCATTCAATTGATTAAACTGATAATGTGGTAATGTCAAAAGTTTGAGTCTATATCGAGCAATTAAATATTTTGAACAAATCATTATTTCTGTCAACAACAATAGTCACAAGGTATTAAAAGGAATTTGTCATAAGTTTTAATTTCTCATGGATTTTGCTAACTTGGTACGTGCCAAAAAGAAAAATATTATTTCAAAGTGAGTGCTCTTGATGAAATCAACAGCCTCCTGTAAGGCGAAGAAGATGGTGTACACAATGTGAGTTCATCGTTTATTTTAGGGTTTAAAGTACGATAACAATTTACTATACGTCACTTAATTCACTGTATTACGAGTTATGGTATTTTACTTTTAACTATTTTATATCAATTAGGTTAAGTCAGTAGTTAATGATCATGACGAATCATTAATTTTATGATTATGATAATCTATTTTTATGTATATATCTATATTATATATATTAAGAGCTATTACAGTAGAGCTTGATAAATAAATATATTTATGGTCAATTAGTGACCTTGGTTGATATGGTGCTTGCATCATGTAGTATTCTTAATGGTATGCGAATTATGTTAATGAAGAACGAAAACACTTTCACCCTTGAAATCATTATAATTGTATTATTTACATTTCACAGATTCCTCTTAAGGCTCGTGGTTAGATAAAATAATCTTTTGATATACAAAAGAAAAAACAGCATATAAATCACGATGCCGCATGTCACAAGAAAATGGGAATTATTCCCAGGACGTAATAGATTCTGCTGTGATGGTAGAGTCATGATGGCACCACAGACAGGAGTATTTTACATAACTCTATGCCTGATTGCTGGAACAAGCGCATTATTTTTTATTTATGAGTAAGATTTTTTTTATTTTATTTTATTTTATATTTTTAATTGTTTTAACAAACATTTCTAATGTTGTAAATTTTTTGATCCATATAATTGATGATAGCGTGACTAATGAATACACTTTCATCATTTTCAGTTGTCCATACTTGGCGCTCCACATAACTCCAGCGATACCAGTGATAGGTGGATTACTTTTTATGTTCGTAATGTCAGCATTATTACGGACAAGTTTTAGTGACCCTGGTGTAATACCCCGGGCGACACCTGACGAGGCTGCATATATTGAAAAACAAATAGGCACGATTAAAAATTAAACATTTTATTATCTTAATTCCTTTCATCCTTTTATCGCTCCGCAAGATCAGATAATATTTAACACATAATTTTTATTTGTTTACATCACATTTGCAGAAGTCCCCAACAATGGCAACTCTCCAACGTATCGACCGCCTCCACGGACGAAGGAAATCCTCGTGAAGGGACAGCCAGTTAAACTAAAATATTGTTTTACTTGTAAAATATTTAGACCTCCAAGAGCGTCTCATTGTAGTCTATGTGACAACTGTGTTGGTGAGTTTATTAGTATATATATATTCTGATGTTATTCAAGGATGATGTAACTTTTATATTATTTTTACATATTTTAATAACAATAAAATTTAATTATTCACAGAGGGATTCGATCATCATTGTCCGTGGGTTGGAAATTGTGTGGGTAGAAGGAATTATAGATATTTTTACGCATTTATCGTATCCTTAGCCTTCCTGTGTGTTTTCATCTTTGCTTGTGCAATAACACATCTTATCATGCGTAAGTTTTTACAATAATATTGAATTTAGTAGTTTATTTATTTAGATAAAATTTTACTTACAAAAAGTGAAATTTACAGTGACGCGAGATGATAGACCATTTCTAGATGCAATTAAAAATTCACCAGGAAGCGTTGTGGTTGGTGTTGTTTGTTTTTTTTCCATTTGGAGTATTTTAGGTCTTGCTGGGTTTCATACTTATCTTACAAGTAGTAACCAAACAACAAATGAAGATGTAATTCATTGTTTACAGTTCATATCTTTATCTACCTGATATATTTTTTATTCTGACTTAATTACTATATAAATTATTACAGATAAAAGGTTCGTTTTCGAGTAAACGAGAACAAGAAAGCTTTAATCCATATAGTCATGGAAATATTTGTGGTAATTGTTTTTACGTACTCTGTGGACCAGCTCCACCAAGTCTTATCGGTATTTATCTGTTTTATATTAATTATAAAAAAAATTTTTAGTTCTTATTGTTAACGTTTTTTATTTTTATTATTTCAGATAGAAGAGGAATAGTAACTCCTGGATATAGAGCTGAACGTGAGAGAACTTGTGAAGATTATGTGATCGCCAATAATAAAGCTTATGGCACAGTTAAAGTTATGCAGCCACAAGTAAATTTTACTTTTTAATTAAAATTTTTTTAAATTTAAGATAAAAGTGTCTATTTATATGTAAAAAATCCTGATAAATTCACGCAGCGTGAATGTAAGGGCCTTTACATTAACGCAGCGTCGATTTAAGGTCCTTATATTCACGCGGTGTGGATTTAACAGAATTTTTTTACGTATGAATAGACATGTCCATAGGATAAAGAGATGATTATTGTTTTATTTTTATTTATACAGGCAAACGGACACAGTATTCCTTCTCATGTAGATAATGATATTACTGGTTCAATGAATAATCTTGTCGCTGGTCAACGTTCACCGCGGATTGAATCATTAAACGGTGAGTTAACACTTATGAGCCAGTTACCACGTTGCCCTGTTGAATTACCCAAGTATCGTCAGTACACAAACGAAGTATACATTCCAAAATATTCAACGCCGCGACGTTGTGCTCAAGATCGCGTGCAACCTGGTGATGCTTATGCTGCCGAAATAGAACGTCTGAATGCCGAAGTTCAAAAATTTAATTATAAATGTGAGGAAACTTTGCAAAGATATCCACAGAGATGTCGTGAAGAGTACCAACGCTGTTCTGAAAATAATTTAATACACAACCAACAACAGTATACTGTTGATCAAAAATACGCGATTGATCTTCAAAAATATCCTCGTGGATACTCGGAAGACTATTTAAGATATGGCGATATTGATAATGATAACGATGATGGTTATAGAAAGTCGATAGACTTACAAAAATTTCCTCAGCGTTATTCTGAAGATCCATCACATTCATATCACTCGCCGCAGACTCTTAAATACAATAATCTTAGATGTAATCAACATGGCTTTAAGTATCCAATTAGTAAGAATATTTTACCTAATAGAATATTAGGCTCTGGTAATATTCCTATGATTGGTCAAAGTGCAATCGGTCTAGTAGTTAATAGATTTGGTTCAGCACCTTTAAATTATGATATGGCCTTTATGGATAATAATTCTATTTGTCCAGGAGAAAGTGCTGAGGATAATTTAATGAATCGTCGTTTTATTGTTAGCCCCATCAATGATAATGATTGACAATGATTACTTATAGCTCCTCAGCATAATCGTCCTCACGCCCCGCGATTCTTATCGAGAAATCGCATTTTTCATAACACTAATGATATTAGATAAGTAAATAAGCTTAAAAACAGAAAATAAAATACATTTATACGTATGCATGATACGTATCAGTATTTCAACAGATTGGAATACTTAATATCTTCCAAGAGGTTAAGAAATTTATGTATTTAAACTAAATATTATAAATATTTTATCAATAATATCTAGATAGATGAATATACATTCAAATTTTAAAAACTATATCAATCAATAAAACGTGTTTTTTTGTTTATAATTACGACCTATTATCGAGGGCTCAAGTCCGTGACATTTGGTAAGTCCATCATACCACTTGCATTTTCGTGCACAATAAATTAAAATAGTATATTACACACCGAGGGAAGTAAAGTAAGAAATGTCTCAGATCACATGTAATTGTTGGCCGAGGCGAAGCCGAGATCAACAAATATGTGATCTGAGGCTTTCTTATTTACTTCCCGAGGAGTGTATGCTATTTTTTTGCTCGACAAAGGCAGAAAGTGGCAATTTCGTTTAGCGCAGCGGGCCGAAATTTGACGCTTTCTGCCCGTCGAGCAAAAAAACAGATTGTTAATTGTTTCTAATCCATTTGTAAAATATTATTTTTTTTTGTTACTTGGCATTAACCTACAACCGAAAGCATTTTTTTACCACTTTTATTTGTTAATTTCATTATCAGTATTTTCCCAGTGAGCACCATTTCCTGATAAGCTTGTTTTGGATTGTGACTAATTCACAAGGACTTTGGTTTGAATTGTTTGGATTTTATAATTTATTTAATTTGTAAATATATTTTGGAAGGATGAGGTATTTTTTTTTTTACAGATGTTTTATATTATTTATAAACAAAATGTGAATGGCTTTTTAATTTAATATTTAAAAAGTCGGGATATTCCTAGATTCCCTATAACAGTTTTTAATTTATTAAATTAATCATATATATTTTAAAGAGACTAAGTATAAATATTAATCTGTATTTAAAATTATTATTTTAGGTAGTACAACAAACAGCGTAAGCCACCTTGTTTCCAACGAAATGCCATTGGCTTCACTGAGTATTCCACCGATAGACATTGATGAGATTGCACCATTACCACCGAAACAAAGTGTAATTATTTCACCTGTATTAGGCACGACGATGCCACAGATGACTGTTACGACACCCTTGTCGGCCTCGCGATTACGATTACTTCAAGACACAACAATGATTGAGTCTGCACTCGACTTAGATTCTTTAGAAGAGTCAAGTGTAGGTCGCGGAAGTCAGACGGGACTTATTAAAATAGGTATTGTTTAATTATTTTTTTATTGTTATGAATTGTAATAAAAATGAAGAAAAAAAATTTTTCTTGAAGGAAAATTGTGCAATCAATGTTTTGCGCTTGAAGCGCTATAAGATTAATAAGTTTAGTGTAATTAAAAATTGATGTGACTTAAAAGTGATAAATAATATTAACTTGTCAGGCAGCTTGCGTAAGCTAAAAAAAAATTTTAAATAATAATTTAATTTATAATTTTTATTTTAATAGTTGTAACAACGAAGTTTAATTTTTTAAACCTACGTATTTTTTTTTAATATTAATAAATTATTGTTAAGCACATGAAATAATTTAAAAATTTTCGTAATTCGATAAATATTTGGAGTTTAAAAAATAATCAACTTGAATGAGAGGATAAGATTGAAGTTTATTATACCAGTTATTTTTTAACTGGTTATATAAAGATTTTAATGATGGGAGAGTGGAATTGATATCAGTTACGTACATTACATAAAATATAGCCACGCACAATCGAAATAGGTTCTTGCTATTGCCTTTCTTCTAATCTTTTTTCTGTTTTAATAAATAAGGTAAATAAAATTGTTCAAACAATTAATAAAATTAAATAATTATAGTATATATAATTATTTACTGTACAGTGTTATTATTAAAAAATAAATAAATTTATGTAAATACTTATAGTCACGAGTGGTGGTTACAGTTCTCATGACAAGAAGCTAGAGTAATGAGCTCAATTAATTATGAGATAAAAAAAAAATGTTTCATATTATTGTGACATTTTCTTTTTGTATATTATTATTACATGAATTTAAATATAACTATCGACCACTGCCTTGAATTCGAATAAAGTTTTTAGCATTTTAAGATTCTCATGCTTAAATACTGTGCTGATGTTTTATCGCGTATAATAAAATCGCGTGTAGATCTCATTTGTATCTTTTTGAAAATATTTACAAAAAAATAGTTTATTTGATTGACAAATTAACTATTTTAGACAAATTGTTATTAATACAATCGATGTTCTAAAATATTATTAATTGCAGAATGACTTTCCTGTAAATAAGTTGTGTATTATAATTATATATAATTTGTATATGATATATATTTTAATTGTAGTATTAATAGAAAAACTATTATAATATAATGTAAGTTAAAAAAATAATACAATAATTTAATTTGATTTCTGGATTTTAACGATTATTTTTTTTTTAATTATCAACTATAATAAAATTATAAATATATACAAATAAATAAACATAATAAATATATGTATATTTTAACTTGAAAATAAAAAACACCAAACTTCAAATTTGTTTTTTTTTTTTTTTTATTTTATTTACTTAAATTTGTGATATGTATGTAGAAAAAGCTCTTTAAGAGCAATTTTGTCAATAATATTTATATTATCATTTATTTATTTTAATTATTCCAATACAAAATAAGAGATAGTTATTATTATTATTATTAATTTATCAAATTAGTAAAAATAATGTATTAAAATGGAAATAACAAGAATTGATAATGCTACAATTAATCCTGATATATATAAAAATAATGAATTATTATCTGAATATTTATTTTGCTCAGTGGGTTCAGTAACTATTTCATTTTGTGAATAAAATTCAGCTGGATTCGCTTGCAATTCAAAATCTTTTTGAACACAACTCTCTTGTACCTCAAGATCTAGAAGTTCTTGAAGTGATATTAAAGCTTCTTGAGGACCTTCACCGGGGAATAAGTAGTCTGATAAAGTTATTCTACTTTTTGGTAAAGCTACAAGTACCCTTCGTGGTGGTTCATGAAGTGTAATGTTGTCTTAAAAAATAATATTTAATCGTTAAAAACAGTGTATGATTATTCCATTATAATAGAAAAGTTTATTAATAAATTATACCTTCTGGCAAGCCGTTTTCTTCTTCAATTAAACTGTCGGCATGCATTTCTAACCTACTGGCCATTGATCTCATAATATCATGTTTAATTGCACTTGCAGCTTCACCAATTGTTGATGATTGGTGAACAAAAGTTCTGCTAATTAATTGCCCTTGTAACTTGATTGATGCACAGAAGCTTGTACGCTTTATTTCTAAAGTCTTTGATTTGTTAGGCAACTGTAAGTTCATATAAAAATGAATAAATTTTTATACATTTAGCATCTAAAGTTAACAATTATAGAAAAATCTATTACTATTATATTAATTATAGAGAAATGGGCTGCAATCTATTTTGCGTCGTAAAAACTAAATTTTACAGATATTGCTTTAATTGCAAGTGCAACTTATAGTAGCTAGTGAAAAGTCCAAATGAAATTTCAGTCATAGTAATTTCGAATTTGAAAATAAGTGGAACCCGAAAAATATATATTCATAAAAATAAAAAATAAAAAAAAAATATCCTTACACTTGGAATGTAAATAACCGCTTGAAGTACTCTATTATTAAAATTAGTGTCATTACTTTTTGATTCTTTCCTATCTTTTTTTTTCTTCTCTCCTAGTATTTCAATAGGATCATCTAACGCCATCGATTCACCTTCCAGGACGACAATTGACGATTCTATTTTAGACGAAATATCTTTAAGAATATTTTGAAGCTGTTTCTTCAATGATTCAGACTCTTGATCTTTAATAATTGGATACATCTGATCGAAATCTACATGAGTATCCAACTGATACCACTTTGTGATTTTCGATTGAAATTTAACATCAGCATTTTTCAAAGGCCCACTACCGTTAGCTTCAAAAGATTTACATGAGAACCTATATATAATAATATTACCAATTAATTAATAATAACTCTATTTCTTATACTCTAAGGCAAATAAAAAATTACCTTTTAGTTCTGCTATTAAATTCAAGAACAATATTGTCGTATGGATTATTTCCATAAAGATATTGATCAAATTCTAAATTCTGATGTATTGCTGTAACAATTGATCTTAGTCTTTGAGTTGAATCATTGTTATTTAAACAATCATCCGGACCAACAATGAAAATTCCAAGAACCCACATACCACCTGGTAACATTCGCGTAACCTAAAAGTCAAATTAATTAATTTACATTTCTCTTTATAAATAAAATAAAATAAAATGATAATTATATCCTCCGTAAGCTTTACATGTTTCGCATGATCTGCGACCCAGCTGCTTGGAACATCTTTAATTGACTTAATAAATTGGACCGGCGATTCTTGATGAAGGCTCGTCGTTGAACCTATCAAAGTTTCTTCAATAACGTCTTTTGATGCTGGTGGAGGGGTACGTGCCAAGTGTATCACATAATCTGTATCCTCGGTACTCTAAAATAATTACAAAATTCCATGTTATCCTTTGAATCATCACTTAACAACGAATATATTCAACAGCTGGAATGATTAAATTAATTCAAGTTTAAATAAAATGAGAAAATTACAACCTGTCCCAAAATAAGTCCAACCGTGTAAGCGTCTGATTGAGCTAACGATTCTAAATAGCTTAATAAACATTCTTCCGCGTATACTATTCGTCCCATTTTGTAAATATATATATATTTTTTTTATTTATGTATAAATAACAGGGCTTTTTCCTAATTCTACTCTACACGTTGATTTTGTACGTCGCACGATGTATCAGCTGATGTATTTACCGTTTGACACACACGTCGTTGTAAAAAAATAATACACCTTCGTTTGTCGAGTTGGCAGACCTGCTCTCATTTATAATTGTCTCAAGAGACGCTGCATTGTTGGATTTAGATAAAAAATACTTATTTGTTTGTATGATTGTGAAATAAATTCATTAAATAATAATATGCAACTACATTATCAAGAATAAATTTATTAGATATTTTGATTATTTTTTCTTTATCATAAAAATAACATATATTATGAACATGATAACTTTACATTTATTTGTAAAAAATAAAACAGTTAAAATACAGAAAAAAAAATTGATCAATGGCTACGATTATGGTTACGGATTATATCTTCAACAAAAGTCGCTGCTTCTGTTTGTTTCATTTGGTGTAACAAATTTAAAAGCTTCGGCATTGTTAAATTTCCTTGAACCTACAAATAAATATTTCAATATTTAGAATAAAGACATTAAAAAATGAATGAAAGAAATTTTGTAAATACATACATCAGCATAACTGAGAATAGTTAACGCTGGACTAGCTCCACGTGTATCTAATGAAGACCAAAGATAATCGCAGTCTAAATTTTTAGCAAGAGGTTTCCATCCGTCATTTTTATCCAATATATTTCCAAGTTGAGCCATTTGGTCTACATCTAACCATTCAGTTATCGTTTCTTTTTCTTTTTCTGTATCAGAAGCTTCGACTTCTTCTTCCTCCTCCTCTTCTTCTTCTTCTTCTTCTTCTTCTTCTTCTTCTTCTTCTTCTTCTTGTGTCTCTTTTTTGACATCTTCCATAATTATATTATCGGTTTTATCTATATTAGCTCTGCTCAGTAGATCTTTTATCTGTAAAATTAATTTATAAATTTAATTTACTAAAAAATTTTGATGCTACAAAAATTGAATTAATATGTCCTACCTCATGATTATCACAAGCTAAATCAAAAGATGTTTGGCCGTGCGGTGGATCGTCATCTTCAATTTCTTCTTTAATTTTTGTTTCACTATTAATAAGATCGATTTCTGGTTTAAGTAATAAACGCTCTTGACCATCTTGCTCATCTTCATCGTCCTCAAAACACGAACGGCCATGACCGTTTGGTATGTTAGGATTTGCATTATGTTTTATAAGAATTGCACACAATTCTTTTGCTCTAGATCCAGTGTTAACAACCGCTGAATGAAGCGCTGTGTTTCCACCAAGGTTCGGCTTATCCACCTCAATATCTGTCTGTAAATTTATATGAATTACATATCTTTATATTTAACATAAATGAATCGTAATTTGATAAAAATTTATTACCTTCTCTAAAAGATAGCGAACAACATCAATATGACCTCCCTCAACGGCGATATGTAAAGCTGTTCGTCCAAATGATCTTTCGGTACTATTAACATCTACTCCAGCCTTAACAAGCGAAGCAATCGCCCGTAAAGAACCATACTCAGCAGCTACTTGAAGTGGAGTCCAACCCGTGTCATCTCTTACATTAAAATCTGCTTTAGCATCTAAAAGTGCATCAACACATTCATAATTTTGTGGCCTTTTGACAGCTTCATGAAGTGGATACGAGCCATGATTATCACTGGTATTTGGATTTGCTCCAATTGATAATAAGGTACGGACTATGTCTGGTTGATTAAGAGTAACAGCATAATGAAGAGGGGTTTTATCAGAAGCATTTTGTATATCAATTAGACATCTAAATTCTGATGAACTGCTTAAAATCTTTAAAATTTGTATGACAAGTTCACGTTTGCCATGTCTAAGAGCAGAGTGGAGTGGGCTATCTCCATATGATGTACGTTCTAATAACATTTTTTTTAAACGTTTACGAAGATCTTGGTTTTCTTTGCCTTCTTTGAATCCTGTTTTCAATACATTAATTGCAAAATTAGAACCGCCCAAAGTATCTACATACTTAGTACCATCGGTACTCAGACTTTGATCATAGCCATGGGCATCATTCAATTCGTTATTTGCTTCTTCTATAAATAGATCATAATCTATATCTTCCATGTACTGCTGAAAATCCTCAGAAGGTAATTTTTCAGAAGTTAATTTTTTTAACTCTGCTGACAAATCACTGCGTGTTGGATTATCTGAAGAGATAGCAAAAATATTTTTTTGCATTGTTGCGTCCGATAGAATTATATCGGTCAAGTCAGTACTCTCAGAGTAAGACATTCTTGGTCGTTTCCTTGTTATTATGCTATCAGATGGTTTGTAGATGAAACTCACTGGTTCAGAACAATCACCGTCTGTTGGACGTTCCAACTGAATTAATACGTTTCGTGACTTGGTTATTTCTCGGTCTTTATACGGAGGTGTACGAAATACAATAGCATACTGGTGATGAACATCGAGTTCAGAAAATTTACCATATGCATACCAAATTTCATTATTCTTATCATCAATTTCAAAAAATTTAACTTTTATGTTTTCTACAAAATAATATTTATAGGATTAATATCAGTTTAGATAATTATTTTCCTTATTTAACAACTTACTTTTTCCAACTTTTTCTACAAGTAAAAATACTTCTTCATTACCATCGCAACTACCGGTATGTTTATCAATTCGGCAAATTTTTAATTCTCCAGTCAAGGCACTTTCTGAAAAATAATAAAAAAGAATTACAATCATGTTTTTATTATCATCAATAGGTTGTGGAAATTTATGAATTTACTTAGGTTATTAATTGTGTGAGAATAAACGGGTTGAGTAATTGGAGTCATAACAGCATGTTCATTTAAAATGAACGCTTGAAAAGATAAAGCAACGCTATTTAAGTCCATCCATTTTGATGCATTGTCAGCATCCATCCTTATTTGAGTTTCTTCTCGAACACTAAGAGTGGTTATTGTATAATCATATTGTCGACTTCGTTCAAGAGCTTGTGCTTGCATTTTTTTAATCAATTCTTCTTTTATATGCTTTTTAGCAGTATGAATAATTCCCATTCCATGGAATCTGATAAATAAATTAGTATTGTAAAATCACATTTATCTAAATTTTTTATTTAATAAATAACCACTTACGTAGCAGTCCAATCGTTTTCTGGGCCGACTGTAAGTTCATATGGACTATCATTTTCAGAATTACCTTCTCTTTTGACAAGGTGGTGAGCATGAGGAATACGTTTTTCTTCATTTTTCGTCACAATTGTACAGCGTATCATTGCAGTTCCATTGAAGTTTTTTAGCTAAAATACATTTAAGATGAGGCTAGTAAAAAATTTATATTTAATCATTTAACTTCTAAAAGGAAATAATTTATAAAATTAAATATTTACTTGTACAGTTGGAGCATTTTTTTTCCGTCTTGTTGTAGAATTAGCACTAGCTAGACTACCATGCGTACCCAACATTTCAGATTTATATCTGAATCTGAATTTTTCAATAGGTTGGTCAATTATTACCAGTTTTGGAATACCTATCTCCATTGCTATAATTATTAAGGAATTTAAATAATATTTGTATGTTCATCATATAATGATTCAAAATAATTCAATTTTTACCCATAGTGTTATCAAAAAAAGAACTATCATTTATATTAAAATTTTCCTCGTCCCTCAAAGGAGAAAGAGCAGACACAGGTGATTCCATATTTTCCATTGGTGAAGATTCTGTTGAGTTTGAATAATGACTGTTTACTGTAGCCATCACAGTATCTGCAAATGAAAAAAAAAAAAAAAAACATAGATGTTTAACCTCACCTAAGAGTGATTTTCAGCTAACAATTTTTTATCATTAAAATAATATATTTTAAGAGCCAGTTATATTAAACTACGCATCAATTTAAAATAAGGAGAAATTCATGGTCATATGAGTTGGTCATTGAACGTTATTTTCAAAAGGACGTGTTTACATAGAAACACGTGACAGAGGATAAGATTATTATAAGAATATTAAAAATTTTATTTCAAAATATTTACCCGGACTGAATTGATAATAATTTGATGAATCCATCAAGATAGTCTGTAATTGCTCGAAATTTTTATAAGTCACAGGCATATTTTACTAATTTCATGCAACAAAAATTATAATCAAGTCTGGTTATGAATGTTGATATTTGTAGGTTCGGAAACTTGCAATTTTCAATTAAATTTATAGCAGAAAGAAACTACAATTATTAACTGACAGTACTAATAACTAAAAGAAACTGCTAAATAACTCACCACACTTGAATGTTTATCAGCGCGATACGTCATAAAAAAAACCTTGATCACAAATTGCAGGTTCTTCCCCAATACTTTGCGATACTTAGCCTCACATACATATGACAACAAACTACAACCAGCCAATCGAATTGTATATTTTCACTTTGTTGTTAGTGTCAGTGTCAGTCACTGCTGTTTGAAGAGTGGGATTTAAGAGGAAAAATAATAATGCATCGGGACTTCCCCGATATACTGATTAAAATATAATGAGCACATTCATTCAATTCAATTCAATACTATATTTAATTTTTATACACCTCAAAGAGATTACTTGCCTATGATAACATAAAAAATCTAAAATTAACTCATTTTAAAAGATTGTTTTTTTTTTTTTTTTTTTTTTTTTTTTTTTTTTTTTTTTATAGTAAAAATCATTTAAAATTATTAATAAAAATTAAATAGAAAAAAATTTTTTTTTTGTATTAATAAAATTTATAAAAAAATTGTAGAATTATAAGGAGGTCAATATAATTGACATTAACAATTACATGATTGTAAAATAATCTTATGTGTATGGAAGTTTATTATTTAATAAATTATACTCTTGAGTGTCTAGGTCGTCGAGCAGCGAGAGGAGATGACGGTGTTGGTGATAAATGTATCGCGTCACTTATTGATGTGAAATTTGATTTTTTTATAACCGAAAATCGTCTCCACCATACTGCAATCGCAAAAAATATTCCGCAAATGGCAATCGTAACTTTGAAAGAAAAAAAAAATACAGAGTGTAAATTAGTTTTCAATCACAAATAATTGAGGAAATGAGTAGAGTGTATGTTTCTAAAGTTGACATGTACCAAGTCATTCACTTTAGATTTTTTTTATCAAATAATAACTACTTCAAATAGAGTAATATTATGTGTAAAAATATTGCCAGAAGTTTTATGTTTCATTTTTTTGTAAAGATCATAAAAATCCAAATGAAATATAAGGTATCCAAAATGAGAGTAATCAGTTTTCTCTTTTAAATTTAAACTAAGTTCAAAAATCAGATATAATATATTGTCTAAAAGCATCAACTTTTGGAGCATTCACCCTACTTAATTTTTAATCAAAAGTATACTGTAGAAAGTTGACAAAAATGCAGACTGAAAATCTGATTCATTTAATACTTTTGATTTAGGCTGCTTAATACTCCGGAAAGGAATAAAACGGTCCTGGACTTTTATTTCCTCCCTTTTGTTATTTATTCGCGAATTATATTGTGGTTCTGAAACTTTGGACGAGAATATATTGTTGTCAGATTTCCAAAGTGGCAAATGTTGATCTGATAAACATTAAAATGTATTAACATTTATTTGTCAGAAGAAATATTTTTTTTTTACTAACCATTGATGTCATCGGATCTTAGTTTAAATTTAATTTTAATCATTCCAGGATCAATTGTTTTATTTTTGTCAGTTTCTAAGTTCCAGAAATCAACATACTTCATTCGGTTTTCAATTCTCGGTGCTGGGTTATCAATATTTTCCCCAAAAATGTAATCAATGAATGAAGGTCGTGGATGAAAAACTTCCCTTGGTTTAATGATGGGAGTTTCATCACTAGGATCTCCAAAAAACCCAAGATCATCGATAATGATAAAATTACTTTTAGTAGTTGCATAATTGTTTTCTGATACCGGTAATAGTGGTTTTTTCTGAAAGATTCTCATGAAAGAATCGCCTGTAAGTGGTTGATTAAATTCAAAAGCTGTAGATTTATTGGGAGATTTCGTTAAAATTTTCAGGTGATCTACAAGACTACTTGGAGTGGTGGAATTCGCTTTCAATAATTCTGAAGTTTTATTAATTGAAAAATTTAACAAATGATCTTTATTGCATGATTGATTATCCAAACTTTCAGTCATATTGCAACCTGTATGACTTTCATTGTAGAATTTCGGTGTTATCAGACCTACAAAATATTATTATATTAAAAAATTTATTAATATAATTTCTCATATTGAATTTTAGATAATTGTTATTTTAAGTGCTTTAGTTACCAGAATTATTTGTCGTATGATTAGCTACAAAATTGATTATAGTATTATTTGCATCATAGTATATATTTTTAGCATTATTTGTTTGGGAAATGTTATCAGGAGGTGAATGTGTTGACAAGAAATTCAGATTATCATTTATGCTGATTATTCGGTGAATAAGATTAGCAAAGACTTGTTGTGGATCATTCATTGACGGTGGTGAAACACTTCTGTTTCTTTTCCAATTCATTGGTAACACAAACGATAAATTATTTTTTTGAGATGATAATGAAGTTATATGATGCTTCCTTAGATTTTCTAAAGGTTTGCGGTGTCTTTTGCTGTGATGTATATGTTTTCTCCAATGATGTAGTAATGATGAGCTATTACCTATCTCAGCTGAAATTTTATAATTACAGTCGTCTTATTTTATCCTTTATAAATTAATATAGAAATACATACGTGATTTTAATAGTGATGTATTAATAGTTGGTAATTTAATATCAGGGTTTAGCTTCATGATGTTTATAGCAATTTTCCTGGTTGTAAATTCCACGTCAGGTACATTTCTTGAAGTAATTTTTATTTCAGTTGAATTAGATAACACTCCCAAAAGCTTTGCTAATAATTAATAAATAATCGTTTAATTGAAGCTGTAAATAATATTTATACAAAAAAGATTTCTTACTAAGAAAAATGAAAAGATGCCAATAGCTAATTTCCATGATAAACAATTTTCGGTGACTTTAGAAATTAAAATTAATTGATAATTAATTTCAATATAAATTAATAGACCGATAAAAATAATGATTTTTATTGTTGTGTAATAAAATTGATGAATAATTATTCATAAAATAAAATCTCTTATCAAAAATTAAACGTAAATTAATGACTTTTTCTGTTATAAATTAACAAACGAATGATTATATTTATAATATTTTATGTGCATATATATTTTTTCGAAGTTCAGTTGTCAAAAATCCAACGTTACACTTCAAACAATTGAATTTAAATTGGTAAATATTATTCCTGTAATTATATTTTTACTTGATATCTGTGTTCTTATATCATGTTTTTTTTTATGAAAATTATATAAATCATAGCTATTTACAATTTATAAAAATGATAAAATGCGTATTACAGGCGACAGATAAATGATGTAAACAAATCAAACACTGACATACATATTATATGTAATCACACATGATAGAAGGGGAAAAAAAGAAGATAGCTGTAAAGAATTAAAAGTAGTTTCATATTCAGTTCAATACTCATTCAGTTTGCATTGAATTGTAGTTCAAAAGAAAGATAACTTATTTACAGAATGGCTAAGAACGAAAAAATTGGAGTAATTGGAAGGTACTATGTTTAATATTTCTTGAGTAATCTATTAATTATAAAAGATAATATCAAATGAATAATTCGAATAGCATATGCTAAAAATTCAATTATAATTTTTTTGTTATTATTATTCATTTTAGTGGGCTGATAGGTCGCAGTTGGGCGATGTTATTTGCTAGTGTCGGATATCAAGTGACTATTTATGATATTCTTCAGGAACAAATTAGTAATGCACTTACTGACATTGAACAGCAGCTAAAAAAACTTGAATCTGAGGGATTACTTCGTGGCAATCTGACTGCAAAACAGCAGTTCGAGTTGATAAAAGGTATATTTATTTATAATTAATAAGCAAAATACTTTTTCATGTAAATAATACTTTGAATAATAAAATAGGTTCATCAAGTCTGCCTGAAATCGTTAAAGGAGCTAAGCTCATTCAAGAATGTATTCCAGAGAAGTTAGATTTAAAAAAAAAATTGTATGGGGAGTTGGACAAACTTGTAGATGATAAAACAATTTTATCTTCATCTACTTCTACATTCAAGCCATCGTTGTTCAGCGAAAATCTTAAACATCGTGATCAAGTTATTGTATCACATCCTGTAAGTTTTAAAAAAAAACCTTTATCTGTATTGTTATTATTGAAGCTATCTGTATTATTGAAAAAAAAAAATTATTGATATTAATGTCTAAGACGCAGTAACATTATCAACTGACGAAAAAAAATGAGATATTGAATGATATAAAAATATTCTTGAGTAGTTTATAAGTTCATGTATTAGTATAAAAAATTTTAATTAACAGGTGAATCCACCGTATTATGTGCCACTTATTGAGATAGTACCGAGTCCATGGACTCGTCCTGATATTCCTGAAAAAACTAAAGCAATTATGACTGAAATAGGTCAATCACCGGTTGTATTTACCCGAGAAATTGATGGATTTGCGTTAAATAGAATACAGTACGTAATATCGTTATTATTGACGCTTTTTTAAAATTATTACTATTGTGATTTTTTTTTTTTTAATTAGATATGCTATTCTAAATGAAGCGTGGAGACTAGTGACCGACGGTGTCATTAGTGTCAAGGACATTGATATAGTTATGAGCGAAGGCTTAGGAATGCGTTATGCATTTCTTGGTGCATTTGAAGCAGCTCATCTCAATGCGGAAGGTAATATTCCACTTTTGGCTCTTTTGTAAATGATTAAAGCTGATTTGAATTCTTACTACACAATTAAAAATGATTAAAATATTATTTTAGGTATGAAAAAGTACTGTGAAACTTATAACAAATCAATTTATGATGTGAGTCAAACATTCGGACCAACACCGAAATTTGTCGGAGCTGCTGCTGAAAATATTTCAAAACAGTTGGAAGAGATTTGTCCACTTGATAAATTACAAGAACGCCGAGCATGGAGAGATTTAGCTCTCACAAAACTATCAATTTTAAAAAAAGAACTTGAAAAGATCAAGTAAATAGTCATATTTGAAACAATATTTCTACATTGTGTTTGTAAAAATAATACTTTAAATATGTCACTCTAATAAATAAATATATGTCACTGGGGAAACTATTCATGGGAATAAATTAAAATATTTGGGTTAAATTATTGTTTTAATTTAAAAAAGGAGTTGTAGTATAAGGTAAATTATGAGAATATTTATTTTTTGATGATTTCACGGAATTATTTATTAAATTTAATACCGAAAAATTATCGTTTTCCACCAACACGTGGAGCACTTTTTTGCGTCACCTTAGCGGCCTTGTCCTTCTTGGTTGGTTTAGGCTTGGGTGGTGCGGTTGCTTTCTTTGCTGCTTTGGCGGCTTTCTTCTGTTCTTTAGCGGCTCTGTAAATCAAAATTTTGATTAATATAGGTTCCAAAATAAGTTGTAAGAAATAAAATAATCAATAAAAAAAATTGTATGAGCCCGCAAAGCCAAACAGTGTTAAAAAAATTACAATTCTGGGTGAAGCAGCTCTTTTGTTTCTTTTGCTCTAAGACATTCTGAAATCTAACACAAAAGGATAGATTGTGTTCGAGGAACAGATGTCTAAATAGGATTCGGAGTATTATTACTATTTATTGTTATTGTTGTTTAAGTATACTAACTTTACTGCTTGCTCTCGTTGCGCTTTACGAATCTCTGGCTTCATATTCCTCTTAGCGAGGATGTCTGACAAGGATGCTCCGACAATAGCACGGTTGAACTTTTGAGTTCTTCGTGTTCTCCTCTTGGTTTGTTCTTCTTCTTGACCCTTCTTGTGCTTACGCCTGGTAAATAAAGAACAATAATTAGATAATGAATATTTCAATGAAATACAAAACTTTTTTATTTCTTTTATCAAGCTCAAATGTTTCAGAGTATGATAAAAAAAATCATCAATCAATAAATGTTACTACGTACTGAAACTTGTTAATAGCTATGTAAGAATGACATCTATTGACATCAATAACAAAACATAATTAAATTCAATTACCTGTAAAGGACAGTCCATGTAACCTTTCTAGGATTACGTTTCATCAGGTGGGCAGATTCACATTTTGAGTTGAGGAAAGTAAAAGTCTAGCAATAAAAAACATTAAAAAATTTTAGGTTAAGTCTGACACTCACATTGTGATGATTATCGTAAATAATTACAATCATAGTTGATTGAAGTGTTTAAAATACGGTCAATAATTTTTTTTATAAAATTATTGAACTAGAAAAAAAAAAAGATATGCTAATTATATTAATCAATACCTTTCCATCAACTTTAACCATAGTTTTGCCATGGCCTGGGTAAATTTTGTACCCACTGTAAGCGCACAGTCCGATCCTGGAAAGATTATAAAAAAATTGTCATTATTAATTATGTTCACACATGAAATAATTTATTTTTAATTATTTTGCGACGATTGATTCATTATTTATGGATTTTAAGTATAAAAATCAAACTTACTTCATTGTGTAGTGATATTTAACACGCAAGTATCGTTAGGTGCGCTAGTGAAATGAGCGAGTCGAGTATTGAGAACCATTGAAAAATCTTTAGTGATGACGTCTAGCGGCTTACGCCTGAAGTATAATCGACAAGGTAAAAATAGTAATTTTCTGTCACATATCGACAGAGCTAGAAATTTCTAATAACTCTCTCTCTTTGGAGAAGAGCTCACCAACTTAGCTTATTTCTTTGTTCACAGCCATTTTCTAAAAATTAAAAATCACTTCCACATTCTCATCACAAGTTACCACTTACACTACAAACAAATCTTGAAACATTGTATACACATACTGACACATACTATTGGATATCGTGGATAATTAAAATCACTGACGTCAGTACTATAGTAATTTCCCTTCTATGAGTACTGAGTAATTCGTGTCCAGCTGTACTTTACATAGTACATATAGATACGTTCGAAGATCGTTTTGTTAGTTATTTTCTATTATTTAGTCGTGAGTCTTTATATATAAATCTTAAATCCTTGGACAATAACATCGAAGTAAATTTGCAATCCCAGTACAACACAATTCAACAGCAGACAGAATCAACAAACTAGCTTTTGAGTGTATTAGTATATACATATATAGAGGTATATTATATATATATATATATATATATATATATATATATATATTATAAAAAGGTATTACATTGGTATGCTCTGAAGCTCTACATAAACTGGGTATCGTCTCGTCATTACAAAAAGTTAAAATCATTGTGACCAGATATCAGAGCAAGTGTCGTTTTAACACGGAAGTGTAAACGAGAGCTTGGATAGAGCGAATAATAACGGTATCGTGGTGAAGAGGGTGACCTTCAGTACTAACAAAAGCTCTTCTATGCATTATCACTACAGTTGAATAATTGTCATCATTTATATATTAAATATTTAATACGCAATATAAAAGTGTATACAATTAAAAATAAAATAATCTCCACAGATTAATTATACTACTTTGACAAGAGAGACAACGTAGTGTAAAGTGCGTCATCAGTACGTAGAGGTCATTGAAAGCATCACCAGATTTTGTCCAACCAAGACAAGGATACTTAATATTAGATATGTCGACTCCAGCGAGGCGAAGACTTATGAGAGATTTCAAGAGGTAAATAGGCTTTATTTATAGATTATAATATTAAAACTCCAGTAAATCATAATCATTTTATTTTATTTTGTTGTTTGTTTTTAGAATTGATTAAAAAAAAATAAAAAAATTAAGAATTTACGGGTTTATTTTATTGTTCGTATCGATAGACGTCCCGAGAACGTCATCCCGAAAAACGTCTTCGCGTTACTATGGACGGATTTATTATTAGAAATCAGTATAGGTTGTTGGATATTCGTTATTTATATTATTATCTTAGGCCTTAGCATGTTGAATATGATGTTTTAGTTGTTATACATCTACTTAACTACGCGATCAATGATTCAAGTGACATTGATAGTATGTTAGGAATAATGTATCAAGTACGAATTGAATTGAATTTTTTGTTCAATGTATTACTTTCCAATTGCCATGTGATTGTTCGAGACGTTATTTTGGAGAATATATTATTTTCTATCAGAATAAATTTAAACATTTTATTTAAATAATTTTAATTATTGAGTCACCATGATATGATATGATATATAATTTTTTTTTTTTTTAATTAAAATGTTGAATGATGAAAAAAACATTTATGATGAAATTTTTTTTTGTTAAGATTGCAAGAAGATCCACCAACTGGAGTTTCAGGAGCGCCAACTGATAATAACATTATGATATGGAATGCTGTTATATTTGGGTTAGTTAATAAATTAATATTGTTATTTGTTTATTTGATATATTTTAATGGATATTGTTTTAATAATTATAAATAGACACGTTAACTTAAATTATTATTTGGACATGCGTTTCAGGCCCCACGACACACCCTTCGAGGACGGTACTTTTAAACTTACTATTGAGTTCACTGAAGAATATCCAAATAAACCACCGACTGTTAGATTTGTTAGTAAAATGTTCCATCCAAATGTTTATGCTGATGGTGGAATATGTTTGGATATTTTACAAAATCGTTGGAGTCCAACATACGATGTTTCAGCAATTTTAACATCAATACAGGTAAATATCACTTTAATTTTTATTATTTATTTATTTATAATTTATTTATTTCGATGAAAGTAGCATTTAATAAATAGGCAAAAAAGTATTTTATTATATTGAAATATCAGAAGTACCTGAAATTATGAAAAATTAATTGAACGCCTTAACAGCGGTTGCAATTCATCAGAGTCGGTAGTTAATTATAAAAGAATTTTTTTTTAATTTGTCAGCTATTTTTATTTGAATTAGTTTTTTTTTGTTCATTATATTTTAACATTAAATGTATGATTTGTTTTGTAATTTGTTTTTTTTTTTTTCTTTAGTTATTGTAATAAGTAAAGACTGAATAAACTAAATAGAAAAACTTTCAAAACTTTAAATTAACGAGTAACGAGATATTTTTGTTGGCTTGTATGATTGCAGTCGCTGTTAAGTGATCCAAACCCGAATTCACCCGCCAACTCAATGGCAGCACAACTTTATAAAGAGAATCGACGCGAGTACGAGAAACGAGTAAAGGCGTGTGTGGAACAAAGTTTTGTGGATTAATTGCTGGCTTATGTGCCTACGTTGAGCTACTACTATCAACAACATTATACACCTATTTTGGAAGGAGATGTCAAGCCTTACCATGGAGTTAACGCTAACCATTTAGCATTATCGCTCCTAAATCCTAAATTAAGATTAACATAACACAAATATTAAAAATAATCATGTTATTAAAAAATTAATGTAAAAAAACACCATCACAAAACTCTTAAATTACAGTAACATTCGACATGTAATTGGATTTTTGTTTTTTTTTTTATTGAGTTGCAATAATAGAAAAATACACCAGAATAAGTATTCAAAAAAATAAAATAACAATTAGAATGATTATTAAACTCAAAATTATACTAATGAGTCGTTAAATTACTATACTATCGTAATCGGTATATGTATTGTTGTTTTTTTATTTTCATTTACTTATTTAATTTTTTGAATCACAATAATCTAACGTTGCTAAGTTTTTAAAAATTTGATTCGAGTACTATCAAATACGATTATTATTTAAATATTTATAAATCTACATATTAGCATTAAAAATATTAATATTAATAACTAATAAATCAAATCTTGTGCGATTAAATCGTAATTATTAAGTATTACTTTCTTAACTGAATTCCATAATTACTTAGAACCTTTTTTTTTAAATGTTTTTTTTTTTTTTTATTTTTAATCAAATGTTTCTTATACACATGTTTTTTCAGTCATTGCTGGACGAACCCAATCCAAACTCACCAGCAAATTCTTTAGCAGCTCAACTATATCAAGAAAATAAACGTGAATATGAGAAACGTGTCGCCACAGTTGTAGAGCAGTCGTGGCTGAATTTCCAAGATAGCCATGTAGAAGATCCTCGCTGACATTAAACATCGATACTGTTTGCCCGGGAATTATTAAAAATAAAATTTATAATTTAAATTATAAAAGGGCTATGATATACAATTAATTTTTATCCTCATTCCATTCATTAAAGCAACACTACAAGTTAAACAATTAATCATAATTATTAGTAAACTGCTAAATTCTATTTAAAAACACGCACTCATTAAACTCATGTGATTATTACCTATTCATTTAGTATAGAATTGAGATATCTCTCCAGATACCACTTAATGAAATAAATAAAATGTACTACACTATTCAATTTTCGTACAGATATTTGGTGTAATGTAATCTAACGTAAGTAATTCTATTATCACTTTCGTTTTATCATATTTAGACAATAATATTTTTATTTAGTTGAAAATAACTATTCATATTTTTTGATGTTCGTTGTGAGTTAAAAAAAAAAATTTGTTAAAATACATGTAATGCTTATTTACATTTAGAATGTTTTAAGTTTTTGATAATCCTCATTCTCCTTACAAAAATGAAAAAACAAAAATTTTTTTCAACAGCATTTAAATAATTTAGTATGATTTATTTGTGGTACTCAAGTATGAAGTTGAAGATTGATGTGACGAGGAAATTAATTTAAACTAATATACTATAATAATTTGCACAAGATGGTTACAGTAATTTTTGTATCAAATATTCACAGAAGTATTTCATTATAAGGGAACTGAATTATTAATAATGGATTCGATACTTCAAAACTTCTCTTTTTGATATTGAATTGAATTTTATCTTTCGAATACGTGTTATTAAAAATAACATTATCAATGATATAGACTTTAATATTACTATAGTTATTCAAACTATAAATTAATTTTTTTCAGTTTTTATTTTTATAATTATACAGATAATCTTATTCCTTTCATTAAAATAAAATATTTCTAAATACTTATTATAAAGTACGAATTTTAATTTAAATTTAATCGAATGCTCCAAAATATATTAAAAATATTTTTAATATTTTATTTATCGGAATCATAAATTCAGTATGATAGTAACGTTCATATATATATTGATAAATTTATTTTAAAATTTATTAAAAATTAAAATTGTTTCTTGTGTAAATTATGCTACGATTTTTCTTCTTTTTCCTTGTTGTATCGTTCTAGCTCTTTTAGAAATTGAGCTTTGGGTTTCATTACATTTGGCCGATCACCCCGACACTTTGGACAAAACCATTTGCCTTTAGGCTTAGTACTTAATGATACACAAGAGAAATGGAACCATTCAATTGGACATAAGTCATTGTCACAGAGAATCATTTCACCGTAAGATATTTGATCACATAAGCAATAAGTTGGTTCATCAGGATCAATGGCTATGTCATCATCTGGAGGTGGTGGAGTATCTTCTCGCTGCTGATTCTGTTGATTTCCTTGACGAGATTTTCGTTTTTTCTTTTTACCAGCCGCTGTAGCTGCCGCTTTCTTTTGATTACCGTTACTTGTACTCGCTAGAGTTGCTGATCGACTTTCAGATATTGCAATCATATCCATAGCGTGTGCAGATTCAACTAAAGCTTCAGTTCTAGTTCTACGAGCTCGTTTTGGCTGACGTTCAACGTTATTTGAATTACTAGGTGTACTTGGATTTGTATTAGTGTTAGTTTCACATTTCGGCTCATTTGTTTCTTGCTCTTTACTGAAATCTAAAAATGAAAAAAATATTTTAAAAAATAAAAAATATGTTTAAATATGTACTCACTGTAAAAAAATAATATAAATATACATACCCACATCGCGAAAATCTTGATCGAGTTGGCGTGATTTAACCTCTATGAGATCTTGAATTTGTTGAACGATTTGCAGTTTTTCATCACCAATTTCTTGAGCAGCAATAAGAGCCTGTTGGACTCGTGTAAGAGCTCTTCTTCTGCTTACGACATCCGTATCATTTTTTGTCAAGAGGTCTTGTTGTTGATCCACTTCTCGCAAATACACTAAACAAAAAATATTTATTTGTAAATATAGAAAAATAGAAATAGACTGAGGTATTTAGAAATTTAAAGTAATATTAATAAAAAGATTTTAATAAACATAATTCAAGTTAAAAGCCTTGCAATGCTCGTTAAAATTTTTAATTTTAAAAACTTACTTTGACATGTTGAATCCAATTCTCGAAGCCGTGAAACAAATCGTTGAACGTCGTTTGGAAAATTTTCAATACAGTCGAGGTAGTTGTTAACATAATTCGCATAATAGAGAGCTTCTACAACTGCGTGGCTCAACATTTTACATTCAGTTCTTTATTTAAAATAATATTATTTCACTAAATTTGTAAAAAATAATTTTAGTCACAGATTTTTGATTATCACTTAACATTCAAAAAAAAACTTTTTCATTTCATCATATAAACAAAATGTGAAAGCATCATCAGATCATGTTTATTTTATTTATTTTATGAGAGAAATTTATAAATGACGTAGAATAACAATGATGGAGATTAGAATTCTATTCTCCATGACAACAACTTTCCTAAAGAAACATATGCGCTTGTTGGTTTGAGCGTTATGACGAAAGATGGCATTCACATGATATTATTTGTGGCGATACTGTCAGCGCGGTCACGCCTCTAGTGGTAACAACTGGGACCACTCAACGTACTGTAGATCTCACACGGATATACACAGAAAAATCGCGGAAGATACCACCACAGCTGTGGCATCCAAATAATCTAATTAATCCAATTAAAGTTTATTAAATAATAATTAATTATTTAAATATATTTTGTTGACTAATAAATAATAATAATAATCGTATCACTTTGGTCTAGTAATTTTTAGTATAGTGTATTCCCTTTGAATCCACATATTCTGTAGCTGAAAAAATCTTAACAAATAATAAACAGTATTCTAACTTATGCAATTAATTTATAATTAAAAAACATTATGCTTAACAATTTTTTATATTTTCGTTGAATAACACAATTATTAATTCTGACTAGATTTAATTCATATTATTTACAAAATTTTGTTCTCTTTTATTAATTGTTGGTAACAGAAATAAAAAAAAAATAACACATGTGACATCATGTATGTATATACCATATTGTGTGTTTTTCTCATTACAATTTCAATAATAATACCTAGTACGAATGTTAAAATATTTTAAAAGCGATAAATTAATTTTGTAATGATTACGTTATTTAAAATATAAATGTTCTTATAATCCTAGTACTATATTATTGAAGCTAAGTTTTTTTCTTTTTTTTTTTTAAATCAAAACTCATAAAATTGATAGATATAAATAAATAATAAATTTGAATTATACATTGAGGTTACTTCTGTATAACATGGAAAGAGAAGGTAATTTACTTGTATGATGACACTAACAATTATTATTTCTTCATTCATTTATATAAACTACTTTAGATATAACTTTTTTTTTCTCAGAAATTTGTCAATATTTTGGCGAAATAATTAAAAATGAAAAAGATGTATCAGCAGGAATGGCAGCTATACGAACGCTTTTAACAATCTTAGAACGCTCTAAATGTAAGTTTTATTTTTTAATTTATTATTTCTATGTATGTTTATTCACGGCTATAATTTATTTTGCAGCGGAAACTGTACAAGAAGTTCAATATTGTTTACAAAACGCTATTGATGCAATGAGATCTTTGGATTACCCAGTGACATCAATTGCATCTGGGTCTGAATTGTTTCTACGATTTATTACTTTAGCAAGTTTAGATACTCCAGTAAGAATAATAATTAATAATTAAAATAATTTTTATATCAATTAAAAATTTTATTTTTATTTTTAGTCGTTTGCAGAGTGTAAAGGGATAATGCTACGTCGAGGGAAATTATTTTATGAAAAATTAGTAAACGCTCGTAGTAAAGTTGCTAAATTAGCGTCTAGTTTTATAACGGATGGCTGTGTAAGTTTTGAAAATAATCTATGTGTCCAACAAGTGAAAGAAGCCTAATCTATTTTTTAATTTATTTCAATTGCAGAAAATTTTAACGCATTCAAAATCTAGAGTCGTGTTATTAGCATTAAAAGAAGCTGCTGCTAACAACAAAATTTTTCATGTTTATGTTACACGGTCCGCTCCAGATAATATAGGGTATGGGAATTGCATAGATTATTATTTTAATATCAAATTATATTTTTAGTTTAAACTCGTTTTTACAGGGAAGAAATGTATGACAATTTAAAAAAATTAGGAGTATCTTGTACATTAATTCTTGACTCAGCGATTGGTTACGTTATGGAACAAGTAGATATGGTAATGGTTGGTGCCGAAGGTGTTGCTGAAAGTGGAGGTATAATCAATAAAATTGGCACTTATACCCTCGCAATGTGTGCAAAAGAAATAAAAAAACCACTTTATGTTCTTACCGAGAGCTTTAAATTTTCGAGAATATATCCGCTCAATCAAATTGATCTATCAGATGAGTTTAAAGTAAGTTATTTTTTTTTTTAATACTTCTCTGATCATGTCTAAACAAATGATCTTTAACTATCAATTTTGTTCAATTGCAGTATACGACAAGTACACGAGCGAAGAATTTAAAGAATGAACATCCACTGGTAGACTATACACCACCTCAATATATTAATTTATTATTTACTGATTTAGGTATACTAACACCGTCCGCGGTAAGCGATGAACTTATAAAACTTTATTTATAAATAACAAAATTATAAAAAACTAAATAATAAAAATTTCTACAACTTTAAACGTAGTACAAGAGTTTATTGGATCAAAAATAAAATTATCAATTTTACAATGATTAATGAACAAATAAAAATATTCATTAATTACTTAAAATAGTTGCCACTTGAATTAAAATGAAAATGCCATTCATAAAATAATATGGTTGTAAATATAAACAAATAATATCTTTATAATTTTAATAATTTAAAGTTCCTCATTGAACCGTATAAATTACTATTATAATTATTTAAACATAACATGATTATGTAGGCAAATATCACGGAAAACATTTCAAAACGTACATTTGATTTAAAATATTTAAGTATTGCATTAAATAATATTGGACGAAAAACATGTATTGTTTGTCTTACATGCGATAGTAGTATGCTTTTTTTTAACTATCTAATAAACTTGTTAAAATGTAAATTTTTATAACTTTGCTAATACAACTTAGTTTCGTTTAATCAATTACATTAGAAACATATTTTATCGTATTCTATAAAACTTCTTTCTTTTTCTTAATATTAATACTTAAATAATAATTAATATGTTATGTTACAAAAATTCAAACGATGTTTGGAGGGTTGAAAGCCAAACAAAATGTCTCAACAATCGTGTAAATTTGGTCAAAATGTGGTCTTTTTTCCGGTTCGTACTCCCAACATCGCAACATTAATCTATATACCTCTTCTGGTGTTCCATCAGGGGAAGGTAATCGATAACCTGATAAAAAAAAAAATTATTATAATAAAGAATACGAGAAATTGATTCTTTAATTTGGTATTACTAAAAAAATTACTACCTGCGTCTATTTTTTCTCTAGCCTGTGAATTCGACATTCCGCTATATGGATTACCGCCCTTAGAAAAAATTTCCCATACTAATACTCCATAACTCCAAACATCACAAAGTGAAGTATATTTTCCTATAAAGAGATTTAAATTAGATTAGGTAAAGTATTTACTTAATTTAAGAGAAAAAAGTATATTTAAAAATTACCAAAATTTAAAGCTTCTGGAGCTGTCCATTTTATAGGAATTTGTTTCATGCCATCAGATACAATGTACTCTTCTTCTTCTCTTGACATTCCAAAGTCCGAAATTTTAACATTTGAATCATAACCAACAAGACAATTACGCGCGGCTAAATCACGATGAATACAAAATTTCGATTCTAAATAACTCATCCCAGCAGCAGCATCTCTACACATACCAAGCTGTTCTCCAGTTGTAATCGTAGATGCATTTTTTCGTAAATAAGTTAGAAGAGAACCACCAGGAACTAATTCCATCACAATCATAATAGGTTGCTTTTGTACACAAATCCCAATTAACTTGACAATATTTGGATGGTCATATTGTTTTAAAATCCGGCCTTCTTGCAGAAATTTACGTTTCTGTTCATCGGGTAGTGTTACTTTACATGTTTTCACAGCGACCTCCGTTTTACACGATCTCAATTGAGCTTTATACACATCTCCAAAATTACCCTACAATCAAAATGTTATTCTTACCTCTGTACTACTTAAAATATTGAAGTATTAATATTTCAATACTTACTCGTCCTATTTTCTCTATGAGAATTACATCATCATTATTTAGCTCCCATCGTTCGCGTGGGATAGGAGTTTTTAATATTGCACCAGATCGACTAGTTACTGGGAGTCCAGACTGCCATTGATGTTTTATCAGTTCCGGAATTGTCGGAAAAGTTGGTCCTTCAAATCTATAATGTCCCTAAAACATATAAAAATTTTTTCATTTATTAATTATTGTAAGCAAAGATTTTTTTTTTTAATAAAGTAAAAAAATATGCTTAGTTACTTCAGGAGTTATCTGAACAATAAAATGTTTATGGCCGTCCCAACAAACTGATAAAACAATTTGGCACTCATCATTCCTCATAGTTTCTCGTACTAAAAAATCTCCTTCCACAACTAAAAGTCTGACTACTTCTTCTCTCGGTAATACTCCGTGAAACCATTCTTCTTCCATCAGTCCTCCATTACTTTTTTGATCATTATTTGAATTGTTGATTCCACATGGTCCCTATTAAACAATTAAAAACAAGAAACTTAGAATTTGTACGATAATTTTTTTTCGTAATCAATGCGGTTATTCAATAACGCCGGTTAGTTTGCATTGCTATCCACACGCACAAAATTAAAATTAATTATGGGGTAAAAAAAAAAGTAAATAACTGTAAGTAATTTAAAAACACTGGTTATTGACGTCACACTTTCAATTGTAAACATACTGGTAGGCGGGGTCGAATTGTCTTAACTGATGATCCTACGCTGTTTGCACGAATAATGCCGTTACCATTATTATTCGTAGCAGGTACAGTTTTAAATGGGGTCTTTATCATAGTAAGAAATCGCTGATTTCGTCTCAATGTAAACATACCAGTATCTGCAACTGTATTTCTCTGCAACGTTCAATTTATTCTTCCAATCTACCCAATTCTTATAATTCTAACATAATACAAATGTTTGCTATAAATATATAAAACTATTTTAATGCATTAAGTAAGTTTACCTTAATAACCGGTGGGGGTTCTGCGAATGATCCTTCCATTGAAAGGTCACAACCTGATGGTAATTCTTCGCATCCTAATTCGTTCAAAGCTCCACGAATTACTTCGACCTGTCTTTGTAATTTTTTTTCTTGGCACCTTAACCGTAGTTCTTCTCTTTCTCGTGAATAATCTAACATCGTCATTCTAAAATCGATAGAATAACAATAATTATTGATATAAATAAATAAATAAATTATTCTTATATTTTTTTTATTACCTAGGATCACAGGTATTTTCGTTTGATGACTGAGTAGCTTGACGATTTTGTAGAGTACTTTTCAACGAATTTTCTAGCTCATTTAAGCGACTACGTAACCAGTCTATCGTTAGATTGTCTACGGTTAATTTGTTTGGCAATAGCTTGCCAGAAGTGTCGTCGACCAGATTTTCATCAAAAGTAAAACGTAATGGAGACGCCGGACGTGTTCTAATTTTCGGGTCATTAATTTTACTGTCATTAAATATTAAAAAACATCAAAGTAAAATTACAAAGTATAAATAATATATTACCGATGTTTTCCAATAAAATCCTTGTATTCTTCGAGTGGTTTTATCGAATCAACAGCTGTTTGTACTCGTGCATGAATTTCTTGAAATTTTTCCGAAGTAAAGTCCGAATACTTTACGGTATTTTGAAGAATCCGTTTCCTATGGATAAATTAAATATTAAATATAATTGCAATAAAAGGATAATTATTTTATTTTATACCTTGAATGTTACCTTTCCTTTAACTTCAAAATACGCAACAGATAAAAACGAATTCAGGTAATTAGTTTCAGGATATAGTACTTATTTGAATATTATTAAAACATAATTGATAGGGTTAATAGAACTCAAATATTATAAATGATAAAAAAAGATTTACAGTGACTCGGGTTTTTGGGCGCAAAAAATATTCTCTTTCAGAAAAAACACAAAAAAAATTTTTCTTGTCACTTATATCCTTTGAATTTTAACTCTTTCAATTAAATGTTTTTTTTTTTTTACTTACCAAGCTACTATAAACTCTTCATGGATAGTTTGCTGCCTACGAAGAAGACTGGGAAGGTAACAACTTCTTAAATCGTGCTCACATTCCGCCACTGCACCAAGTAAAAGTACGTATTCATTGTGAGTAAGATGAAGTTTACGGCAAGCTTTTTGATACTTTTCTCGCACGTCATCTAATTTTCTTCCTCCTCTTCCGCCTAGAAAAAAATTAATAAATGAATTAAATTAAAAGTGATATTTTTTTTTTATTCAACAAGAATAATAATAATAATTATAATAGTGAATTATTACTCACGGTTAACATAGTGCTCTTCAAATCTAGCTCTAGTCAATTTATAAGCCTCTAAATTCTTTTGATACTCAGTTTTTTTTCGCGCAACATCATCAGTTAACTGGAAAAATAAATAATTTATATCATACGTGCAGAGAAAAAACAAAAATAGATTAAGAATGCGAATTATTACCTGCTGAAATTGATTACTAAGCCAGGTTTGTTCTTCTTGATAAAGTTTCCTGGCTTTTCTTCTTTCCGTATAAAGATTACCAATGTGTTCGACGACGAGACTCTCCATAGAATCGGCTTGTTGTTTTATCAATCTAGCTGTCTGATCAATAGAATCCATAATATCCTTCCAACTCTATTAATAAAAATCACAATAACAAACACAAGAGACAAAAGAATTTAAGATATGTCGTAGATTTACAGTGTATAAAGTATAAAATATTTCGAGGTAAATAGTTGTTACCTGAGTAATCAAACTGCCAGCAAGGTCATCATAGCGTTCAACTTTCTTTCCTTGAATACTCAAAGATGAAATAGTTGACGCGTATTCACGATCTGATTTAACTTTAGTGGTAAGACATCTTTTCATAGTTTCCAGGAGTTTTATTTCAGCATCTTGTCTTCCTAACAATGCTTCATGTGAAGCTTGTCCTTGAAGACTTGCTGAAAATCCCATTGTTGAATTGAGCTGAGAATTAACTTAAAATTTGATGTCACTTTGATTAAGAGGGTAATGTGATCAGATTTAACTCATGCCTATAAATTTGCTCAAATCTGACGTGATCACTTTAAATAGGAGACTGTCTCTCACAGTGGACTACAAAATATTCCATTTCGATTAAAAAAATTTTTTATTTTTATTTATAAATTACTTTATTCAACTGTAAACTTATTTCAGTAATAGCAGCAGTGTGTTATAATAAATAAAACTTGTATTTATGTTTATACTTATTTGTACAATACGCACAAGTCTATATACTACTTGGTGAAAATTTCTCACCCACCTTCCGGAAATACCGCCACAAGACACACTGGATTCGCAGATATGCGATGATATCAAGTGAAAGTTTGTATAAAAGACTAAACAACAGAGTGCTGTCATCTGTTGTACTATTTGTTATACTATTGTTTTAGTTTTAAAATAGATGTAGCAAACTGCCAAAGCTCATTCTCTTAGCCAATCAAATCCTCAGTTAGGCTGTCAAATTAAATATAAATTATAACCGTATGTATGTTATAACCGAGTCATAGACATAATTAGAAATCTAAATATGTTTAAGTAATTTTGTTTAATATAGACAACAATAAAATAATACTGTACTAATTTCAAATTTCACATTTGTATAATCATTATGCTATTTACAACACTTGAAGTAATCAAACAAAAATTTATCTATGAATAACGACCTATAAAATTTTTGTTTCATATTCAATATATATTTTTTTGGAAAATAATTTTCAGAAATGTACTTCTTTTTATATTTTTGAAAAGTTAGTAAAAATAATTAGCTCATAGATATAAAAACTATTATTCTTTCCTATATTTCATAGATATGGGGTATTGGTTGAGTAAACGTAGTAAGTTTAATATTATCATTGATATGGTTTTTACATCATTAAAACTAATATGAATACTATTTTTTACATGTAAAAACATCGTACGCTTCTTATGCAAATAAGTGTACTGGAATGTTTTAACCTAGATGATAATTTTTTAACTCTATTATCTTAGCTAATGACATTTATGTTTATTACAAATTTTTTTTTATCCGGAGTATATATATCTGTATTGCGGCACAGGGCACGGGTGAGCTCTTGTACTCTGGTATTGTGGATGTTAGTATCCACGGGGGGCACAGAAAAGTAGAAAAGTGCCAATAATAGCTAAGTAGAATAATAAAAAAATAAAAAACTTCGCACGCACAAAAAAAATTTTTATAATAATAATAACATAATAATAATAATAATGATAACAATTTTAGGTAAAAGAAGATAGAAATAAACCGCAAGAGGCGCTGCAGTCGCTGAATGTTGGAAATCCGATCAAAACGCTTTATAGTAGCGGGGAGGGCAGTCGCTCGCCGACAACCAGAGAAAAAATACCGGAGAGCGATATTAGTATCGAAAAAAAAGTAACGAATAACGGAGAGAAATATAAAAGAAAGTGGATGCAGTGAGAAATGCGTGTGTTTTGACAGTGGCTCCTAATAAATATAAAAAGTGTTGAAAAGAAGGTCAATATATAACAATTTTTTTTTACTTTTTATTTATATGTATATAGATTTTATATAAAAAGAAGTTAGTTCAGGGGACAATTTTATTACCCTGTTGTCTGCCTGGGTGGTTTTCCTATGTCCAATTGAATTAGGACACGAGGTTCAATAAATTTGTCGTTTGATAAACAATTTGATACACTACTTCAAAATAATATTCATATTATTATTAATGTCTCAAGTTATGACAATTTCATTAATATTTTCAGAACGTTCGAGTTAGTTTGCGTGTTCTCCTTAGCGAAAGAGGGACCGAGAGTATAGAGGACGAATCCAAAATCGATCCGGAGGTGCGCGATTGTTGTCTTGATCCGGTATTACGGTTCGGTTATCTTATTTATTCTCTATCTGGTCTTTTATAAATATTATGTTATTATTTTGCCGACCGGAAACATTAACTAAATTTTGTAATTAGAGAAATTACATTTACCGAATAGCTCATTTTTTTTCTTTTTTCAATATTTTAATATGTATTTATTTTAAAAATTTTTATTCATCATTCTTTGAAAATGTTCTTCAGAGAAGATATTATTTCATTATTTCAGTTCTATTTGTTTATACTTAAAAAAACACATGTAGCTTCTTTCGCAAAATTGTATGAGTAAATTTATTGATAATTTTGTAATATATAATAATATATAATAATTGTGTTGAAGTATCGGTTATACGGGCGCGGTTTCTATCCTCATTTTACTCCTGCGTTGTTTTACTCAGTCAAGGCTTCTCATCTGCGAATTTATTTCGAGCGAAGTTTCATTTTCATTGCGCTTAAAATTCCAATCGACAACGTAATACACATGTATAGAATCTATTTTATTCTTTCTCTCTGTCTTTCTCTTTTTCTCGAATCGCTTCTCTTTCTTATTACTCCAAATGACATTTACTATTTAGATTATTAAATTATTGTATATGTTGATCGTTCAGAATAAAAAGCATTATAGATTGAAGGACATGAGAAAATGCAACGCAGTATTATGTATTGTATTGAATAGAAGGAAGAAAATGCTGGCTTGTCATTGGGTTTGGAGCAATAAATTTTGCCCTCCTTCTGTGTGTGTGTGTGTGTGTGTGTGTATTGCTTCTATACAACACCATCACTGCAGTATGTTTTAAAACATCTCCCCTCTGACTTGACGAATTTTTCGGTTGCGTTTCAAGGGGAACTAATAGGGTAAAACCTAAATACGCTTAACATGGCCTTGAATTAATTAAAAAATAAAAAAAAAAATAACATTAATCTTGCTCATCTCATAAAAAATTTCACCAATTTACTTAATTAAATTTTATATCTAATCGGTATTATTACTATTATTATCTTTATTATTATATGTGCTTTAATAAAATTAATTTTACAGGTAACGGACTTTTGAAGGATCGATGAGTGGAGGTACAGTGATTAGATAAAGAATAAATTACTGAGAAGATAAAAGTGAATTATTATTTTTTTTTTTTATTTATTTGTGAATGAAAAGAAAAAAAGAAAATAATAACAATAAGAAAAAAAAAAAAACAATAAATTAAACAAGAATCACGGATTATAAAAAAGAACAAAGTGTATTGTGCTGGAGGCTTTTATCAAGTGTTCGCAGGAGGGCCCTAGGGGTGGTTGAAAATAAGGTCGCAGAATGACGGGTGTCGTAGAAGGAAAAGGCGGGGGTGGAGACAACGACGTTAGCGCCACTGATAAGGTCGTACAGCAAAATGGAGCTCCAGAAAAAGCTCCTGTAGTCACTGGAACTAATATGGAAACTCTCCCGCGTCCCGGAAAACAGGTGAATCTTATTTCATATTTTTTTACTGATTTACATTTCATAACTGTACATAATTTTTCTATGGTTAGGAAAAACAAGTAATAACTTGTATGATTAACATGTTTATCTCTAGGTGTACTAGTAATGTTATTGAAATATTTGAATTAAAAAATATTTTAATGATTTCCAGCTGTTAATGAAAAAATAAGAGATAAATGTAAATAAGTATAGCTTGTGAGTGTCATGAGCACGAAATAATTATATTACGTCAGAATTTAAATGTATAAGTATGCGTGAGTATGGCGCTTAATGACGAGCGTGCGTATTAATATTTATCGTACGCATGACAAAAATAAGCAGCTGTCGTTCTCACGATGAGTATACAGAGTAGTAGAATAGCGCATAAAACAGAATATAAGTGTGTATGAGAAAAGAACCCCCCTGTGAGTAAGTTGAGAGAAAAAGAAAGATAGATAAACCGCTTGAGTTCACCTTTATAAATTGCATCCGCTATTAGCCTAGGTCTTGGATTATTTTTAAAAATTTTCTTTTTCCTGTAATTTAATAAAAATATTAAATTAAAACGTATCTATATCTTTTTTTCTCTTCTCTATTCTCAGATAAAATAATATAAATTTTATATTTTTAATTATATAAATAACTATGCGGATGATTGAATAAAAAGTTATGTAACAACGAAAAAAAAAAAAAAAAAAAAGATAAATAAGAATTATATACATTTATTATGGCGTAAAGGATAAAATTCATGACTCAAGTGATATGACAAGATTCATTTATCATCACGCTAGGTACATTTATTCATTTTAGTTGATTATAACTTTACTCTTATTTCGTTGCTCTTGTTATTCTGAAATGCCGGCGACATTTTGGTGTGATTATCTCAACATGCATCCACACAAGAAATAATTTTCGGTTTGTCGCAGTATGGTCATTATACAGGAAGATGACTTATTCCATATGTATTTCTCGTCTCGACCCTCGTTTTGCGTTTTACTTTTTTTAAGAGCACTTGCATGTGTATGCATATATCTATATACATAGTCATGTATACATCTATCTGGTGCTTCAGCCACCCTCACTCTTGAAAACTTAAACGGTTGAGCATCGAGTGTTTAAAAAATCTCTTAGTTTAGTATATCATAAGAGGTATATCTTTCGTGCTGTCATCTCCTTCACTTGGTTAATTAAATAATTTAGATAATATTTTCAGAAGTATCAACGTTTACTGTCAAGGAAGTCGTAAATTAGTGCTGTTTACTTGGTTTAAATTAATCTATCATGGTCAATATTGATTTCGATACCAGAGCAAGTATAGACACCGCAAGTTTTGGGCAAGGTCAATGCTCTCCAGACTCGGATCGTCGGTTCACATAATTTCTATTGCTTTTACTTAAACTTCTCTTAGAAAAGATTGAATGTATCCCCGTGTAGTATAAAGACAGAGCCCCTCATTTATTTCATATCGCATGCGTGCTATAAGGTCATTGAACTTCATTACTTATTATTTTCCCTCTCAAGCAGTAGCTAGTAGTCAACATCTACGAGATGGTGAAAAAGAAAGTGCAGACTTTTAAAAAATAACTAAAAAAGTAACGGCGACGAAAAGAAAAAACTTTATGTACTTTGAAGTTAACAAAAGCACCAAAAGCCCATGAAATCGGACAAAGACTTCGTTTACATTTAAGTTAAGTCTAAAATTTTTAGTCGCCAGAATAAACTAGCTTCATCATCCCCTCATTTAAAATATCACCCTCCAGTTTTAAAGGATGGGAAAAATTGCTTCAAGTGTCCTTTTTGCTGTTCTGTTATATACTCAGAAATTATCGTATATTATACTTGTATAAATTCGTTGCATTTGTAAAATACATAGTTAATGGTTTATAGGTAAAAATACAAAGAGACTTACCCTCTACTCAGTTTCTGTTGTTTCCGCACATAGGTTTGAACATAGTAATAACCCAAAAAACTCGAGGGAGATATTCGTGTTTGGGGTTGACGAGGCTGATTGTTTCTGAAAGACATATAGATATAATATGATTATGATGCTCGTAAATGCGACTAAAAGAGTGTAGAGAAGGGGAAACGAATCCGAATATAGTACAGTAGACAAACATTGTGGGTCTTCCATTGACGTTCACGCGATGCGAATTTGATATCCATAGGTGACATTCGAGATGACTGGAAAGGAAAATCGGTTTCACTTTCCTTTTTATATTACATCTATTACTGCATCGATTTAACTTATTTTACTCCTAACATATATATTTTTTTGAATTTCTCAATTAGATATGTTATAATTAAAAACCATATTTTCCATCTTCAAGTTAATAAATTTTTGAAGTGTGTATATTTCATCATGTGTTTACTTAACAGATTAAAATCGAGTAGTCTTATCTGTAATTAATACTTTATTATAAATAATACACGATATTTGAAAATTATTTTTTTAACGGAGGTAATATTGAAAATGTTTATTCTGTTTAATGGGAAAAAAATTTTTGATTTTTTCAGCTGAACCAGCTGGATACTTACAGCTTTGAAATGATTCGAAGTTTATAAAATCATTGTAATACTATTAATTATTGCGGTCGTATTGATGAACCCTCGTTGTGACTATCGAGGTCGATTAACAATTTATTGCATAAGAAACTTCAATGACAATCAAATATTCTTGTCTTTGCTGCGTGTAGAAAATAAAACACTCTACGTATGTACTAGACATGCAGACAATATCGATCAGTGTATACTATTCAGTACTGAGGTTAGCGTCCTTTGTTAAATAAAAATCTTATTTAATCAATTTTTTTTATTATTTCATTCGTTTTAAATTTACGAAATCTATCTCTTGATATTCTTAGCTTATGTTTTATTTTAAAATAAAAAAGAGCTATTCAGTAGATGAAAAAAAACTGATTGAAAGTCTTTTTGTGTTTCATACTTATATATGATTAATGGTCAATATTAGAAATTTAGAACGGATAAAAAAGTATAAACAAAAGAGATTTAAAAGTAAATATTAAAAAGCCGGATTACTACAATTACTCAGTCAATATATAAGTATAAGATTATGAAACAAATAAAATATAATTTAAACCTTAAAAAGAGTGATAGCCCATATCATTTTCTTTTCATTTCTCATAGAACCTTTTAATATTTTTTTTTTTTCAGTTCGATTGGTGTCCGTTAATAGAACACTTGACCTAATACTAGTAAACTTTTCTATTTGTTAGCAATTTCCGGGTAGAGACTTTTTACTCTTCATTCTGCAGATATTCTTCTATTCTATCTCAGTTGACCCAATTAAATATATTTTCGTTATATTGTATAATTTATTAAATTTATGAATCTCTCTTTAATTTCTGATGTTTCTTTTAGCTATTATAATTTTAATTAAATGAAAGTTATACGATTTTATGAAATAAAATTTATATTAAACCTTCACTTTTAAGTGATAGAAAAGCTTCATTTCAGTGTATAAGGTTATTTTATAGGGTATTATATACTCTTGAGAGATTTAATGGTTCAATTGTAAAGTATAATTAAAACAGCAACTGCCTCGTGGTAGTATGATATGCCGACAGTGACATTGCTGCATAGTAAGTTTGTATAGGCATAAAGGAGGAAAAATTTTTTCCCATTCTGAGATGGAAAGAATGAAAATCATGTGGGTACAATCTGATAGCGGTTAAAGCGGTTGCGAGTACGGATAGTCAGCAAATAAAAGGGGTTGAACAGTAGAGCTTGCAGTATAATAGCGTTCATCAGTTGGCGCGTTGATATCGACCGATGAGTTTTGCCTCCATCTTGTTTGCCCCACATTGGATGGGCGCACCTTTTATAAAACAATACTGATATGACTACATATGGGTAGTACAGAACTTACTGCCACGCATCGCGTGTCTTTTTTAGTAAAAGGACTAATAAAAGTCAGAGGCCATACATTTCTCATAAATATATTTTATTTTATTAAATAACAAAGGTCCACAATGAGAAAATAGTAGGCAAGAAACTGTTACAATGTAATATTTAACTTTGTTTTAGATATCCGATTTATAATGTGCTGAATATTTTGTTTTGCTTGACTCTTTACTTTAAGCGCTGGTATGCGATAACATAAAAGTGGGTTGTTTTTATTGTATAATTGCTATGATAATGTAAGCGATAGCAGGTGCACTGCAGCAGTAGTATTGACGATTCTATGTTAAAAAATCGGAAAAGCGGTTGACCGGCAGGCCATCTTTGGAACTTCCCGTTTTTTTCAAGCTTGAAATGCTCGAAAATTACCAAATAGGTTCATTTTTGAGCTCCTTGAGCTCGTAAATTCAAAAGTATTATGAAAAAAAAAAACGATTATTTAGAAATTTTTAAATGGCTACAACTTTTGAATACATCGTTCGATTCTGATCTACTTGGCGTCATTCGATGCAGTTTTACAAGTACAAAAATTATTTATAATTTCTTAAGCCGATCGATCGAAGAATATAAAAGTTATATTATATCAAAAAAAGGATTATTAATAAATTTTTAAATGGCTGTGATTTTTGAACACGTCGTTTAATTTTGATTTATTTAGCGGCATTCTATGGAGTTTTATAAGTTAAAAAAATGTATCGGAAGGCTGGAGTTGGTTAGTCTAATATTTTGAAAATTATTTCGAAAAAATTTAAGAAAAAACTTTTTTTCTTCATAGTCTAATCAGCTCGAAGTCTCAATGAACACTTTCGCACACCATGTTGTTCATCTCGATCGGTTGATTCATTCCAAAGATATCGGCTGGATGTCCAGCCGGAAATAGTTGGAACGTCTTCTTAGGACCTCAAGATCGATCTTTCTCTGTTCTCCCGCGTTTTCTCTCAATAGACGCTAAACGAACAAGCTATTTACTTTCACTTATCGTCACTAGAATGCAGTAAATGCTTAAGCGAACGGGGGATTTTGAAAATAATATTTCAAATGTCACTTGATATTATTGACATAAATAAATTTCATTTTCTTACATTCTATTGTATACCTATGTGTAGAAAAAAAATTTGTATTTAATTAAAAAAAAATTTATTTTTAATTTGCTGTCAAAATACATTTACATTTATCACGATCTTAAAAACTAGTAATCTAAAGTGGATGTGTACACAGATACATTATTATTTAAAAATCAATCAATAAAATCATTAAAAATTATACAGATAACAGACATTTTTCATACATATTTAAAAATATTTACAGCCACAATAAATTGGAAGTCCATTTTTTTTTTTTTTATCATTATCATTCAATTAAAAATTAAAAATAAATAAAAATCAATTATTCCATTATTAAAACTCAAATTAAAGTTCAATATCACCTACAATATTTTCAAGTTCGTTGAACATCCGATCCAAGTGCTGAAAAAAATATTTTAATTAAAATTAAATGATTCCGGATCTTATATCTCTAATCAGAATAAGAAATTATTAATAATAATATTTACATCAGGTTGTTCAGCTCTGCCACTATTTTGCTTATTCTGTATCTCAGATTCATAACAGTCAGTTTGCTCTTCTAAATCATCGTGTTGACCGTCTTCCATTTCATCATTCGAATCATCTAATTGATCTGGCTCGTCATCATCGTCGTCATCATCATCATCATCATCCTCACCATCATCCATTGGTACGTAAGGCATTTCTATTTCATCAAAATCTTCAGGTTCTTCTTTTATTGTTGTTATAAGAACTGATTCGGATTCATCTTGAGGAGGTGGTGGAGGAGCTTCGGCTGCCGGTGGAAGTGGAGGTGATTTTTCGGTCTAAATTTAAAAAATAAATAGTTATATCACTATTTATGAATTAATTTATTAGATAGTAAGTCAATAAATGTTTACCCATGGTTGTTTTTGTTGAGAGGATTCAGTAGGAATTACTGTTATTGGTGAATTATCTGAAGAAAATCGCACATCAATATTTTTTGTCGTATTATTACTCTCAGATCTACTTGAAACAGGTCCGTTGTGAATTGTCTGTAGAGTATTTTCGGAAGTTTTATTATTTTGATTATTCTTTGATGTTTGATTGTTGGTACAAGAGGATTGCTCTGTCTTTATATTAACGTCATTTGGTTCTTCTTTTACTTTCTTGGTATTACTTTTTGGTTCACCAGGTAGACAAGTATTACCCCGCTGTCGCCTAAATCTTACAATAATACTTCTTGTGTCCCACATTAAATCGTGAGCTTGTTTATAGGCTGCTATAGATTCTTCAACAGACGTGTAGCGAATAAAGGCATACCTATTAATAATTAACAAATTTATAATTAAATTTTAGTATGAAAAGATGGAAAAGAAATAATATTAAATATGAAACGAAATATTTTACCTAGTATTTCTCATTTTTTGAGCATAACCAACATCAACTCTTGTAGCTGTTGGAAATTTACTTTTAACTTCGTTAACATTTACTGACTCCGGTAAATTACCTACGTATAATGTATAAGGATCAATCTCTTCTGGCATAGGAAAATCTTCATCTCTGAGAGATTTCCTTTCAACTTTAAGATGTCCAACACCAAATGGAATTTTTTCTAATTCCTTTATTGCTTCGTCAATATTAACATTTTCAGCCATTTGAATAAAACAATAACGTGGTCCGCTAGGACTTTGAAAGTGTATATTTTGTATACCTGTATGGAATTCACGGACAATATCTTTATTTAAATCAGGATCTGGAAATTTAATAATTAAGCTCTGTGCACGAACTGTTTTGTTATATTCATTTTCGACTTTTAGTGCACTTTGCGCGTCTTCACGATTCCAGGGTCTACTTGGATAATTTTGTGACATGGGTTTTCTCTGTTTACCTTTTTTAACTGGTAGTTCCTGAAATAAATATATATTAATTACATAATTTATTTATAATAATAATTATTATTTGCACTAAATATATTAAAGAAACGTACGGAAACTATTTTAACGTCTTGATCACCATCTTGTCTATCATTGACTCCAGACGATTGGTTGGACATAGACATAGCCATATGATTAACAAGATTTTGAGCATCATTGTGAGCAGCAGCAAATCCTCGTTGCCAATCAATACTGATATTGCCAGCTGCTAAGGACTGGCCAAAGTAAGCTGTTGTAGGATCAAATGGAGTCGGAGTTTGATCAAATCTAGGTCTGCGGTTTTTTCGATGAAAATTTCCTCTAGGAGGATAAACATTGTTGCGATTATGCGTAAATCTGTCTCGTCTTGTATAATTTCCTCTCGTCGAATTTGTGATATCACGTGAAGTTTGGGCAGCCAGCGCTGTCGCTTGGGGTGTTATCCATTGCCAAGCAGGTGCCGGTGCCCAGGATTGAATTTGGGTAACTTGTGGCATAGGAGAAAATACATGAGGTAAAGGTGGCAGAGCTCCTGGTGGTGGTGGCATTGGAGGTAATGGTGGTTGTCCTGGAAGAGGTTGATTTGCTGTTGATGGAGAATTGGAGCTTGGATAATACGATGAGTATGAAGTCTCGTATCCATAAGTAGTATCCTGTTTATTCATCCCATTCTTAGCTTCACCGTTCTGATTGTTAATCTAAAATGCAAGTTTAATATTGTTATTCAGGTGTGGTAGTATTAAACGTGCTTATTATACTAAGGAATGCATTATTTTTCTAGTAGCTCCAACGCGTCGTAATTATAATCTAACCTATATCAATATTTTATTTATGTTAGTCAAATATCAATCAAATAATCGAACAAAAAAATAACTATTGTTATTTATAAAAAATTATTCTACATTACCGTTTTACTCATGACGTTCACGTGCTTGCATTCAATTGAGAATTAATTACATTTATTCAAAATAATTGTTTTTAGAGATTTTATTATAAAAACACTTGTTAAATCCCAAAACAGGAATGCCAACCCCTTGTTATAGGGATGAATTTTTTTTTAAGCGAGTTTCATTAGGATAGAGCAGCCATACAACGAGGGTTTAAATCACAATTTAAATGATCCAATGAGCAATTTAAAATGATTATTTTCACTATTACAGAAATTTATTGAAAATTGTCAATGTTAAAGACAAAAAATATATGTATATGTAAATATATATATATATATATATATCAATTATTGTTAATATTAGACACTTATTAAATTTAAAATAATTTTTGAAGGAAAATATTTTTTTCAACCAAAGTTGTATAGAAATATAAATTGAGAATAAATATTGTGTGTTAGTAATAAAAATTTCAAGTACGAAATAAATAATGTTAATTAGTATATTTTGTTAAGTTTATATTTTTTATGCAAATAGTTAAAAAATTTTTTAATATTTCATTTTACTTGCTCGTATATCTTTGGCCCAAAGATATTATTTTTATAATTTGTTTCATATTATAAATAATATTCACACGTGCGTTAGCATTTACATTGTCGAATATTTGTGTGCCAAAAACTGAAATATAAATATGGAATATGGAAAAATAATTTTTCTGTATGTATTTTTGTTGTGTATAATGTCGACAAATATGTAGGTATATGTACATATACTTGTATGTATAATGTGTGGTATGATCGGGAGAGGGGGAGAATGCTTTTCTGTGTTTCTGTGTATGACAACTCCATAATTGAAGATTGTAAAATGTAGCCAGTAGATGCCCCCACGATTCATGATTCAGATAACTTTTTTTTTTGTCGTTGATGGTTTTGTACAGTTTTGTATGACATGGCTACGATGGCTACGAATAATACCGATGAAATTGAGGTAAAATATTATTAATATTTATTGCTATTTATCTTGCATAACATTTATATTTTTCCATATATTTACTAGTATTTGAATTGATCTGGCTGACAAAATTTATTTACGGATATTGATAAATTTATTAAGTACTTTAGGCAATTTTATATCCTGTTTCCACCCCATGCAGCTTTTGCATTCCAAGTTCACAGATGGCTATAACCTCTTTTGAGCATTTAAAGTCTAGAAAAATCTCACATAAAATATATATTAATTTTTCATATATATATATATGATGCATTGGAAAAATTGATATTGATTATGTATAAAAATTAATTACAATTATTTATTCCAGGAAATTGAGAAAAAGGAGCAAGAGTCTACTAATTTAGAGGAGTATCCACCAGAGTTCTTGATCAAACATCCTCTCCAACACACATGGACTTTATGGTATTACGAGCCTGACAAACAAAAATCTTGGGAAGAAAGCCAAAGAGAAATCACAAGCTTTGATACCGCTGAAGATTTTTGGAGGTAAATAAAATAAAATTTTCTAATAAATAAAAATTGTCGAGCGTACAGTGGAAAATTTTAAAAATGATTTACTTGATAATTTCTATTTACATCATTTTTAATATTGGATTGAGCATTCATCTTTGTAACTGAACTACTTTCAATTTATTTATAGAAATTTATAGCTTTGGTATTTTTTAATAATTTTATTTCATTTTAAATAATAATGAATATTATTTTATGTTTTAATTTTAAGTTTTACGAATAATTTGTTTATATTCTAAGATAATATTAAAATTTGATATCAATATAATAATATTTTATCGATTCCAGTTTATATAATCATATAAAATCTGCATCTGAATTGAGACAAGGATGCGATTACAGTATGTTCAAACAAGGTATTCGTCCTATGTGGGAAGATGAAGCGAACAAACAAGGAGGAAGATGGCTTATGACATTAGAGAAAAAACAGAGAAACTCTGATCTTGATCATTTTTGGCTTGAAATTTTGTTATGCATGATTGGTGAAGCATTTAACGAGCACTCTGACGACGTTTGCGGTGCAGTAGTTAATGTCCGAACTAAAGGGGATAAATTAGGAATTTGGACTGCTGACGCTAACCGATCAACGAGTGTCATGGAAATTGGGTAAATAATTTTTCTTTTTTCTTTTTTTTTTTTATTAATAAGAATTGTTAAAATTATTAAAGTGAAAATTTATATTTATATTTTAGAAGAAAACTTAAAGAAAGACTACGAATCTCGCCGAAGCAAATAATTGGATACCAAGTGCATAAAGATGTTATGGTCAAAGCTGGAAGCATAACTAAAAATACTTATCAAGTTTAGTTTTGATTCATTAACTTGTACTGAATTTACGTTCATATTTAACAATTAATTTATAGCTCTATACAATTTTATTCATAAGTTTAAAAAAATTTGTAACGAAATGATTACGGTGACAAAAATTTAAGATTTAATAATAGTTACTTTTGAATGATTGTTCTGTTAGATTTAATTTAAAAAAAAATAATCCAATAAGTACTAAGCCTTTAATAAAATAAAATATTCTTTTGTTATTACGGATTTCTATCAAGAAATACAAATATAACTAACAATGCTTAAATTAAACATAATTATTAAAGTAATATAGATGTAATTTATATAAAATAATAAGGTAAGGGTCATGATTTCTCTGTAATAACATGAGATTTATTTTAAAATAATAAGATACTTGCCGGTTATTGTATCTATTTGTTAAAATACAAACGGTTGTTTCATTTCTTATGTAGTAAAATTATAAAGGTGTTTTCATAAATAAATAAAAATGTATTCATGTAGTTTAAGCGTTTTTTTTTTTTATTTGTTAAGGAGTTTTTAGTAAATCCATTATTGAGTTTTATATAAAAACTACATTGGAATTTATGTACTTAGTCAAAAACATTCTACCAGTATAAAATTTAACAAAAATTAATTCTCAACTATTTTTAGCAGTACATCTTGAACCATTTCGGCTAAATCTTTTCGACGAATGGTATTTAATGATTGTATCAATTTTTTTTCCCAGTCACATTCCAGACATCTTGATATAAATATTTCCAAAGTCTGTTATAATAAATTACATTTGAATTAATTATTAATTTATAAAGAAAGGCCTTTTAATTAATGAAATCATTAAATAAAAAAAAACATAAATTACTTGAAAAGATTTATCCTTGATGGGTATGTCTTTTATATCTATCGAATCAATATGAGCCTCTTTTACATCCAGCATTCGAGCTAAATCTCTCCAGTATCTTCCTATATTATCACTAACCAAATGAAAAACTGAAATAAAAAAGGAATAATTATGAGAAAAAATTATGGATATCGAAAAAAAATATTTGAAAGCTATAAAAATATTAGTAACTTTTTGCTTGAAGATCTGATACTTGAAAAGTTTTTAACTCAGTTGGCTGTGAATTATAAGATAAATTCACGGTGTGAGTTTGATGATAGCCTGTGGATTGAGTAGGCTCTGGTCCAGCTGACGAACTTGTTAATGCTGGTGATTTTATATAAGGTATAATGAAATATAAAATAATGATAAGTACTATCACCAATAATGAAACACTTATACAAACTACAATGTATTTCAATAATGACTTTGAACTATCTTGTGAGACATAAGTATTCTGGTTTATGTTAATTGTCTCAAATGTCGATAATTTTATTTCATTATTTGATTGTAAATTTAATATATTTTCTGGCGTTGATTGTAAATAATTTATAGTTGATGCAATATGTAAAAGATTCGTACCTTCATGATCACTTAATATTTCCAACTGATTATTAGCATTATTATTATTATTATTATTATTATTACTAGATAAATGTTCATTAATCGGTTCTATGCTGAAGTACTCACCACTTCGATATTTATAAATATTAAAAAGCGGCAGTGTTTGATGAAGTTGAAGTTGAGTTTCATAATCTTTGATGATCTGATTCAGCACCACATCCTTGATATATGTTTCAGCGATTTCTTTCAAGACGTTAATATTATTGTAAGACAGCACTGACCGATTTTCCAATATTTTTAGCAAATCCGCAAGATTTTTAATTTCATCTGTGACGCGTTTTGAATTAATATCACGATCGTAAAATAGTTTAATGTTTTCTAAATTTGTACCGTTGACGTGAAGACTTGCTATTTCCAAGAATTTTTGCTTAAGATGACTATATCTTGATTGATACTCATCCCAATTTGACAAGTAATCCATATCTACTGTCATAGCTTATGATTTTTTTTAATACAGTATCTTTTAACTAATTGGTTACTGGTTTTTGGGATTCCCAGAACAGTTGCGTCTCAGTTTGGATTAAACAGGTAGTTTCTACTGAAGTTTATAGTATCAAAGGTCTTGGCGCCTCTTTCCAATATATATATATATATATCTCTTGTTATAACCATACCAGTGTCTTCTTTATCATATCAATTTTAATAATTTATAGAATAAAAAAATATATAGTTTTTAATTTTGAGTGATCATCTGAGCATTTTTTGAATAATTTGACTTTGAAATAGAATAATTGAATGCAAAATTAATATCTATACTTAATGTCAAAGTAGTTAATAAACGGACTAAGCATAAAATCATATACACATTTATGTATTACATATACATACATTAGATATAACTAATATCATCGGGAAGTTTGCCCCGTTGTAACATACATACTTACACAGACGTTATAAATTTAATTTGTGTGCGAATAAAGAAATAAAATACAATGTTGGTACTGTAGCAACTCTATAAATTACCACTCTACTAAAAGAATAATAATATACCGACATCTTGTTTTATTGTATGATTTTTGTATATTTACGAGTGAGACAGAAATAAATTTTTATAATGAAACTGTTTTCAGAAAATATACAAATAATATTCAAGAGTGCAATCGTACTACGGCGGTAATGAGAAAAGAGATATCAGCAGTAAGAGTGTATATATATTGAAGTGTCAAACGGAATTTGTATGAAAGAAAACTTTAAACGCAATTCACAGATATATATGTATTAATTAACATTAATAATTAGAATTATTGATAAGATTAAAATGTCATTTTCTTTGTTTCCGATTACAATTACACCTTTTTTGTTGCGATTGAAATAGATTAAAAAGATTAAATTATAGATTTTTTTTTATTTCTGTAGGTTTAAAAGTGTGTAACTTTTTGTAACGAGACGTTCTAACTGTATTATACTTGGATAAAAAGACATTATTAGTTATATGAGGAAGAAAACATGAATATTACGAATCCTGTCAAAATGTTCAATATGAAAAATACTAATCCATGTGAAAATGATAATAAAACTCTTGGAATGGACCAAGCTTGCTTCACTGTTTTCAATAATAATAATGTTCCTATTTCCTTGTATTCTGCGAATGAAGAATGCTATTTTAAACTGGTAATATATTTATTTTTATATAATTTTTTGTTAGTTCACAATTAATATTTATTAAATTAATTGTATTAGTGCGACTGTTTACCATGGGCCAATGTATCGGCAAACAGCAATTCTTCATTAGTCGTATCAACACGATACCCATTACATTTTTATTTTGTCAAAGGAGAATATCAGTGGTGTCAGTAAGTAAGAATCATCTTCAGATTTATTTCATTAATAAAAACCAAAATTTTTTTTCAGTGATGGCTTTCACTTTCAAGAGTACGGTCATTATGGCTGGAACTTGTCTGAAGAACACATTTGTTCAAGTGTTTACACTATAACCGAACCTGGAAATCCGTATCTCCGTAAGTACTAAATAAGAAATAACTTAATTGAATGTTAATGATCTATTTTTTTGTCTTAGCTCTCTTAGCGGCGTTTATGATTTTCGTAATTGGAGCAATAATAATTGGAACAACACGTTTTTTTATACAGATGATTAAAAAATTTCGAACACGAAATTCTCTCGATGATCAAAGTGTACCTATTAATTTTTTTCATTATTTTTATTAAAATAGATATTGTACTATTAAATTTTTTCATTTTTAGGATACCGGACCATTACAAGATTCTGACTCTCCAGCTCAAACATTAGTTAGAATAACTAAAGCAAGTATAAGAGTTCGATCTATCGATACTTTTAGAGGGTAAACATAAAACTATTTAATTTTATGATAATAAATAACCATGATAATCAAATTGAATGAATTGTTTCAGTATTGCTGTTTTGCTAATGATATTTGTAAACAACGGAGGAGGGAAATACGTATTTTTCAATCATTCCCCATGGTATGGATTAACAGTAGCTGATCTTGTATTACCTTGGTTTGCCTGGATTATGGGTTTGACAATTGTACTATCAGTACGCTCTCAATTACGACTCTCAATTCCACGATCAAGAATAATTATGAAAAGTCTCAAACGTGCTTTAATCCTCATTCTTTTGGGATTAATTATTAATGGACATCAAGGCACGAAGTTAAGTGACTTGCGTTTTGCTGGTGTTCTTCAATTACTTGGAATTACTTATTTTATTTGTGCTGGTATTGAAACTCTAACTATGCAAGCTCAAAGAAATTTTCATTATGGAAGATTTGCATTTCTTCAAGATATTCTTGATGCCTGGATACAATGGTTAATAATTTTAACACTTACTGCAATCCATTTGCTACTAACATTTTTATTGCCAGTGCCAGGCTGTCCAAAAGGCTATTTTGGCCCAGGTGGTAATTCATATCACAAAAGATATTATAATTGTACTGGTGGAGTTGCTGGTTATATTGATCGGTTCATTTTTGGAAATCATATTTATAATAAAACTACAAATTCAATTTACGGAGACGTTTTGCCTCATGATCCTGAAGGTGATATTTTTTTTTTTTTTTTTTTTTTAATAATTTCATTGAAACCAATCAATAAAATGTAAAACAATTTTTTTTTTTAATTTTTCTTAGGAATAATGAATACTTTGTCGGCTGTATTGATTGTTGCATTAGGAGTACAAGCTGGAAGAATTTTATTTTGCTACTATTTGCATAACTTTTCAAAAATTATTCGATGGTTTTGTTGGGCAGTTGTTCTTGTAAGGAAATGATTGATAATTTATGAAAGTAAATAAAAAAAAAAATTATTTACAAATTATTTATTCTTTTTTCAGGGATTAATAGCAGGTTTTTTGTGTAATTGGAGTAAAGAAGGAGTCATTCCAATCAGTAAAAATATGATGACAATATCATTTGTATTAACAACGTCCAGTTTTGCATTTATTCTTTTTGCTATTTTGTACTTTTTAATTGACCACCATCGCATTTGGGCCGGAGCTCCGTTTACATACGCTGGAGCTAATGCAATTTTTTTGTACATGGGCCATTATTTTACTATTCAAAGTTTTCCATGGACATGGACAATTGATAATCCTACCCATGCTTCACTCTTTGCTATAAATTTGTGGACTACAGTACTCTGGACATTAATCGCTTATGGGCTTTATCAAAAAGATATAATAATATCTATCTAATAATTACTCGACATGATAATTTTTATTGTCATGAGTCATGGCTTCCTTTTGATATTCTTATTGTAAATATATAATGCATTACATTCAAGTATGATAATGTAAAGTTTTTGACATATATGCGGTCATGTTAAGCACAAGAGTGGTAACTTGCTATCGTATTTCTATACATGTCACTACGATTCTGTTTAGCACAGCAGTATGCCAAAGACATGTTGTGATAATTTCTGTTAAGTTGAGTTGTATTTGAGTGAGAAAAATTATTTAAAAAAATACACATACTAGCTTATATGTTTATAAACTAAATTTATACTTACAATTGAAATAAAAAATGTATATTAATCATCATAAATATTTGTAATGTAAGAGTTGGTCTAAAAAATACAGTATTTTGTTATTTGATTAATTGCTTTTTTATTATAAATTATTTAATATTTATTGAACTATAAAAAAAAAACAATACAAATTTATTGTCAATAATATTTTTGGTAATGTTCACAAATAAATTATGTCTGCTTCCTCTTTTAAAAGTATACAATTGTACTGTATATGCAATAGCCCATTGGCTAGAAATATTGAACGGATTCGATGTTGTAGAATTACATATTCTACATTTTTATTCGAAATCAACAAATATCATACTCTAGGTAGCTGAGAATAGGCCACGTGATTAGGCGTCGGACAACAACTACATATTAACGTACATTTAACAAGAACAATTATTATTGTAACGACTAAAAGATATCCTAATAGTTTTGGAAAACGTTCTGGTAACCACAAAATTGTAAATTCTAATGATTTATCTTGAGTGTCTGGAAACAAATAAATTTATAATTAATTAAATTTTTTATTCAAAATTGCAATTATTTTAAAAGTAAAGAATAAAAATAAATACCAATATGAGCTAATCCATAGCCCATGAAACGTGTACCCATTCTATATGAACACGTCGGTACTTGAATCTCATGAATATCATTTAATTCCATTCGAAAATTATAAAATTGATTTTCGTGCGGAGGAAAAACCCAAACAGTACTCAGTTGATCAATTGTAGAATCAAAACTCAGGTGTAATGCTTTGTGCTCATGAGCTGTAAACATCAATTGGGGTGAAAGTTCTTTTATCACCTGTATATATTATTGAAGTAAATAAATTAGTGATCACTATTAAAATAATTGGTTTATAAATACATTTCAAGTATTAGTACTGATACAAACGTTTTTAACAAACACTCCAGGTGTGAATAAAAGTGGTATATGACTAAGAATAACATTTGTAACATTTCTATCTCTATAATTATTTAAAAAAGCATCTTTGGGGGCATTTGGCATATAGTGTGTCAACCGATTAATCTGAAATTAATACATTATTGATCATTATCTTAAAAAATAATTTTGATTAATGATAGACTTACTTTAAAAAAAATTACGTCTTTATTTGTTAATGTATCTGATTGCGAATATACAAAGTTAAATCGGTCGTGGATACGTGGTTTGACATGATCCTCTTCACCACCGATATCATTATCACCCGGCAGATAAATTTTCTAAATCCAATTATTTGTTAAAATATATACATTGAGGATAATTAACAAAAATTTAGATAACTATAATTACTTACCAAAATATGCTCTGGGGTATGGAATATTCTATCTAATCTATTTTTATATCTCGAAAAATGTTCAAAACTAGCTATGTGGCCTTCATCCATTAAGTCACCAAGAAATACTATCACATCAGGTTGAGAATGCTTTAAAGCTCTCGAGAATGTATTCACTAAATATCTAATCAGATAAACAACAATATTAATTTACCCAAGTTTTTAATTAAATTTTGTATAATTTTAATTGGAAAATTCAAAGTTGTTTACCTATCACTATCCCACCGTGCAAACCATGAGCCAAAATAACTTTCATTTATTTCTCCAATTATCTGTGGATCTGCAACAAATAATACTTTGACACATTGATTGCAGTCTTTCGTTGCCCATTTGAATTTCTGGATCTCATAAACAAGATAATCATTATAAAATATTGTAATGCATAAAATTATGGCAATAATAATGATTTTTTGTTTTGTTCTGAAACAAAGATTATAGAATTAAATAGTATATTTTGAATCTGATAAATAACACATCGTTACAAACAAGTTTACATTTAACTGCTGAAACAATTAAATTTACAATGAAAAAAGTTAAAATTTAAAAATCATTCAATCTCAATGAACAGTCAATAAAGTTAAATAATTAAAATTGTTTTTTTAATTTCATAAGCATTTGTAATGTACCTGTATCTTCGAATCATATTTTATTTATCTAATAATATCATATAAACTATCAATAAAATACAATATCTTTGGAAAAAATTAGTCCACCTTGTCGAAATTTCATTTCGATTTACACGGTGGATTTTTTAGATTGTTTTTGTAAATTATAAAGTTATGTTGAACAACAGTTTAAAACTTTTTCTTTTTACATTATATTTTTAGAAGGAACTATAAAAAGGAACAGAAATTGCAGGTGACGTAATTTACACAATAAGTGTTTCGTCAAGTTGGTTGCCTGTCTAATTCACTGTCAAGTACCACGCTTACGAAATAAATATTCAATTGCTTTTTTATCTTTCTTAAAATTCTTATACTCTTTACATTTTGTTATTTATTAAAAAAAAAAAATAAAAATTAGGCAAAAAGAAAATACCTTTTCAATGTTTTATATTTTTTTTTCAATTACCATTTATTAATAATAATAAATTATTCTTCAACATTAACTAAATTATTTTTTAATTTTTTCGATTCGTCAAAATCTTTACGAATAGTTTCGAGTTCAGCATCAATATTTGCTATTTTCGCAGAAATATAAATAGATTCTTGAAATCTTTTTTGTGCTGTCTTCAAGCTTTGAGGTACCAAAACTCCAAACCACCGAATAGGATCTTGATTTTCAATACTATCTTTATTTTTCATACTGATGTCAAAGTTTGCGGTTGTAATTGATTTATTTGTATCATCATTAGTATATTTTGTTTCTAAATTAAATAAAGAGTTTATTGTAGTGTCTTGAGGAACTTGCAATAATCCTACGCTTTCTTTTCCACGTATGTATCGAGCTTTTGCTAACTCAATATGACCATCTCGCATTTGATTTTCCAGTTGAATTGTCAGGGCTATTCTTTCGTCCATTAATTCAAGAGAACGTATGGAAAGATTATCCAATTTCTCACAAACATCGCCGAAAGTTGTCATCACGTTCTATAATAAAAAACGATAAATTATTTTAATAAATTCATTGATATATTCTATCTGTACGTAAACATTTCATACTAGGTTACACTTACATTTTCTTTGGCACTCAGAGGCTTTAAATAAAAATCGAAATAATTCGAATTTTTTTATTTCAGATAGGTATTCTTCAAAATATTTTTTAATGAAACTCAAAGTTCATTAATTTTATTTATATCAGTAATTTTTGAATAAGAAAATTTAATAAACAGCCCATCAATTATGAATGTTTACAAATAATAAAAATAAGTCATATGACAACACGTAATGTGACGTTGCGCGCGCATACATATAAAAGCTGACAAACCGGCAGGTTTTTTAGATAAATTTGAACTAGAATTTGAATGAAAGCGACTATCGTCAATATTTTTTTCTTTTATTTCAAAATAACTTTATTTTTTATACTAAATTACAAAAATGAAGAGAAAAAATTTTCCACCGCTCTTAAATTATTGCTAAAATCCAATATTTTTATTTTTTTTTTTTTTTTTTGCCAATAGAACATATCAATATTACAACAATTGAGAAAAAAAAACTACTCATAGCCAAAAATGAATCTTTATTTATTTTAAAATTTTTCAAGGATTGTATTACTTATATATACTTATGTAAAATAAAAATTTTGATAAATAAAGAAATCTTGATTATTGATTTTCTTATACAAAAAAGTTTTTCTCATATGTCAAAAAAATAGGAAAATAAGTTTCAAAATTTTGAATTCGCATAAAACAAGATGATGGCCTTAAAAAATATATTTGTTTTAAAAATTTATTATAACATGCTGGTAGATTAAAAACAAATTACATTTTTCAATTAATTGTCATTCAAAGCACCCATTATTTCATTGTTATAAAACTATTTGTACATACAAAATAAACTACAAACTATTATTTTTATCCTTACTGTTATTGTTGTGTCAAAATTATTTCACTAAAACATTCTTATTTTTCTTATGCATAAGAGGTATTATAAGTGTAATTAATTATAACGCTTCAGCCGTACATATATGCATAAAATTAATTGTCCTATTTTAAGAAAAAATTAATTTACTATTTTGATATTAATCATTATTGTTGAAGATTTAGTGCAACTAAGTATTTCCTTAAATAATTAAGAATAAAACTGTGATGCGGTTTCTTGGCAACAGTAATCCATGGTTGCTCATTCTCAACACCAATAATCAATTCTTTTATCTGACTACAGGTATAAAATTGGTTGTTTTCCGGATCTCGAGCCAAGTAAATAATATCATTGTTTATTCTCACTGGAAGTATTTGCGATGGTATCCATCTCTTATTAATGTTATTTTCATCAACAACATTGCTAAGTAGTAATTTTACTACAAGCGGAAAGCTTTTTTGGCAGGCTATAATTAACAATGTAAATCTCCAGTTCAACGATAAAGTGTGTACTATTATGTTATCAACTTCTGCTCCTCTGTCTAAAAGTAATTGAGCAGACATTAAATTTAAATTACGAAGAGCCATATAAAGAGCAGTATATCCACCAAAAAATATTGAATTAACATTAACTTTCTTATTTAAAAGCTCTAAAACTATCTTAGAATTCTTATATTTACAGGCCAAATGTAATGGTGTTAATTCTTTTTCTGGCCATGCATTGCACAGAGCTTCAGCCTCAGCTCCATGATATAACAGAAGTTGAACTACATTGAGATGCTGATATTCAATAGCCAGATGAAGAGGAGTCTTATTGTGCCATGCTTGCGCGTTAATTTCTGCTTTGTTCTCTAGAAGTAATTTAACAATTTCTTCGCTACCATTTTTACAAGCTACATGTAATGGTGTGAATTTACGTTCAATCGCTGATGTATTAATAACTGCAGTATTAGCGCCTGACTCTAGGAGTAATTTGACCATGTTGATATGATTTTCTTTAACAGCGTGATAGAGCGCTGTGGTTTTATTAACACTTTCAGCATTAATATCAGCTCCTTTATGTTTGAGAGAGAAGACTATTGCTAGATCACCTAATTTACTTGCAAGCATTAACGGAGTGAATCCTTCTTCTACTCCAAAAGAGCATCTGTCGTCAATATTAGCTCCGAAGGAACAAAGACTTTCAACTATATCTAAGCGCCTAGATTTCACGGCGCTATAAAGAAATGACTCTTTGCTATTTCGACTCAGATTCACGTTAATACCTTTTACCAAAAGCATGTTAACAATATCTAAATATCCTTTTTTAATTGCTATATCCATTGGAAATTCATGAGAATAATTAAAAATTTCAGTCTTAACGTTACTCTTCAATAGATATCCAACAACTTCAATGTTCATGCTTTCTACAGCGATATGGAGTAAAGTATTACCACTTGCATCTTTTACAGAATTTATATTGATACCTTGGTTCAAAGAATCGCTTAAAAACTTAGAAATGTTAACAGATGCAGTAGGGATGAGAATCTTCTTTACATTATTATTACTACTCATGGTGATTTTTAATGGAGATATATATTAGAGTGACTTTCCAAATATTTCCAACTCTTAGCTGCACGTGTGTTGATGTAAGTAAAAATTTATTTTAAATATAAATTCATTTTGTAGAATAATATAATAATAATTTTCCAACTATACTCACTTTTTTAATTTTTTTGTCTACTTAAAATGAATTAAAAGTAAATATATTATATCTTAGTCTTAAAATTAATTAACTACACATGAACTTCTATTTTATTTAGACGTTAGCTATTAGAAGTTTGTTATTGACTGACTTGAACAATAATCGTCATAAGTACATATTGTTGACTGATACTTATCAGCAAATACAAATTCTTGTGTAAAGATGATGTCATCGAGTCAATCTTGCAGATTTCTTCTTTTTTCATAAAATTTATAGATTTGGACAATGGGATATTTTGACTATTTTAATTATCTGTTTAAAAATAATTACATCTTGGAAAAAAAAATCACCATATATTTTACGAAAAAATTAGCTTTTAAAATCTTTATTTTTAGGAATTATCTACAAAAATATGAATCTAAAAATTTTAACAAATATAAAAAATAGAATACATAAATTTAAGCGATAATAATTGAGAGTTAATAAATGATAAATTAATCTAAATTTATCATTCACGCTCGATAAATACATTTTTTACGTAAACTTTCAATAGCATAACTTTAAGCTTTTTTTTTAAAGATACTAATGTTTATATTTTTTTTTAAATAAGTAAAATCTTGTAAAATTGAACTGGATATTCTATGAAACATTTCAATCGCTCCGATCGTTTATATTTGTTTGATTAGTATCATTTTCATTGTCAGTATTTTCATCTTCTTCTTCTTCCAAATTACTGCTATTTTTTCGGATTACCCGATTATGTAAGTCGTATGCAACTCTTGCAATTCTTGTAGCAGCTTTAAATTTTATTGTCATTTTTTGTTTTTCCATTTTTGATTTCCACTGAAATAATCAAAATATTATTTCAACCTTAAATTAATCAAATAAATCAAAATGAACAATTCTTCTAATATATTTATTTCAATTGTAAATTTACTATATTTACAATTATTATTGGCTGTCTGGCCTAGAACACTTGCAAATTGCACTAATATTTTTAATAATTTTTTTTTTTTTGTCAGAACCTTCCGCGCATAAACAATTATTTTTTTATTCGTAGAATTTGTCATTAGAGATAATTTCAACTGAAAAAATAATTGTAAATATAGTAAATTTACAATTGAAATAAATATATAAACAACCAACTGGTCAGACAAAAACAAAAATACTGTAAAATTCTTCTAATGATGCATAATTGTTAAATTTATACCTTTTCATCTCTTGACGGCAATTCACCAAGGTAAGTTTGCATATCAGATTTCTTTGGATCAGCTATTGCCAAAACTGATAGACAACCATCTACCGTACCCAATACTATACTTTTACCATCATGAGTACTATCAACAGCGCTTAATTCAGCTGGCACACGATAATTAGCAATCATTTCACAATCAGATGATCTGAAATATATTAAAATACTTTTTAAAACACCACAATACTATATATTCGAAATAAACTCAGTAACATATAAAACAATTTTTTTTTTACTCTATTGAATTTATTAACTAACCGGAAGACTCTTATAGTTTTTCTACCACTGTGATAGTAAAATACATATTCATCTGTTCTGTTGAACATCGATATTACCGTAAATACTCCCTCAGCTACTTTTGGAATGTATGTTTTAACAGTGGTCCCTTTTTTCAGCTCCATAAGTTCTAAACCACCTCTTTTGTTTTGAAATTTTAGATAAATTAAAAAAAAAAAATAAAATAATTATTAAGTCTGAATGATATATTAGAAGTCGATAAATATATAATTAACGTTATAACTACCTGCTAGGAGCATAAAGAGTATACTTTCCATCTTTACTGATGTTACCACTCCATCGAGGTATGGACCGAATAACTTTCTTCTTATTTATATCCATAATTATACCTTTGTCAGAGCCAATAATACCAATAAATTGTGGTTTAGTCGGCATTGGGACAACGCTATTAATATCCTTGAAACCTGGCAATTTAATAGGAATTTTATGCAACAAAGCTCCTGTGTTTGCATTATAAACTATTATGCAATCTCTTGTTGATTTTTCAGCGGCTGGGACAATAAAATTTGCACCGTCTGAAGTAACAACTACTTTTCGAAACGGTGTTCCAGTGTGACATCGTACAGGATATTCAAAAGTAAATAAAGTTTTTCCATCTGCAAAAATAAACTTTCTTAATTATTGTAACTAATTACGTAAAAAAAAAAAAAAAAATAAAATAAAAAAAAATACCTGGAATAGTTCGCATAATAAGTGTTGCAGTAGTCTTCATACATTCAACCCCTACTGGATTATTGGGTCTTGAAATAGCTATAAATTTAGTAGCACTACTGGATTCTAACGGTTGTTGTTGAATTAATGACAACTGTCGAACATTCAATTGTTCTTTTTTATAAAGTACTTGCTCAGTAACTCTATTCCAAATCAATACATTACCCGACTCAATAGAAATAATATATTTCCCATCATGTGTAATCACAGCATGAGTAACGATAGCACCAAGTGGACTGTCCGCTAATTTTGACACCAATTTTCCCGATTGTATATTCCATACACCAACACAACTACGTGTTACAGTTACAGCTAAGTTACATTCTTCTGCTAAACATATAGAATCGATCTGCAGCTCGTGCCTATCAATAACGTGCACCTGTTCAAAAATATTGTCAATGTTCCAAACTTTTACTGTTCTATCGATACTAGAAGTTATGACACAGTTCCAGTTTCCAATAGTTAATGCCTCTAGTTGAATTATTCGAGCAAAATGAGCGTCCAGTGTTTTTAATAATTCACAAGTTTTCAAACTCCAAACATAAAGATTTTTTCTAACACCAGCAACTGCATAATTTCTCTCGTTATTGCCATTTTCATTATTGTTACTTCCACTTATCATTATAGAATTAGAACAGAGCATTCGGGTGCTGATATTTCTGATACCATTAGGTAATGTAAGTACAGCAGGATTATATTTCATTGGAGTTGTAGAATCAATCGTATCAGATGATATTAATGACAACCACCAAACGATAAAACCGTTGCCAGTAGTTCCCAGTAATGTTTCTTCATCTCGGTCAATTTTTAATTGCAGTATATACTCTGTGGTATCGTTATAAGCTCGTGGCAGATCATAATGTCGTTTCCAACAACAACTACATGACTCGTCAGTCATTTCAATAGTGTATTTAGTTACACGATAGTCACCTTTTGTAGTGCATGCATAAAATATTTTTTTGTCATTTGTCAACACCATTGCACTGTGAAATTCGAGAGGATTTTCAAATACCTCAGGCTTCCGATTGTCAGATTCAATATATTGCTTTTGATGATAATCACAATCATTAATTCTGCTATTTTTCTCATTATTATAAAAAATGAACATTGACGGATCATCTAATTTACCAGACCAAAAAACAATCCTGTACTCTGTCAAATCCGTATATTCGACCACTAAGTTAGTTGAAACAATGAATTAATTTTATAAAGCATTATTTTTATCAATTATACAATTACTTGATAGTAAAAACTCACAGAGAATTTTCCATTTATTATAGTCAACTTCTGGCGTAGTCGACGTGTGCCTTGAAAGTAAATTTCCACGCAGATCAAATCGACACCATTCATGTGTACCATAAATAAATGCATACTGATTCATTAAATAAACTCCACATACTGAACTATCTTCATCATTATCACTTTCATCATTTACTAAAGGATTATTTACAATAACAAATTCACTGGTCAGTGTATTTAAAATAACAATTTGGTTGTTGCTGGTAAAAGCCGCTGCATATCTATTATCCGGACTAAGAACAAGTTGTTGCATTACTCCTTCGATATTTGGATTGACATCTCGGGTCATATCACTCGTACTCAAATCCCACGTTATAAATCTGTTGGATATTGATACTACATAACGATAATCAGATGTTAGGCAAAACCCAAACACAGCAAATTGATGACCTTCCAGAGAATACTACAATACATTTATAGAAATATTATAAATTTAAAAAAATAACATCTATTTTTTTTTTTTCCATAATTTACCTTTAAAGGGCCACCAGGTGTATGAAGACAATGATAAAGAGGCATAAGAGAGCAGTCTTTTATACCGTCATTATCACAAGCTCGTAATAACATACGTACATTGTTATTATGTTCTATTTCTGGAAGTAATCTACCAACTAATTGAGGTGCTAACATATTGGGATGATTGCCTAAAATAGCTCCTCCCAATCGCAATGCATCGGCTACAAGCATCAATTCCCTAAATACAAGTGATATTAATTATAATAATTTTATGTTTTAATTTTTTATTTTTACCTGACTAAATTTTGATCTTCAATATTATTGCAAGCATCTTCAAAATCTGAAAGAACTGCCTGAAGAGGACAAGAACTGAGTTTGGCATGTAACCATTCATAATTAAATAATACATTTTCAAATAAATCCTTGAAACGCCTTGCACGAACTAGATGATAGGGTAATTCACCAAATTTGCGTAAATTATAACGTGATAATTTTCCTTCTTTCGAATAAAACGCCAATGGTTGTTCCGGTACTTTTCTATCGGCTACACCCTCTTTGTCTTGTAAATTAAATCTATGACGTTGAATTTCTGTATACTTGAAAGGTTTTGGTATACCACCGCCCCAAATTCCAAGATAATAATCGGCTATCATTGAATGAAAATACATAGCCATGTTCATATTTTTAAAGTATCTTTCTTTGGCAGCATCACGGAACTGCCTGTGGTACCAATTCAGTACACTGACACCATCAGCTTCTCGTTCACTCAAGTAATTTGGTAAATCATTGCGTATACGTGTCCACAAAAGTGGTGGTATTCTACGTACTGGTGGTAAATGGTATTGGTAAACGTCATCGAGAACTTTATCATCAAGAGAAATTAAATCCTCTAACTCTGATTCAGATAAACCAGATTTTGCGGCTGTTATGTACGCTAAAGCATGAAAGACTAATATTTTTCCATGTTGTTTTTCAATTCTCTCAAATAGCATCATGATACTGTCCATTACGGTGTTTGCTAGGTGAGTATCTGCCGGTTTGGTATAACTGCGCCATCGACATATTTCAGCAAACACGAGTTTTACAAAAATTGGCAAAGAGCAATTTGATATTGCGTTTGCCACAAGTCTCCATTGGTAATTATTCAAATCTCTGTGAGCTGTTTTCATCCACATTCTGTTTAATCAAAAATATTACAATTTATTTGAAAATTAATAATAATTATTATTAATACACCTAAAGATAATATTAATGTGTATACTTAATAACATCCATTGCTAATTCTTCACCGAGTGCCGTTACTTCAATAAAGCTTTCTTCAGTGTCTATCATACGACGTAGAAGATGATAATCTCGTGAAATAATTGGATTCGATGCTTCTGATGCGCATGAAAGTATCATCTATTATAATATAAAGAAAATATTACTTTATAATTTTTTTTTTAACAAAAATTTTAAGCTGCATAATTTACCTTGCAATAACGAGGTAATCGAGTAGGAAGCCACGATAATTTATTTCCTTGCATTCCTGTCAATTGATCCACACTGTCTAAAAATAAAAGTATTGGCTGATTTGTCGTAGCAAAAGTTAACAGATGTTTAAAGTGTGCAGTCAATGGGACTAGATCATCAGGAATTTCATCAAATGGTAGCATGAAATTATACGATATCTGAAAATATCAAATAAAAAAATGGAAGAAAATATATTTGGAACTTACATTGATTGGATATAGTTTTACCTGTTGACAAATAGATATGAGAGTTGGAGTAAGAGCACTGCTGTCAGGAGTAGTACCTAAATATCTGATGATGTTAATAGATTTTCTTCCCATAAGCCAAACAGTACTACTCAACCCCGCAGCTTTTGCCAGTAATGAAGTTTTTCCACAACCCCCTTCACCGTAAAGAACTAAAGGCTTATCACTTTCACCCAGCATATAGTCTTTAATTTTCTCCAGTGAATCTTCTCGGCCATAAAAAACTCTTACGGAGTTGTTACATGCATGTAGATGCTGTAAAAGTTCTGTTATAATTTGTCCTTGTGCAGAGCTGTCTTCTTTTCTCATTGCTCGATCGACGAGTTTTATTATGTTTCGATAAAAGTGAGTTATGAAATGTTGGAGATACTCTGAATGAGTTTCGGTATCTAATCCTTCTCGTCCAATCCACTCAACAGTGTACCTAAATGATTATGAAAATATATTTTTATTAAATTTATATCATCATTATTATTATTATTATTATTATTATTATTATTATTATTATTATAGATTATATACTAAACAAAAATATATTTATGATACTTATACCGTTGCAAATTAACGCTCTCAATTTTATTAGGTAATCTTTCGTCACGCAAATCTCCTAATAATTTAGACGCCTCGTTGTCCAAACTTCTGTTGAGTATATCGAGAAAAAGACTCGCTTTTCTCAAATTTTGTAAATTTATATTATTTATATAGCGGACATACGCTAAACAATGATTTTTAGTATTTTTCACATTTAAAATTCCATTAATTACTTCTCTTTCAGTAACTGAACAAATAAATTGTTAGTAAAAAATATAGTAAATGATAGAATTATATAATTTTTAATTATTACCAGACATAAAGTAATTATGCATTGTATCTTTATCGAATTTTCCGGAATTATAAAGTGATTGCGCGCCTTTTCGAAATAGTTTTTGCATCTTGACCATCGTATCCCACCACGCGGCTTGATCTTCTTGTTGGAGCTTTGGAATCCTCTGAAAATTTATTAAAAGAAATAAAAATTAGCATTACTTTGCATTATGTTACAAAAATTTTTATATGTGTTTTTAAGCAGGGGTGTACATACTTTATTGTTAAAATTTTTGAGAATCGAAGAAATAGGCTGTAAAATACTAGTTGGTGGTACTGCATTACTATCTTTCTTGTACCATGTTTCAAAAACTTCGACATCTGTACCCTGACTTTCTAAATCAGTTTTTATCATGTCAAGTTCTGAACTTAGAACGTACGTCGGAATAGGTCGGTACCCATACTTTTGTCCTAAAAAAACCTAAACATAAATAAATATATAATTCATTAAAATTATAAACGTATGCATTATATATATAACTATTTATGTATTCCTTATTAAAAAAAAAAAGATTTAAAACGATTCAACTCATGCAAAATGTATATGTATATATTTGTCAAGTTGAATTTTTTTTAATCCCATTGAGCTATTTCGAATCTTTTCAAATTTCTTTTTCTAATCAGGGATATATTAGAAGTACGTACAACAAAATTTGGCCCCATCGAAAGCCGCTGGCAATTTTCAATTTCTCTCATACAAAGTTCTGTTGTCATATGATCATCAGTTGCTTCATCACGAACACCCCATCTCATATCGACTACCTTAAGGTGTAAAATATCATGTTATATACGAATTACGTAATTTATGCGGTATATTTTGATTCATAGCGCGCCGCATTGTAATGCCGCATTACCTGGAACTCAAGTCCATGCTTTTCTCGACAATAATCCTTTATTTTAGGGTAACATTGAGCCATCAATGTATTTCTCTCCATTGTTGTATCTAAAAAAAAATAAATAAATAAATAAATACACAGCATTTGATTTTATTGAAAATTCTGTATGTGCATTATTTATTATTATAGCTGAAAATACTTGCCTGTAAATGTAGAACTCGTAAAAATACGAACTATTTTAGAACTAACTGGCGGTAAACTTTTTAATGATCCAGAAAAAATAGAGTCGATCACTTTTTCATCCATTTTTAAAGTTTTATTTATTATTTACTAAGCAGACATGTATTTCGTACCACAGCTGATTGCGATAAGTTTTAAAAACGAAGTGAAGAAAAAACTCATGAAGAAATTCTGTTTAACAGGTTGCTAAGGTAACATTATGTGAATATCCTTGCGCATGTATGATCATCATAACATACGAACATTCAGAACTTAACAATATTGTTATCGATTTAATAATGCATACCAAAATAAATTACTGCGCAAAATAAATTACGCGTTAAAAAAAAAAAAAAGTGTCAGCAATCATTTGATCTCTTCATGACTTATAATTTTAAAAAAGTTCGTTTTAGCTCATAAATCTCACCAGTCTCAATCAGACTTTCTCAGGTAGTTTCATAAAAGTTTATTCGATTCGTACCATTTCATTCATGAAATAATAGAAGTTTTCATTATATTTTTACAAATTTACTATAATGATCTTATAACAACATTAAACGAAGCATGCAAACTGCTAATTCACATCTGAGTATTTATACCAAAAATATTATAATGATATTCAAATTATAAAACCGTATTTTTTAAGAAACGTCTCTATATGTCTATAAAACTTCATAACTCATCGTAACTCAAAATACATAAAAAATTTCATAACGCACAACTCAATTATAAAATATATAAAAGGTAACTTTTAAAAAAAGATTCAAATGTATTTATTTAAATTTTGAGTTTATAGAGTATTTGATTTGTTAATTAAAAAAAAATATATTTATATTTAAAAAATCCATAAAAATTATTTTTATATTATTATTTTATAATTGTTATAATAAAACAGTTAACTAAACTGGTTAAAATTTTTGTATGGTTTCTGATAATTTAACATAAATTGCAATAGCAATTAATGATGTTTAAGTAATAATAGTTTTGTGGTATTTTTTTTTAATGTTCAAAGTAATACAATCGATGATAATATCCCGGAAAATTTTAATAAACTTAACAAATATAAATACCTAATATGTAAAATATACATATTGTATATGAATATACAATAATCTATTAATCGCTAATTACAGGATGCTTTTAATGGAATTTTGTAATTTCAATTGAATCTATGATTCGTCTTAAAATAAATCAAAAATAATAAACTTGCTGTGAGTTCTTACTTTACCATTCAAATAAATGTACATAATACGCATACTTACACTCAAAAATAACTACCAGTTTGGAGTTGATTAATAAGCGGATCAGCATAATATTATCTATTCAAATGTTTGCAATAGTTATTAAGAAAAGATTAATTTGAAAAATAATAATAATAAATTTTTCGTAAAAATGTTAATTCCGATTATTTGCATTATATTTGTATTATTAAGTATATTTTTACTTAATAATTTAAATTATTAAGTATATTTTTCTTTCTTTTATCATATCCAAAGTGATATTCTTATTTTAATATGATTTAGACGTATTCTATTTATTAACAATTGATTAAATTTGAATTTTTCTGATAATTAATTCTACTAAATATTATTTAGTGTTAAAAATGAATAGTTATGATTTTTTATAGTCTAATTGTGTCGATTGTTAACATATGTATATTCTTGAACTTCTATTCATTCTCCGATGTTTATTTTGTAACGACTACAAAAATTTGATTATTATCATGAAATAGTTGTTATATTATCACATGTAATTTTTTCAATCCTTGTATTTGAATAAAACTTCTCTAGAACTACTAACTACAGTTGATACTTATTACATTTTAATTATTATTATCATTAACTTAAACAATAAAAGCATTAAAGTATAAATATTTATTCAATACAGATCAGACATAAATACGGTTCAATTAAAAAGTTTCATTTATTTTAATAAACATTATTTTTCATTTACAATAAAAACACTTTTTTTTTCGAAAAATTTGATAGACGATCAAAAATGCTACTATATTCTTTACAATGATTTTTACAAGTCTCTTTTGAATTGATACATAACAAATTTTTTTCAAATTCGTTTACAAGAAAAAAAAAAAAATAAGATGTTATTTTTGCTAAAAAAATTTAAGAATTTTCTCTGTTATTCGAATACAATATTTTTAGATTTGAAAATTTACTTTAAGGAAATTTGAATTAAAAAAAATGATTTATTAATGAAATGTAAAATTATTAATACAAAAAGTAGTGTAGATATTGATTCATTACAAGTTAAATGTTTATTTGAGTTTATATAAATTAAGATTATTACCGCGATTAGTCGATGGGTAGAAAGAGTCAAATACACTAACGACAAGGTGATAATTATCTACAAAGCCCTTTATACGAGGAGCTAAATTATCGTAGATTACCACGAAGAATGGAAGTGTAGAATTGGTATAACGCTTTTCTAGCCAGGTCATAGGATCGTTGAAAAATATGTCAGCTTCATTTAGATAATTATCTTGATTTTTTAGATTTGGGTCGCAGTTTAAAAGTTCCATTGGAATGTCTTTATGAACGTGGCTGTATAATGGTGTTGAGTAGCAAGGTGTCAAAAACATGACGTCAACATTAGATGGACTGCTAGCTATCTCTTCTCTTAAATAACTCATAATTTCTGTTGCTCCACTCCGATCATTAGCAAAAGAGTAAAAAATGCCGATATTTATAATAATTGTAATCAGAATTAAGATACTTGATATTAGTTTATTAGTCACTTCAGACCATTCAAATTTAGCGGATAAGAAGACTAGTAATGGTAAGAGTGAAAGAAGGAAATGATGCTCTTTATGTGGTAATAATGAGTTCCACAGGATTGTCCAGCAGAATATAATTATGCTTGTCTCTTGCCTTTCGTCGTCCATTTCGTTAAAGAATAATTTCATAAACACAAAGGGTAATGTAAACATTCCGAAACCCAAAAAATAGGGTATTGTGATATGAATATACCATAGTATGTATTTTGTTTCATAGTGATTGCCGATGCCGGTGAAAATATTGGTTTTCAAAAATTCCCACGGAGTTACCACAAGTTGTCCATAGCAGTAGCTGTCGATAGCGATTGCGATTCCAGAAACACACATCCCAATGAAGAAATAGTCTTTTATGAGTTGCTTAATGGTTTTGTCACTATTGTACATGTGGCGTATGTATAATGGAACACACATAATTGCCGAGGTTGGTTTAATAAAAAACATAAATCCCATTAGCCAGATGAACTTAGATCCATGTTTGTCTTTATCTTCCCATGGGTAGATTGATAAAGCTATAATCATCAATGAAGCTTCCAGGGTATGGTCTAGTGTCTTTGTAGAACAAAATTGCCAGAATCCGTTTAACACTAAGAGACTTGCTGCTTCGGGGCTATTGGTCCATTTTAATAATCGGTATTCAGCAAACGCACTTAACACAGCTTGAAATATTCTTGGTGAATAAATAATCATCAACGGATAGTCCAACCCAACGATGGCTAGTATCTTGTATATAATCGAGATGATGAATGGATAAATATAGCTGTGGGTCATGGATCTCCATTCCCAGGTACGATAACCGTATTCAAAAGCTTGAAGATGAGCCACTTCTAAATTCTGCCAATTTCCATCAGGGTCGCAGTCATTCGTTACGAAACAGAGAACTATTATTTTAACTATTATGATCAACCAGAGCAAATTTTTCTCTAACATCTCATGAATGCCGGGAACCATTGTGAATGTTGATAAATTTTAGCACTGAACTATTAACTGATCTGATCACTTGGGCAGTCTCGATTGAACTGAAGCTCTCACAAAGCAAGTATTCACAGTTAATATAGCTGCTAGCTGAAGAAATTTCATTTAATCCTAGATAAACTTTTCTCGGAAATTGTTTCACATTTTAGGTTTCAATAATACGTCTTAAAATTATACTGCATTTACAAGGTCGATGATATCACTGCGAAAATATTTGAAAGCAATACGGCGTTGACAACATTTCTTTTGTCCCTTTTTTCCCTAAACGTATAATCCTGTAATTTTTAGATTTATTATTCTTATTGTTTAAAATTAATAGTTATATTCATTAATCTAATCATTACTGTATGATAATTAATGTAATGTTTTTTTTTAACAGTAGTACGATCAACAACAATACTGTTGATAATTTTTATTTATTTTTCAAATATTAATACATATATTTTTACAAAATTATTCCTAGTTCATAAATTACTAAGTATTGAAATACTGTAAGTATATAGATATTGAGAATTTATACGATTAAAATAGCAATCTATTGTCTAATTTTGAAATATAATAATTTAAATTATACATATGATTATTTTTAGGATAAATTAAGATCGTCGTTATTTTTATTTTTACATTATACTATTTGAAGAATAATTACAATGTTCTGATTGTTAATGTTAGTTTCCAATGTATGTAAATTGCATTTTTTTTTTTTTTAATATTATTTTCGTTTTTTCAACACATATTTTCTGAAACAAAATATGAAACCTAATAAATTATCATCGGTACCAGTAATTTCATTTTGGTTAATATATAAGTATTTTGTGCGTATAATATCTTGATGAAATATTTCAAATTAAATAAAAGAAAATTTTTGATTTCCTTAATAATTGTAATATGAGTATTATAATATGCAAAAATATGACATAAATACACCAGAGTATACTTGGAGACTTGAAGCTGGAGTCTAGAGCAGTCTGTTCATTACGAAAAAGCGTGTTTGTAAATACTTCAAGTCAAGATCCTGAGCATGGACGAGGCCAGATGGCCTAAACTCGGCTTCAAACAGGATATTGCATGAACATCACCAATAGTAAAACATCCAAGTGGGGGAAACACTGAGGCTGATGGACTATGAAGATATTTCTCAGCTCATATATGGGAACGACAAGACGCAAAAGTAATAAAACAAAAGTCTTACTGCCAGTTGTATGAGTTTATTAAAACTATCAATAGCTACGAAGACTACTGTCAAGACAAATGCTGTGAAGGCTGGATGAAGGAAGTTTAGTCCAGGTTGAGGTGCGGCTACATTGGTCGTTATAGTAAAAAAGGATAAAATGATTGTTTATCTATTCCAGAGGTTTGCACACTATTTGCTATAGTGGAAAAAACCATCAGGAACGATGGACAAGAAGACATCTAAGGAGTACAATAACTAACCGATATACTTACATGTACCAAATACTAGCACAAGTAAAACTTGAAATAACAGGTAGACTCTAAGTAATAAGTAGAGTAGTCATTAGAAGTAAGCAAAACACTAATAGCAATAGATTGGAGAAATTTTAACAGTTAAAAAAAACTGTACTTCTTGAATGAATAAAGAAAAAAATATTAAATTTCTATTTGTTTTCTAAAATAGATACAAAAATTAATGTTGTTGCACATAACTTTTATATCTATTATATATGTATTTGTATAAAATTTCTATAGAACTATGAAGTACACTTGATATTTACATTTATATTATTACCATTGAGTTAAATAATGAAGACATTATATAATAAATATTTTTTAATTTAATACATAACATATAAATACAATTCAATTAAAAAATTTTATTTATTTAAGTAAACAATATTTTTCATTTATAATATATATACTTTTTTCCGAAAAAATTTTTAATATATTTGTATATTATTGAAAATAAATTGCAAATTCAAACGTTGAGGATTGAAAATACTTCTTTACTTAAAAATAGAACTCTTATAGATAGACTTTTAGGAAACTTAAAAATCATTAATTTAAACTTTAATTTAAAAAAAATGATTAATTTATAAAATGCGAAATTAATAAAACGAAAAGTGATGTACATTTTGATCTATTATATGGGTATTGTTTTATATTTGAGTTTATATAAATTAAGATTACTGCCGCGATTCGTCGATGGGTGGAAAGAATCAAATACACTCAAAACAAGACGATAATTATCTATAAAACCCTTTATACGAGGAGCTAAATTATCGTAGATTACCACCAATAATGGAAGTGTAGAATTAGTATAACGTTTTTCCAACCAGGCCATAGGATCGTTGAAAAATATATCAGCTTCATCTAGGTAATTATCTTGATTTTGCAGATTCGGTTCGCAGGTTAAAAATTCAATTGAAATGTTTTGATGAACATAGCTATAGAATGGTGTTGAGTGACAAGGTGTTAAAAACATGACGTCAACATCAGATTGGCTGTTATCAATTTCATATCTTAAATAATGCATAATCTTTGTTGATCCTTGCTGATGTACAATACCGATATAACAAAGTAAACCAAAATTTATAAAAAGTAATATAAAAACAATTATATTTTTTAATTTTTCAGAAACATGCGTTTGATAGTTGTAGTTGGTGATTAGGTAGACGAGTAATGGTAACAGTGGGAGAATAAAACGATGCTCTTTATGAGGTAACACTGAATAGATTGTAATTGTCCATACGATTATAGCAAGACTTATCAGTGGCTTTGAAATAAATTTTTGTTCATAAATAATATGACGAATAACAAAAGGCAAAATTATTACCTTTATAAGCAAAAAAACTGGTAATGCGCTGTATAAATACCAAAGAAGAGGTTGTTTTCCATAATGATTAGCGACGTTGGTTAAAACATTGACCTTAAAAAATTCCCATGGTGTTACCACAAGTTGTCCATAGCAGTAGCTGTCAATAGCGATTGCGATTCCAGAAACGCACAGCCCAATGAAAAAATAGTCTTTTATTAGCTGGTTAATGCTTTTTTTAAATATGTAAACGTGATACAAGCATAAAGGAGCCCACATGATTGCTGCAGTTGGTCTAATGAAAAACATAAAACCCACTAGCCAGATAAAATTAGATCTATGCTTGTCTTTTTCATTCCACGGGAATATTGATAAAGCTATCATTGTTAATGAAGTCTCCAGGGTGTTGATAAGTGTCCTCGTAGCACAATAATTCCAGAATGGATTCATGAGTAAGAAGACCGTTGTCAAATCGTTTTGGGTCCATTTAGAGAATCGGTATTCAGCAAATCCACTCAACATTGCTTGAAATAATCTTGGCAAGAAAATAATCATCTCTGGAGAGTCTAACCTGAAAATGGCAAGTATCTTGTATATAATTGAGATGACAAATGGATAAACATAGCTGCGGATCTTGTAGTTCCATTCCCAAGTAAGATAACCATATCCAAAGGCTTGACGATGAGCCACTTCCAAAGACTGCCAGTATTCATCAGGAACGTAGAAAGTTTTTACAAGCCAACAAACTATTAGCTTGATGAAAATTAAAAAATACAAAAGATTCCTATCAGCCATTCTCCCAAATCTGAGGTAGTGTAAGAACATTGTTAATAGTAATAATAAATTTTAGTACTAATCTATTAAATTTAATTGATTTGTTTACTTGAACAGCTTCGATTGAACTAAAGTTTTCCTCAGAGCAAATATTCATTACTAGGTTATTTGCCACGTGAAGAAATATTTTTTAATCGTAGATAAACTTTTCTTCGGAATTTTTCTACATTTTACCTTTTAACAATACTTTTTATGAATGGACTAAAGGTTATAACTCTGTTTACAAGTTCGGTGATGTCATTGCAAGATATTTGAATAAAATAAGGTTGGTAACAATCATTACCGCCAAAAATATAATTCATGATATCGTGGTAATAATTGCTGGCGGCAATTTCAAAGTTTTTCTAAAATTTAAAACTAAGTGATTTCAAAATTTTATTTTTTGATTTATTTTAGTGATAAATTTTCAAAAATACATTAAAATTTATCAAATAACGTAATTTTTAATTTTATTTCCTTTTACTACTCGAATAAATAAATAAAAAAATAATTAAGAACAAAGATATTTAAATAAAAGTAAACCAGCATTGCATTTTTTTTTACACAGGTATATAATTCAATTAAGAAATTAACATTTCATGTCAATATAATAATGTTCCTTAAAATATGTAACTAATTCAGTATCTGTACAAATATTTATCACGAGCATGAGTACAAATAACAATTAATTAAACACCGTTCTTCTGTGATAATTTTTTTTTTTCAAAGCCTACTAATCAAACTTAAGATGCTTCATTATAAAATCATTAATAAAAATTGTATTAAAAACTTTTTACTCTGAAACTTGGATTTTTAAAATTATCTTCGAATTGACCATAGAGGATCCAACTGGCTCAATGGGTCTATAGGTTGAGCTCTATCAGTCTTTTCCTCAGGATCTACGGTTAGTTGACCCGGCGATTGACCAGTCTTATTATCTTTTCCTGCAATATATTATTGTATGAATAATCACTTCATCAATATCGTAGAAAACAGAATATCATATTATATTGATAATAAACCTTGCTGTAGTCCAAGTCCATGTTGCATGCCAACTCCTAAATTATGAAGGAAATCATCAGAAGGATGAGCATGTTGATTTTTTTTAACCAGTCTTCCTTTGTTACCTTTTCCATTATCAAATCCATCAAAAGTTGATTTTGTTGACGATAAAATTCCACCTAAAACCAATTATTAATTAATCAATTGAATTAAAATCCAGACATGAAGTATAAATTTATTTACGTTTCATGAGTGTATCCTGAGCGTGATAGAGGACCATCCGATAGCCAAATAAAAGAAATTCTTTACTAATCAGGCACCTGCGGTACTTGATGAGAGTCGAAAAAACAAGAGGCACATCAACGACACCGTGACCGGCACGTACATGACATACAGTCGCGGCTGCAAGAAGAAAGAGGCCACTTAGAGGTCCACCAACAAGACAATGAACGACAATTGGCTTCGGACAGTGTCTTAGTGCTTGTTCAGACATAATATCTGTAGCAAATGATAACAAAGGTCTAGGACTGCTTGGTAAGCCTGTAGCGGGCCACGTTGGATATTGCATGTGAACAACAACTCTTTCAATTTTATGTTCTGAATGAACTATTCCAATAACTCTTTGGACGTGTGTTGTATGATTTGTTGAATTTTTTAACGATAATGTAAAACTGCCGATAGTTAAACTTGTTTCTTTGTTTGTAGGCCAGTAAATATCATTAAGTTGAGTATCAGAACATAAACAAGCAATTACTTCACTGCCTTGTTCCCAAATCATGGACCAAAAGGCTTCAAAATTTTGGGGCAAAGGCGCTTGAGCGACAATAAACTTTGGTGTCCATTGGGTCAAGTCTTTTACATGGGAAGCATTAATATAATCTGATGAGCGATCTCCTGTTGTTAATATTACTCTCGTCGAGTCATACGGTATCCATTCGCTGGTTCTATTTTCTGTCGAGTTAGCCTGAGCTACGGTAGTCGATTGTTTTTTTAGCTCACGTTCTTCAAAATCCTGAACTTCTTTCCATTTAATATCAAGATTTGTTGAGCCACTCAAAGTTTTTACCGTAAGACTATCCACAAATTTCTCATACTTTTCAGTATCTTTAATAAACTTTTGTAGAATAATTGAGTCACCCAGTGGATCTTTTTTTGGTTGAACGTCATTGTACCAAGTGTCCCAGACAATTTGAAGGTTTTCAAGTTTGTCATCAATTTGCGATAAACTCATTACATCTTCTTTCGTTTCAACCGCCTTATCAATGTTAGGTATCGGAGAGCTAGTATCAGCTTTCGTTTCTTTGTCCATCGAATGAACTTCTGGTACCAATGGCGCATGATTTATTGTAATATCTAAATCTGCAAGTAAATCCAAATTGGACTTGGGTGCTATTGGAGTATCTGACTTTTTAATTTCCGAATTTGTTGTTGTGGTTTTGTTGTTCGATGATTGAGTATAAGTTTGAACGTAGCTAGTGTTTGACTGGTTATTTAGTGTTGTAGAACCTAAAAATAAATAATAAAATTTAAAAAATATTTTTATATTAATTAAAAAAAAAAAAAATACATAGGATACCTTGATTAGAATAAGGTTGAACACCATAAGGTGTCGTATAATAATTTTGCTCACCAACTTCTGGTTCAAAAGATCCATTAGAATAGTTTGATGATGTTGTGAGGTTTGTCGCAGATTCGTTATTAGCATTTGTGTAGTGTGAATTTGACTGATCATTAATCTGAGAATTTGCATGGGAAATGTTAGCTTGAAGATTACTTCGTGAATCTTGATAACCAGAACTGTACTCATATCCACCGACAGTTGGATTAAACGAATATCCCGGATGCCCTTGGTATGAATCACTTGACGAAGTATGAACTTGTTGCCCATCCCAAGTACCCGTATAATTTTGAGAGTATGAAGAATATTGCATAGTACCTGGATGACTCTGAAGAGAATACTGATAATTTTGCATTAATCCCGGTACGTTAGATGATTTAGCATGACTTAAAATTATTTCGGGATCATTAGCATAATTTGCAGGAATATTTTGAGCTGCAATGGAATTTGGTGGCATTTGATATTGGTGTCCATTTGCATCAATAGAATAAGTTTGACCATAACTGTTGGGATACGTTTGGACAGGAGGATTTATTGGGACTTGGGAACTCGGTACACTTGGTTGTCCGCTTTCAATATAACCCTGTTGAGATGGAAGGATATAAGGTGTTGTGTTTTGGATTAAAGTATTATTATTTGTATGATGATAGTACTGTGATTCTGTTTGATTTATTCCAGAAATGTCCGAAGGAGTACCAGAATATGTAGGTGCCACAGAAGAAGCCTCGTTAGAATGGATACCTGCTGCTTTGTTTGTCAAATACTGTTCTGGAACATTGTATCCTATATTAACAGCTTGAGCAGGAGGTTGCTGAAGATTATGGGCAGCTGGATACTGTAAATTTGTAGTCTCTTGTGGATAAATTTGTTGAGAAAGACTAGCGTGTGGGACCGATGACGGCAAAGAAGGATTCTCTTGGTTTATAGAATAATTTGTAATACTTTCAGAAACTGGTGGCTGAATTTGCTGTTGTTGAATTTGTGGTATTACTGGCTGATAGGGGCTAACGTAAACTCCACGATTAACATTTTGATACTCATATTGATGAGATCCAACATTTATATTAGATACTTGAGAATTTGTATCTTGAATTACGTTCATAGGGTGAAGTTGTCCAGCAGGAACTGGCGATGGTGTTTGATTAGGCGGCAAAGCCTGATACGGTTGGTTGTAGTTCGACTGCTGACCCTGTATGTTTTGATAACCAGTATTAGCTGTAGTATATCCTTGGTTTGTACGGTAATCTGTGTATTGAGAGTATTGATTTGTATCTTCATATAATTGACCAGGATATTGAGCTTGATTCGGCAGTAATGACACTGATTCGTTTCTCTGGTTGCTGTATCCCGCATATTGATTACTGTTACTTGCGACTTCTGTATTAGAAGAACCGCTAGCTTGATGATACATATGGTCGCTGTTAGTAGTGTTGGATTTAGCAAAACCTTGAACTGATGTACTTTGACTCGTAGAATTATAATTGTAATGTTGAGGAATGTAATTACTTCCTTGGTTCATATAATAATTGTTATATCCACCATAGTACTGATACATTTGTTGAGGATCTTGAAGTGTTGAATCAGACGTCATAGGAGGAACTGCATGAATAGGAATGCCATCAGGACCGATGTGATGTTCATTGGAGTAAGATTTACCGGTAGTATGAGGATTCGGCTGTACTGGAGCAACAGGAATAGTTTGTTTATCTCCATAAGGATTTTGATAAGATGGATTATTCTTTAGTCTATTCGCTAAGTGGTCTCTCAACTTCATGCCTGAGCCTTTTTTCTTTTCAGGCGTTATTGGTAATGTAGATTCAATTGAATTTGTTTTACCATTTTTTGCGAGAATTTGTTCGCGTTCTTCTTCTTGAACTCTGCATGTGCTTTTAACTCTTTGCAAAAGTTTTGTAACATTCATCTCTAATTTACGATAAAATTCTAGACCTTTTGATGCTTTAGCCAATAAGTCTTCGTAAGCCTCATAGGAATTAATAAGAGATGCTATCATCGATTCTCGTTTTCTTATAATTTCTTCTACAGATTTACGAGTTTCAATTGTACGTGCATAAGCATCCGTCAAAGCTGTCAATATATTATCTTGTGCCAGGAGATTCTGATCGATTAAATCAACTAATGACTGATGTTTCTTGAGATGCTCTGCAAAAAGAGTATCTAGAGGGGCTGATTCAGCTGTTGCAGTTACTAAAATTCGAGTGAGATTATCTTGGGATATTGATTCTTTTAATTTTAAATAAAGTTCACTTCTCTGTTTTTGCATTTCTTCTACTTTCCCAAGTATTCTTTTTAATTCTCGAACATTTTGTTTTTCTGTTTCATTTCCAACTTTACTACTCCGATCAATTGTAGGTATGCTCGCCATGAGTTGATCTAATGGCTGAGATAGCTTTTGAAGATTATTTAAATGAAGTGACATAGCTCGGTGAAGAGCTTGATTACTCTCCGACGCTTTCGCATGTGCTTCTTCATATTTTTTTGCTTCTCTTGTTAAATCTGTAGCCACGATTGATGGAGGTCTTTTGCCCATTGCTTCTTGGTACATTTTTTCTTTTTGATCTTCTTCTGTAAGTATTTTGTTAATATTTTCTAGCATTGTCTCAACATCTCCATATGTTCCTGACAATTTTGCAGTAATATCTTCAAGTTCTTTAATAGCAGTAGGTTTAGCATTTAATGCAGCACATCTTTCTGCTAATCCTTCTGGAAATGGCAAAGTATCAGCTTCTAATGGACGATCAGGATCCCAAAGACTCAGATGTTGTAATTTTAATGACGCAAGAAACATTTCAAGATCTCGGTCTTTTTCTTCAATTTTTGAACCTACTGATCGAAGAATTTTAGCTTTTTCTTCAGAATAAAGTGAACTTGCTTCATGAACTTTCATAGGTACTAATCTTGCAAAAATATCTGGTCCAGATACTTCTGGATCATTTACATTAAAAGAAATACCTTTGACTAATGACGCGCCATTTACTGTAGGTAAAGCATCTTTTTCAGGTACTTCTTCGTGATAAATAAATTCATTTTCATTTTTTGCGGCCTTTCTTTTACCTTCAATTACGTCATTAGTAAACACAAGAGCTTCCTCGATAGCTTCTTTTTCACCTGTTATTCCAGTAATACCAGTGGAACTTTTAGCAGTAGCATGAAGTAATCGTGCACTATTTAAAGATGCTAACGCAGCATTATAAAATGCAACACGCTCCCCCATTTTTTGCTGCTCTTCCGAGGCTAGTCCTTGATACAACAGAGTAACCGCCGTATGATAAGAACGTTTAAATTTGACATAATTCTTCCAACTTTTATACGTTTTTGATCCAACTGTATCAGCGATTGTACTCTCTTCACTGTTACTAGGCTCTAATGTCCATAAAGCTAGTGCATAATAATCAACGATTTGCTTAGCTACTTTAGCTACAATCGTTGGTTTGCGATTGTCTAACATACTTTTTTCGAGAATACATTCTTGAGCCTGAGCAAGACAAAGCTGATGCATGAATTTCATTAATTCTGGCGCCATATCAACTCCTGGTGGCTGCGGATAACTATTCTGTAAGTGTTCAAATGCCCAAGCTGCGCATTGAAAATGGGAGCACGCCATTTTCATACCATCTGCTGATGTACGTTCTGTTTTAGCTCCTAATTGTGTGTGTATCGCACCGATATTATATAAAATTGATATTATTTCGAAACGTATATTTGATAAACTAAATACCATATTTGCATACGTATCTCGCCTAAAATAAAAGAAAAGAATAAGTATTTTTAAATTAAGACTCAAATGATTCATTGATTCATTACCATGAAAAAGGAACTGCTGCAGGTTCATCAATGCCCATAGGAAATCTACTTTGAACAAAATGCAATTGACAATAATATTTTTTAAGTAATGAACAGCCTGTTACTGCTATCGGTGGGCGTACTGCCATAGCTCGGAGATTTTCCAGTTGATGAATTTCAGTTGTGTATGACTCTGGGTCTTCATTATAAAAGTCACGAATATACTGCAAAAAAGTTTGAGTAAATAAATGATGCATTACATCATATAAACCGACTGTATTAGTGATCATGTGAGTGACAATGAATCATTCAGTAGAATAAAACTACAGTTATATTAAAATTTTTTAGTGCATAAAGCAATGACTTTAAAATTAAATAAATTACGTACTTGTTTTAATTTTGATCCAAAAATCGTAGGTTCTGGGCTGACTTTTAATTGGAACGATAACATAGGTAACCTTGGTACTGCTTCCATTTTTATTTGATTATGGATTTAATTAAGTAATTAAATAATGAAATTTATCGTAAAATTGTGAAATGGTATTACGACGATCTGAAATAATATTCACGAATATTAATAAATTAAATTATTATTATTATTAGAGTAGTTGAAACATGAGATTTGGAGTATTTAACACTCACTGGATGTTATCATAAACGTCAAACATTATTCGGGCTCATAAATGCCATGAAGCTGTCTTCACTTTCTAATTCTTGATAATTCAACTTTTGTAGTCGGTAAATTGGCATAAATTTATAATTTTATTTTACATTATTATTCAGTAAATGTCAGTAGAACAGTATCCGAACTTAAAATAGATTCAAAAAATTCACCATGATGATTATTATTATTAAAAGTATAAATTAAATAAATATAATTCACATTAAAAAATTTTATTTTTTTAATGATACCGATGATACCTATAGTCTGCAGGTTATTTCTATTCTCACTGAACTGCACTGAACTACTGAACTTTTAAAAAATTTCTGGTTCTTAATAGGGACCGAGCGCTAACTTTAGAGGCAGCACATCAGTCGGAAGTGGCGCGCCCTGGTGTTTAACAAAAGCACTAAATGGGCAAAAAGTATTACAATAGCTTATGTATTTTTTTAACTAAATAATAGAAAAAATAATAAAATATGCTTTTTGACCAGTATTAATCGGTCGTATTGAAAGCCAAAATAATTCAGAAAGTTAAAAAAAAACTTTAGGCCATGTATATTAAATGTCTTAAAAGAAATTCAACATTATTAAATCAAATAGCCATGTAAACATAACCTCCAAAGTTCAATTCCGCCTCTAAACACGTCGTATGCCTGTCATTTTTCTCTGGGATACCATTAGTACTGAGCGAAAAATAATAAAATTTCACAAGTTTGTCAATTTGACGGTTCCGACTTGATATATTTATGTATATCGTGATATATCAAAACTCTACAGTTAAAAAAATTTCAAACAATTTATTAATTTATTTAAATAAAAAATAAATTAACATTAAATCCCATGTAAGAGTTTAAAATTTTTGCCCATTAGCTTACAATTTCTATCACTAGTTGGCGTGATAGTCTAGAGGCTCGATCCCTATACTCTTATACTTATGGAGACTATACACGACACGGAGTGTATGGAGTATACTCTTTGGGTATATACATATACATGTGTAGTCACCATCAGCTGTATTCACCTGCAGAAAAGAACGCAGTAATCGCACAATCGCACACAGTAGCAGTAGCTTAGTGATCTTCAAAGAGAATTGTATCGCAAAAGATTTAGTTATTTTATCAAATAATTAAATATATCATAAATTAATTATTCATAAATACGAGTTATATTTATACTTATCTATTCCTTCCACAGATACTTTAAAGTTGACATTTATTTAATTAGTCTTGAATTAATTCTTTACAACACAATATTATTTATAATTATCAATATTTTATTCCATCCAAACTGCCATCCGAATTATTCTGTGTCAATGGGTTAAACTAAGAGAATATATCATAATTTAGGGTAAATATAACAAATGTTTTTTTTACAACTTTTTAAGTATTTTAATCGTTATCATTTAAATCTTATCTCATTATTTAATACATGTTATTTAATTACAGTTTATCATGATATTGGAGTGAAGTCACTCTCGCAAAAATTGGAGTATCAAATATTTATAGATTTCGATTATTTATAAGATAAAGTAATCACGTAAAAAATAAAAAATCATGGATGTAAAAAAAATAAAAAAACCTGTACCTAAACCCAGAACTCGTCGTTTAAACTGTAAATTAAACTGTGATGACACATTGAATCTTGAAGATACCTTACTGGCATTTAATGGACCAATTGGACAGGAGCAGGCTTGGGCTGTTTGTCATCAAACTGCTAAATATCTTGCTACACTTGGACCTAATAATTTTCAAGAATTGACTCATCTAAATCAAATTTTATTGCACAAGGAAGGTTATGTTCTACTGGATTTGCCCACAAGTAAGTAAACTATTTATTGATTGAAGATACAAGTAAACAGACTATTATAAATTTTTCTTGAAATTCATTTGTTTATTTGATCTGTAAAATCAGATGTAAGCTCACATACTCTGCCTTCATCGGAAAGGAAGGTAAGAAAATTAACAAAAAATCATAATTAATTAAATTACTTTTTTGTATTTTAAACCAGTTGCATATTTTTGTTTTATTTTCAGGTCATTTTTTCCTTAGGAATTTTGATTTATAACGCTCTAGACTTTCGATTGGATCAAAAAGAAGAGAGACGTTTGTCCTTGGATTTGAAAGATCTCATTAATTTGATGACCTCCTGTGATGAAGGTATTTAAATTAGTATGATTTTTTATTAAAAAACTCATTACTCATTTTTTTTTTTATGAAATAGAATACGAACTTGAAGAACGACATGAAACTGACGATGAAGGAATAGGACGTGATTCTGAAGCAGAAATGGATGATCCACATGAAAGTAGCTCATATATTAGCAACTCGGATTATTACAGTTTGAAAAATATTGTTCAAGTAATAATTTAAAAAACTTTTATGATAAAATATGAAAAAGATTTGTGATGAATGGAAATATTGATTTAAATTTTATTTTCCATTCAATTCAGGTCTGTATCAAGCACGTACAAGGAACTGAAGAGCAAGCCGATGTTCACTACAGAGCAGTTATCCGTACATTTGTCCATGAAGCACTTGAATTAACGCAATTTCTGGAACAAGTTTCGGTCGAACGATTTCAAGACAACCCCAAACGCTTTTCTAAACATTTGGAGCCAAAACCAGCTGTTGCATCTTGTCAGCAGCTAGATACTCTTGGCTACGATGATTGGGTAGGATATCTTTTATCTAATTTATAAAAAAAATATTTACCAATGAAATAGTGATTTAATCAAATTAAAAATTTTTACCGACTAACTTGAATTTAATTTTCACGTAAATTTATTCTCCCAGACTGACATTAGGATTTGGCGAGCGATACAAGTATGTCATCTCTACTAACTTAAATGTACATTGAAAATCACACTATCATGGTTTAGATAGTCATTATTTGTTTGAAAATGATTATATATACATATATTTAAAAATTTTTTAAAAATACAATTGTATAATATAATTTTGTTTTTTAAGAAATTTACAACAATAGTTTAAATTTTCAGGCACGATTTTGGGTACAAGTAATTGGTGAGCTACGTCGTGGAATAAAATTAAAAAAAGTTGAAGAGAACTTAGGAAAACGTGGCCGTGCTCACAGTAAAGGACGTGGGACTGAGTTTGAATTGACTCCTTATGAGATTCTCATGAATGACATTAGAGAGCGTAGATATAATCTTAAAAAAACTCCAGCTCCTTCTCCACGTGTGACAAAAGATGCACGTGCCATAGTCCTCGAATTTATTCGAAGCAGACCTCCACTAAAAAAAGTATGTAAACTTTTTGTTTAAAACTAACAATTTAATACTATTTATCACGATTAAGTATATTTAATTATTTGTTTTAATAATTTCAATAGGCATCTGAAAGACAATTGCCACCTAGGAGAAAACAATCTACTATGCGTGAATTACTGATGGAAAGTATTAAAAAACCACCTAGACCTTTGAGATCTTTTCGGGAACGTCAACTGAATGAGAAAAAAGGTCAGTTATCTATTAGATTATTATTTCAACCTTTTGCTCACTGGGGAAAGTAGTTTATTGGATTTAACTCTAGTTGCTCAAAAGTAGCCACTAAAGTTTTGCACACAGCTCTAAATTACAGGCTATTTTAAAATTCAATTATCCTTTATCTCTAACCCTATGACCTTTCTATTATTTTCTTATAGTGATTCATAATCATGATTGTCATCCTGTTGACTTGCGTCATAACTGGCTCGTGCGCATTGAATTATAAATTGAATAAATCCTGTAAATTTATTATCGGTTATACATAAATTTTTTTTTACCTGCCGTATGTCACTAATTAAGACATCAAGAAAAAAATATTTTTCAATAATAACGAAAGTACAGAAAACAATTTTATAACTTTAGATAATATTTTTTATTACGCTCTAGTTTAGTTTTGTGATAATAAAATTCATTAATGTAATGTAATTTTCGTTAATATATAGAGTGTTCTCAAGATGTTGACTTGAAACAGGTGTTTCTTACCTTGCGCAACTGTTGGGCTTCTCCATCTTTATTTCTCTGACATATTTGCCTAGTAAATTCCGGGTGACCACGAAAAGGGAGAGCAACCCTCCAGTCAGTGAAAGACGATCAATAATCGCATGGTCGTATAACAGAGAGAATAAAAGTAGAGGTGCGCCCGCGCGTGTATATAGACCTTAAACTATCCGATAAATTTCCTCGTGCACTGTAAATAGTCACCGCGAAAACCTTTAACCAAGAGTTAGTCATCATTGTAAGATATATACACGTATCACGTCATTTATTTTATTTTATCATTGGAAACAATCGATTCAAAATTTGAATATTAACATGATGGAGGTAGTGCCAATATTTTATTGTGGATCAAAATCGAAATCTGATAAATATTTATCGTCTTTAAAAGAAACAAAATGAAGTCAAATCTGAGCTAAAGGTTTTTGTGTATTCTATGAGGATTTAGTGTAAAAATACGCAATGCTGCTAGCAGTTGGTGGTGAACCACGTCGTATTGTGTTAGGTGAAGTTCCACCAGCTCAAGCTGAACAGGTACAAGAGCAGGAATCAGCTCAGGATGTTGCAGCTCAGTGGCGTCATTCAGAAGGTCAAGGGTCGCATCCAGTTCCGAAGCCCCGTCAACGGTTCAGTAAGCCTACTGAGGCTAAGGCTCGGAATCGTAAGTGTAGGAGACGAATTAGGGGATCAGGTAATCATCATCACCGTCATCTCATGTATCATCCATTATTTTTGTATTTTTTATGCGAGGTAGTTGGCTATTGTGAAATAGTTGGCACATGAATTTTCTTGACATGTCACATCATGATCAATCTGTCAATCTATAATCTTATAAAAATCTAAAGTGTGGGTTTTATATTTATTATTTTTAAAGTTTGTTCATTTTTATTAAATCGTTTATTTTATTTGTTAATACAGATAGTGGACAGGAGGCTTTAGAATCAAAAACTGGAGATCAAGATATCAAAAAACAACAGAGAAAACTCATTCCAGTCGATTTTAAAGTAAACATTCAAATTATTATTATTATTATTATTATTGTTATTTATTTATTTTTTTTTATTATTATTACTGTTACCATAAAAATGTATATATTTAAATTTTTTTGTTAATCTATAGCTTGATATTGAAGAAGATGATGAAGATGACGACGATGAAGATGATGAATATGCAGTGACTAGATTTGACGACGATGATGAGCCTGCAGACAATGAAAATGATATGTATCAAAAATCTAAATGGTTAGGAGGCAAACCTCATGTTAGTGGTGACATTGATGATGAGGATGATAAAAGTTCAGCGAATCCTTGGAGAAAAACAGGAAAACTTCGCTTGACACAAAATGAATATCATCGATTCTGCGATGCTCAATTGGAATCGTATGATTTAGCAACACAATGTCCATCGAGACGGGCATCAGCACGAAAACATACTAGTCGTTGTAGCACAAAACCTTCGGTTGCATTCTCTGGGACTTGTTCAGTGCCACACTCGCGGCCTCAAAGTCGTCAGCGTGTTGGAGTTATCGGAAACGATATTCGAATGAGTTTAAGTCCTAGTCCGAATGTAAGTCCAAGTATTAGTCCTCGTACCAGAGAAAGGATTCTCATGAAATCACACACCACTGTTGAACCTGAAAGTGATCATCATACACAATCTGACAATGAAAGAGTGAGTTTTAACTTTTAAATAAAAATTTTTTAAGTATTATTACATTAGTATGTGTTGCAACTAATTTTATTTCATAAAATACAGAAACCATCCCTTGGTGACATGTTTCTTGATGAAAGACTTTCGTTAACTCTTGAAGAAATAGTTCACATCCGTAGTGTTTTAACAAAAGCCGAGTTGGAATCATTGCCCGTTGAGGGGAGAGTAAAAGAAGACGTTGAAAAACGTCGAGTGTGTTTCTTATGCTTAAAAACACGCTTTGGTATCCTCGGTCCTTGGGGACAAAGATGTAGACTTTGTGAAAGAACTGTCTGTGTCAAGTGCTACTCAAAGGTATATTCTTATTTAATTTATCAAATATCATGATCAGTATTCTTCTAGCTCACTATCTAAAGTCTCTAGTTACTAATATATTGATTTCAAATATGTCCCGCAGATGCGTATCCCAACAGAACATTTTGCCCATGTACCTGTAGTATTACTGTCACCTGGATTACTTCTTTCTCCATCGACTTCAGAACCTGATTCTACTAGAAGCCCTTGGCCAAGACCTGGTGGCGCAGTTGGATCTGCTCCAGCATCACCTGCTCACCGACGTCATGATCCAGCCTTAAATAACGGAACACCATTGTCAACACCGAATCCTGGCACGCCAGCTGACAATCTTACTCCTGGTTCGACACCTACATCTTTAGGTCGACGAGACGATCTTTTAGATAGAAGGTATATTACAATTTTTTAATTAAATTTACTAATAGTAGTGTGTATATATTTATATTTTTACTAATAATTTTTTACGAGCAGTAGGTATCCCAAAGTTGGCGGTAGTCCAAGTCGTATGAGTAATAGTGCTATCGGCAGTCTAGGTCCAGGTATTGGAAATGAGCCTCTTGTAGCAGAGCGGCTTCGAGGTGTATCAATGGTTGTTTGTCATGATTGTCGTATTATGGTAATTCAGATTATTAAAAGTTCACGTAGTACCCGAGCGACAATACGCAATAATGTTATATCACGTTTGACTCTCAATCTTTCACCAGCATATGTTTAAACTCATATTAAATCATTAAATTAAACTCATTGCTGTAGATTAAATAGATAGATGTGTTAAATGTAGTTCGAAACAAGAGTAAGAGAGAAAAAAAAGCGTGTTAAAAAGAAACGAATGATGGCGATATTATTGTAGATATATATATATATATATATATTTATCGGGGCCCAAAGTATCAAATATTTATCAGCGTGTAGTATTTTTTCTTAAAAACAAACAAAAAACTATTGAGGAGGATTATTATATTTAGTAGACTGGATAATTAATTACACAAATGTGGTAAATAACATTTGTTAAATTATTGCCGCAATTTGACGGTGGTAAACTCGTGGCCTAATTGGTATATAGTGAAAGTGTCAAACAAAAAAATAATTAACGACAAATAGAGTACAACTTGATTAAATACGTCAATTCTCATGATATATACTATTATTACTTGGTATATTATAAATACATTTTCAGGAAAAAATGGTTGACAGTTTATAATATACAATTGACTAATTGAGTAAAGAAAAGTAAATAAATGATTATAAAAACTAGAAGCATAGAATGCATGTACATAAATGCTGGAGAAATAAAAGAGATTAAGTTTATTTAAAAGTAACTCTGAGAAAATAAGTTATGAGAAAATAAGTTAACAACGATACAAAAAAAGTATTGTTGCTTAATTTTTTGTTCTATTAAAGAAAATGAAACTATATACTTGTGATTATGATTACAAATGCTCGACTCTTGCCATTTACTCCATTGACTCGGTATCTGTATGCAAGTATTTAATGTTGATCGTTAAAATACATGTAAGTAATTGAAGTAAACATTATCATATAATGACTTAGTTTCACGCTATGAAAACTATTAAATATTATTTCGTTTTGACGATGTTGACATAATTTTGTTCAATCAATGTATAACTAGCAAATGATTGAAATTAGCAAACTTGTTTCCATCAAAATCCAGTTGATAATAGATGAATATCATAGTATGCTACTGTAATACTTTTTTTTTCTTCTCAAAATACGGGCTGGCCCCCTTTATGTATTGTTTATTAATTTATATCGCCGTTGACTGAAAAAAGTTGAGTAAAAATTAAAAGCGGGACATCAAAGATGAATTCATATTAATACTAATTATATAAATAAAGATAAAAAAAATCAATTTAATATATTAGTTGGTAAGAATTAAATTATTAATGATTATAGAAAAAGTGATGTATGAATATAAAAATATTATTCCGTTGAAAGATATAACTACCATGTATGATGTATGTTCAAGTGCAACTGACATTTTTCTTGCTGTCTGAGACCAATATACGACGATGTCACAAATTAATTTAATTAATGAGTTGATATGAAATATTTTTTATTTATTATATGATTAAATTTTTAATTAATGATAAAAAAAAAAAAACAAAAATAAAGTCAAAAGTAATTTAATTGTAATCTATAAGAAATTAGCGGACCTTCAATTTTATCGCATTTTTTAGCATTCCAACATTTATATAAATTCATAAATTAATTTTATTACTATTTATTCTTTGTATTAATTATTTAAAATTATTGCTTATATTTATTATATGATGAAAATGGCCGAAAATGATCTTTTTCTCTTAATTATTGAATATCAATTTTAAAAGCTTATTTGAAATTGCATTAATAAAAATCAAATTATGCAAATTTAATATTTTTTCTCCTCTACATTAATCTTGTTACTTGACAAAAATTGTTAGGATTCAAATTATAACTTTCGGACAACTCTGTAATCGATAAATAAAAACGTACTATATGATGTTAATGTATAAAATGTTAAAATTCTAAATGCTCTCGAACAATAAATGTAAATAACAAAAATAAAAATTACAAAAAATTTTTGTTTGATAAATTCTCAAAATTTTTTTAGGATTAAATTTATTCTGTCTTCTGAACTTGAATATTAATTCGAAAAGTATTTTAGATTAATTTATTTATATTATTTATAAACGACATTGAAATATTATTGTTATAATTTGAATATTGATTTATGATCCAATGATAAATTTAACTAAAAATTGCGTAAATAATATTTTCTGAACAACTATTTAAATTCCGTACACTATCCGCTGAATAATAAAAATGCGAAAATCTTAATCAATTAAGGTAAAAGCCCCAATAGATGATTATGTACCAGTATATGATCACTCCATGTATTTGTATACCTATATTTGTGACTATAGATATACAAATACATGGAGTGATCATCTACTGGGGCTTTTACCTTACTATGTTCTATTTCATATGACTCCACCAATATTCTAAGTGAAATCTATTCTGCAAATTTTTTTTTCTTCTCGAGGACTTTATGATACAATATGTTGTCTTTTTAATATTATTTTGTTAGTATTATTAATATTAATGTTTTTTAGAACAAATATTGCATAAGGTAAATAAATAAGACTTTTTGTTTTGTGACAGAAATTATAAGAGCTATCATAACAGCAAAAAAAAAATATACTTCCACAATGGTGCATTTATAAGAGAAGAATATAAACACTGATTTTAGTTAATAAAATTTATAAAATCTAACAACGAACTTGTAATTATTTACTCACAACTTTCAATTTATGATAAATGATAAAATAGTAAGTTTGTGAGTAATCCATAAAACGTTATTAAATACAATCTATATCAAGAAAAAAGAAACAAATTGATAAATAGTAAAAAAAAAAAATAAAAAAATATGTATATCCAATTAATTAATTATTATAAAATTATTTCTCCTTAATATTCTAATAACAGAAGTATTATTATAACAAAAATATAAATATTATAAACAATAAAAAGAGGATAGAAAAAAATGTGAGTCGACTACATTGATTAAATTGATTAATAAACCACCCAAATTAGTTTTAATCTAAGTATTTAATTTGTTGATTTCTAGGCATACATTTTACAATTGTATACGTTGTTGTACTATTCACCGTTTTGTTTTAGATGTGTATGCTTGTGTAGCTTTTTATTTTATTTTTATGAACAATCTTGCATTGATTTTAAAACGAGTAGAATATTAAAAACGAGATAAGAGTTATATACACTGTGTCTCCAAATCTCGTCATCAAATTTCATTATTTTGTGATGAAAACATTTTCTTTCTTAGTTATTTCATTATTCAATAATTTTGTTTAATGCATTCATTTTCTACATTTTTTTAATGTTGAGCTTTGACGCATATTGAAAGTATAAGAGGAAAACAAAAATTCTATTGATATTTTTTTTTTTTTTTTTTAGACATCTGCACCTTTAACTTCGGTATTTTATTTATTAATTAAACATCATAGATCAAAGCAAGTTCCATTGTGGACGTTCGTACTGTAAAAACAAATGATATACATCACAATTGATATTTTTTTGTACCAATAATTAATTTAACATTTTAATTTATAGTTTAACTGTAGAATAAGTATAATTTAGCTGATAATTAGAAAAATGAGCTGATTTTTTTTATACAATTTTTAAAACTAACAATAAAATTACATCTAAAATTTTTTATAATATATAGTTGATGCAAAAAGAAGCCGCATGTAATTTATTTTTAAAAATTTTTCATAGCAAGATTGAAGAAACAAGTACACTATACGAATTATTAAAAAAAATATAGATAAGACTTTTATGAGTAAGAAAAATAACTTAATTGCAAATGCGACGATATACGATACATGAGCTTATTTTTAACTTTATTCTTTTTAATTTTTCACTCTCGCTTTTTATCGTAAATAAAGACTTTTAGTATCACGTCATGGATATAACACGAAATCTCATGACTTCACATGATTTCAAGTTTTTCATAGAAATATCAAGTTCATCTTAATTTGCATTTTTAATGTCAGCGTATGAGACACGTCGCACAAATACGTTGAGGTCCCATACAATCGTCATGACAAAATGCTCCACACTGACGACAAATAACCATGGCACCGCGGATACTACACTCACAAGGAGGTGGAGGATCACCACCCATTATTATACCTGGTGCACCCGGCTCAGCTCCTCCATTACCTCTACCGTCTGAGGTTCCTCTCGCTTTCAGCGTAACAGCTTGATGTGATCCTTCACCAGCACTCGCAGGTCGACCTCGTACTAAGTGAACTCCCACACCGATTCCTGCGATTTGAGGCGGCAAAGGTGGAGCTGATGAAGCACGTGGTGCCCCATCACTTACTCCAGTTCTTTGTACCAAGATATATTGCCCGAAATTACCGGCGCCGTTAGTACCAAGTTGTGCGACTGCAGTATTGTTATTTTCTGTCACCTGAAAAAGAATAGAAATAAGTATTTTTGTTTAATTTTGATGCAATTTAGTAAGACTTTACTCTAATGTTATGAATTTACCTGAGTTCATCTTTTAAATCTTTGCGCATTAGTAAAAAATTTTTAAATAATAATATTATTTATAATAGGGTATACAAACCTCAATAGGCGCTGGCTGACGCGCTGTTGCAAACACTTGTCTCAGCATTACAGCTTGAGTTTTATTTTGACTATGTTTTTGATGTTGATGTGATGTTTGATGTGATTTTTGTGTTTTAACAGTCGTTATTGTGCGACCACCAGATTTATTCGTGGTAAATGCACCGTCTCCACGAGCAAGCAGACTGGGTGGTGGTTTTAGGTGAGCTTTCAATTGATCTCTATTTGGTGAACTTTGAATAACCTGGATAAAAAATTAAAAATAAAACAGATAAATTATTAAAAGATATAAAAACTATTTATAATTATTAGTAATGAATTAATGGATTTTATTTAAAACTAACCGCTTGACAAATTTGATAACTTCGTTCTAAATTAACAGCTCCAGGCGGTTCTTTAGTCGAGCTTCTTGATCTACTACTGCTTTGTTCTTTGTTACCATTTCTTGAACCACGATAACTCCCTGGGCCTGAAGAACGTGCCGATCTGGCAGAAACATTAGTATTTGTGAACTGCTGCGGTTGCATATTTGCAACAATCGGCCGAGATTGAGTTACTGGAATCGGAGTTTGATGTTGAACTACTATTGCACTTTGTGGATGTCCCGCAGTGGTAACACTAACTGTTGCTTGAACATGTTGATGTGGTTGAATTGAATTGCTTCTGATATTAATATTATTAGTTGGATTAACACGAGCCATATTATTTTGGGCCAGTTGAACAATTTCTTCCGTTGAGCGAGCAACATTAACATGGTGTGTAGTTTGACTATGCTGTTGGGTTGAGATTCGTGTTGGTAATGTACTCGTCAACGTCGTCGTTGGGGTATTATCATGGCTTGGATGTAATCGCGTAGGAACAAATCGTATAGGTTGCAGAGTTGGAAAAGCAATAATGGGCGGACTTTGTGATGTTTGAACATTTTTTAAGAGACAACTAGTGACCGGGGCACTTATTGTCATTCCATCAGACTGGAAGGGTGTACTTTGGACAACCGGCAAAGATATACAGTTGACTGACTCAGTTGAAGTTTCGTTAACAAATGGTGATTGCTGTTGTTGCTGCTGAACTTGAACTTGCTGATTTGACGTTGTTGAGTCGGTTGTTGTTGATGTATCGTTGCACTCATCTTGTGTCGTTACTGTAATATTTGCGGCAACAGAGCCATCTAAAGCAGCTGCAACCAAAGGCCAGGGCACCTGAAGATCTTCATGTGACTGAAAAAAATAATTTAAAAAGCTTATAGATAAACTATTTCAAGAAATTTAATGTAAAAATTAAGATATACTTACTGAATTATCATCAATAGTAGTATTGTTGTTAGTTACAGTGGTATCTACAGGCCAACTACATTCTAACATTTCAGAACAAACGTAGTTGTTAGCATCACGAAGTTCTTCGTCTTCATTAATTTCTACAATATCAGACTGTTCTCGAATATCTTCTGTTGCTTCTGTTACTTCTTGTGTGTCAGTTTCTTCCGATCCATTAGAACCTATTTCCATTCCTTCTAATATGGGATAAATTATTTCTTCCGTACAACCGGAAATTTCTTCATAAGCTTCTCTCATTTCTCCTCGTACCTAAATATTAATTAAAACAGTTAAATTATTCACTATGATATCAAAACAGTAGAAAAAAAAATTACTTTGATAGACATACTTTTTTACTACAGTAAGTTAGCACTTGAAACGAAAAATACGTATTTTTGTTGTAACAATTAAAAAATTTACTATTTTATTCGAAATAATTTTAATGACAAAAAATGATTTTTAAAAATAAAATTTAATAATATTTATAAAACACTAAATGTAAAAAGTGATACTAATAAAATCTAACTATTATTATTATTATTATTATTATTATTATTATTATTATTATTATTATTATTATATGAAAAAAAAAAGAAAAAAAAACATAATTGAAATACTTATTTACCTCAAGTTCATGAATACGTTGCAATGTTTCACTGTCAATTTCCATAGCATCAGGAATAGGTTCTGAATCTGCTGAATTAGCGCTAATGGTATCTGCGTTAATCTGAACATTTATAACATCGTGATCTTCAAGAATAAGACTATCAGATTTAACAGAATCATGAGCTGATATACTCTCAACTGCAGCAGCATTTTCACATTCAGATATCTCAAATATTTTATCACTGTCAGCTCTCGAAGTATCAAATTGTGCATCGAAATGATCTTCAACATCTACTTGGATTTCCGACACTTCAGATAAACTCATTGTAAGCTCTGTGATTGTATCACACTCGTCCTGAGATTGACACTCAATTTGCTCGCCGACTGTAAATTCTTGCGAATGTTCTAAATCTGACTCGGTTACAATCATTGTCGGTGTCACACTCGTAACTACTGTTGTAATTTCTTCTGTAACAACAGGCGTTAGTACTTGAATAATTTGTTCTTCCAAGTGAATTTTTTCCTCAGGACTTGGTGATGGTATTATTTCTGGTTCCTTAGATTCTTCTTCAGGCTGAATTTCGACTTCAATAATTTCAGAAATATTTGTTTGATTAGTTTCCATTGGAATTTCTGTTTCTAAAGGACTTTCAAGTTTCTCCAACTCTTCTTTATATTCTTTATATTCTTCTTCATTATTTTCTTTTTCAATTATTCCATTAGTTATTACTGTTTCTACAATATTATCACTAGGTGGTTGCTCCTCCAGTCTATTATCTATTTCAGGAATCGTAGTATCCTTTAATAAAGATTCATGTGACGTGTCAGAATTAATACTTGGAGTCTCAGGGACCGGTGGATTTATTCTTGTCGGAGCATCAGTCTCTTCTATTTTTTCGGTAGTTATAACAGGTCGTTGATATAATTCAGGCGTATATTGCTCATGGGTAGACTCTAATCTAAGGCGTAAACTCGACCTTGTAACTGCTCCTCCAGTTCTTGGTTCATTCATACAGTGCAATCCAAGTCTAAATTTAGGTTCTCTCTTTTCACCCCAGATAGGCTCAAAGTGTTTAAGTTTCCAAGGATCGAGTTTATTTTTATCCTTTTCCGCTTCCATTTTCAGTCTTTGCTGATTTTCAGGCGTAAATTCACCCTCAGCTAGTCGTTTACGCCATTCTAAGCAAGCGCGAGCAAAAAATTCGTTATTTAATCCAGAAGTAGCAGCATCCTAAAAAAGTAAATAAGTTTTAAATAACTATTATTATTTTATTAATTTTTTAAAACACAATTGAAGAAATGGTTTAGTAGAAAAATATTATTTGACATTACTTGTCTATCGACAGCAGGCAATAATTGAGCGAGCTTCCTCTGATACAACGGAGGAAGTCCTTGGAAGGTATGCCTGTTTAACAACGCCCGAAGACTTGTGCTCGCGAGAATACTAGCTGGGGACTCTAAGTCTACTAAACCTGCCTCCAACTGTGCGGCTGCAGAGAGTCTTTTCGTAGAACGTCTTCTACTAGATTTAAGACTAAATCCTGGTAAACTTGCTAAGACTTCTCTCATCGTTGCAGCTGGCTCTTCGACTAAAAAATAATTATAACGAATAATAATTTCAATCCAACAATTACTGTAATTGTTAAATAAATAAATAAATAAATAAATAAATTAATTAATTACCTATTATAGAGTGCTGTATATTAGGTATTGAAATCGGTGGATCATTAGTTGGTGGAGGCGGCGACGGAGCCGGTGGAGGTGCAAGAGGTTTAACAACAATTCGAGGAAGGGTTCGTGAATTACCCGATGCAATTGTTGTATTTTTTCTCCGTCTTTTCGCTTGTTGACGCAAGGCATGTTTAATGACTTTTTTACTATGAACCATTCCAGAATACCCGGAACAACCGGGATTAGTTTCGCCAATTCCATCAACTTTACTCGTCTCCACCTCGATATCCATAGTACGCATTTAGCAATATTTACAAGCTAATCATCATAATTTAAACAAGTCACACATCGTCAAGATCATCTCGATTGAACGAAAACGAATATTATCATTTAAACCGGTCATCGAGCAAGTACTTGACGATGTTTACTATAAATCAGTCGTATACAAACATTCTGGCTCTTATAATTAAATTAAATAATTTATAATTTTAATCGAGTAAAATCATAGAAAAACCTATAGCAGTCATAACAACATTTGGACCGAAATAAAAACATTTGGATAAACAGAAATTATTAGCTTCCTTCAGCAAGTTAGGCCTTTTGAACTTTTAAATTATTTTTAAACAGTTCGAATTATTTTTTGCTAATCATGAATTACACATTAGTTTGTATTACTGTCAATAGAACAATTGTGTTTTTTTACTTTCAAAAAGTCCACTTTGTGATGGAAGTACTTGGCCTGCAATGCGTAACACTCACAACTCTCTTGCGATTTTGCTTTGTTCGGCCATGTTGCAAATGCGTATATATTTACACGAACTTAATCTGATTAAAAAACATATTTGTTATTTTATTCGTAATTTTTTTTAAAACAACACTTGTTTTATTACAATTGTTAAATAATAATCAATATTATTTAATCATGAATTGTGGTAATATTTATGAATAACAAAGCAATCACTAATACATGGCGTACACTTATATTATTATTTTTCATTTATTTTTTCAATTTTTTCAATGTCTGCCAAGCCTACTGTCGACAAAGTAAATTCCCATGTTGGCGAAGATGTGTGTTGGTAATAATATATTGTTCATATTTTTCATATAAATGTTCTGAGATATCTTCGAGATGTCACCAGTTTAATTTATCTTGTTTATACATTTTTGTTTATTGAATGACAAAGAAAAATGAAAAAAATAATTATAACAATAATAACTGATAAGAAAGAATGTACTTACTTAGATTAATTTATATTGTAACATTAAACAAAGTATTTTTTAATTAAATAAAAAAATTAAATTTAGATAAACTTTATATTAAACAAGATAACAATTTTTATATTAATTTATACGATGATAGTGGCTATTGATAATTTAAACTGTGAATATAAAATTTTTCATGAAAATATAATTTAATTGATAAAATGTCAAAATTAATCGTTGTGGTTGGGTCTTGCATGGTCGATTTTATAAGGTAAATATTATTATCTCATAAATTTACTTTACACGTCTAATTCATATTAGTAATAGATTTAATAATGATTTTTTGCAGCAATGTTGAACGTCTACCTAAAGCTGGAGAAACCGTACTTGGCAAAGAATTTAAAAGATCTTGGGGAGGCAAGGGAGCAAACCAATGTGTTGCTGCTGCTAAGCTTGGAGCATCAACTATGCTGATTGCTTCTGTATAAAACTTTAATTAATGAAAATTTATTCAGAAAATTTTTATGACACTGAAAAATTTTTGATTTTTTTTATTAATTAAATTCCAGCTAAAAAAATATTTATAAAAAATTGCACTTATAGTTTTTCAAGTTTTTTATATGTAACAATTTTTTTTTTTAATTGTTTAATTGAAATTTTTTCAACAAAAAATTTCTAAAAATTTTTAAATGTCGGCAAACTTTATTTTTATAAATTTTTATATAATCGATCATTTTTAATGGATTTTTTTGTTTATAGCTGGGATCGGATATTTTTGGAGAAGAATATTTTCAAGCTCTTAAGTCATTTAATATCGATACAAAATATATAAAACTACGAAAAGATATTAGTAGTGGAGTTGCTCAAATTATTGTTGATGATAATGGTAAATAACTTTATTTCATCAGTACTAGTTTTTTATTTTAGTATTTATTTTAATATTGATTTTATTTTTGCTAAAGGTGATAATAAGATTGTAATTGTTCCTGGTGCAAATACATTGCTGAGTCCTGCAGATGTTGATGAAGCAGAAGATACTGTCAGAAAGGCAGCTGTCCTTTTAGCTCAATTTGAAACTTCTCTAGAGACTACTCTGCGTGCTTTGGAGCTTCATAAAGGCCATGGTATATTTTGTTTTTTAAATTACTATTATTCGTATACTATTTTTCAATAACTAAACTATAAAACTTCATTACAGGAATTTCCATAGTAAATGGAGCACCTGCTGTAGCAAATCCTGACTTGAATGTTCTAAAAAATTGTGATATATTTTGTATTAATGAGACTGAGGTATCTAATTATTTTGCATAACTAGAATAATTGTTAAATTAAAGAATAAGTAAATAATTATGAATGAATTTTTTTAATAGGCTGAAGTTATGAGTGGAATCGAACCACTGACGTTAAAAAATACGCAAGAAGCTTTGGATAAATTTTTTAAGCTGGGCTGTAATACTGTAATAATCACTCTTGGTGCTGAAGGAGCTGTGTTTGCATCTCGTGATAATCCAAAAATGGTTCATGTTCCTGTTGAAAAAGTAAAACCTGTTGATACCACTGTAAGTTATAATTATTTGTAATTTGTTCATTTTAATGCTATTTACAATACAAAAAATTATATTTTAAATTATTAGGGCGCTGGAGATGCATTTTTAGGTGCCCTAGCATACTTTATAGCTTATCATCCAAGTTTAACGTTAAAAGAACAAATTAGAAGAGCTTGTCATGTTGCTAAAGAAAGTGTTTTGAAAGCTGCAACTCAGGCGAGTTTTCCAATGAAAGAAGAACTGTCAAAAGAATTATTTTTATAGAACAATTTTATTATTTATATTAAATAATATACATTCATACGTATGTTAATTGTTTTTACAATTTATTTTTTCTTTGCCAAACGTTCTTTCCGTTTCTTCACATGTTTTTTCACTTTGACTTTCCGCTTCTCTGCTTGCATTTCTTTAATTTTCTTCTTCCGAGCCTGAAATCAAAATAAGTTTAAAAGATATTATAAATATTTAGTTCTATACCATTTTATTAATAATTTTTTTATAAACATTATAGTTTACCTTTTTTTCTTCAGGAGTTTCATCTTTGCGTCTTATAAATTCTTTATTATTATTATCATCATCGTCGTCACAACTATCATCATCATCAGAACACTCTTCGGAATTATCTGACTCTTCATTACTATCAGAAATATTATCATCATTCGATTTCTCATCCATATTTTTATCCTCAAGAATTTTAGGAATTTTTGCCGTTTGAAGATCGGCTTTCAATCCAACTAATGTTTTATAAATTAAATCTTGTTTTCCAGATTTAGCAAGATCAATATCCCGTTCAATATCTACGACTTGTGTAAGATTTTGCGGAATGTAAGCTTGTTTGAAAACTTCAACTTCAACAATTTTTGTTGGATCACTAAATTCTTCATCATTTAAAACGCTTTCAGACACAGCATCTAAATAATCATCCATATTTTCTTCAGTAACAGTGGGATCGGTGATGAATTCGAATAATTGTTTTACAGACATGACAGCGACGTCATTTTTGCGGAAGAATTCAGTGATGTTTGTACAATCTTTCATTAAAAATTGTAAAGCCATCGGGTGATCGTGTTCAACTGCTTGAGAAACATCAATGACAACAATTGAATCGTTAAAGTACAGCAAATTGTATTCACTCAAGTCAGCATGAACAAGTCGAGATTTATTGTAGATTCGCCACATCATTTCAACACATTCTCTGTAAAGTTTTCGTGGTTTTGATGATTTCAAGACAGCATCTTTAAGTTTCGGAGCTGGCCAACGATTAGAACCAATAAAATCCATAAGAAGAACGTTACCACGTAAATAAATAGGATTGGGTGCTGATACTCCGTTTTTAATCAACCTTGTTAAATTTCTAAATTCCTTTTCTGCCCACATCTGGACCATTTTCCGGGGATTTCGACGACAATATCCATGTCGCCATCTAAATTCTCCAGTAACATATTTATCTCGATCTTTAAAATGAAGAATAGACGTTTTGTAAATTTTAATTGCCAATTCGATACCTGTTTTCGATTCACCCCAATAAACATTTGCTTCCTTTCCTGTAGAAATACAACCATCAATTAAATTGATAAATCCGTGATTTAACATTTTAAATAATATCATTCTAGTTCGAGGATCCAAGACTTGTTCGACCGTAGCACGATCATGCTTATCTTTATTTCTGATTCGTTGATTGTCTATTCTTTTGTTTGTTTCATTTAAAACATTAGCTGCACCATGTGGTATTGACAGTCCTTCATACTTTTCAATATTAATCTTATTTGAATATCTACGAGATAATTTATCTTTTGGCTGATAGTTGGTTATCTTATTAGAAACTCCTTGAGCGTTTTTATTCGAGTTAGAGTTATCAATTTGACTCCTTTGACCGTCCTCATCGTAATAATCATATTCATCATCATCATCAAAATCATAGTCATCGTCGTTTATTTCATAAGAATCATCAAATTTTTCAAGATCTTCGTTGGTGATTCCTAATTTAGACATGTCAGCATTTAAATTAAATGGCTCCCCTTTTGCATTATTAAACCTTAAAAAAATTATACAAATGTCAATGTTGTTTATTGCATCATAAGACATAACCAAAAATATACAACTTACCCTATTGTATCTTCTTCAGCGTCACTAAATTGCCCCTCGACAATTTCATTAGCCATTTTTCTTCTTTTTTTTTCGTTAAACTAAGTTGATATATTTATTATAATAAATAATAAATAATATTATGAGTTAGAAAAATATGTATGCTTAAATTCAAGAAACATGTGATCACCAAACGACCAAACTGCAACTGCACACAACCACAACCACGGTCAAAGATGTCAAAGAGTGTATTTAAGCGCGCGTAAGCGCCTGCTCGCCTGCTCGCCCACTATGACTAGCTTATCGACGACGAAGAAGTTAATTTTCGCCACAAGATGCCACCAAACTTCTGTTTTCGAACTTGATATATATTTTTTTTCGATAACAGTTCACTGTGTGATGAGTTCCACGTGCTCTAAAGGCCTTCTTAAATTTGTTACACTTTGTCATTATCATTTTTAATCATTAGACTTATTTAAATAACTTATCAACTACTTACGTGCAGTTTTTACGCTCTCATTTATTATTGGTTAATTCTAATAACTTTATTGAGGTTAGTCGTAAGAGTTTTCGCTTAAAAAAAATAGTAACTTCACATTTGTCAAAATGGTAAGTAATTTTAATCTAAATACATTTAATAATTTAAAAAATGTTATGCTAATTATCATATTTTAATGAAATGTTTCTATTATAGTCGGTTGCTCTGAAAAAAGGATTATCCAAACAAAAGAAAATGCTTCATCCCAACAGTAGAAAAGTAAACGCTATTGTTAAACAAAATAAAAAGTTTGTATAATTATCAGCAATATTATTATTATTATACTTTTAGATTATTTTTATTTTTTATTTGGATTAAATTAATTTTATTTTTTATTATTTACAGAATAGTGAAAAGAGAACAAATGAAACAAACAGGTATGATGAAACAAAATTTAATTAGAGAGAAAATGTTGTGGTTCAAAGAACATATGAAACCTAAAATATGTCCATATACTTCAGAATTAACAGCTGAATTACTCGAAAAGTGAGTAAAATTTGATAATTGGGAGAATTTAATTAGCCCGGTAAAGAATTGATTGGTTTAAAGATAATTTAATTAATTTAATTTCAGATATATTGCAAGGTATGATGAAGAACTGAAGACAATAGCAGATAAGAATAAAGTTCGTAATAAAAAAAATCGAAGTAATGCAAGTCGTGAAGATATACTTCGAATGAGTAAAGAAAGAGATGAAGATGAATACAATGGTTGTGGAATAGGTAAATTATTGGTGTAACGTATAATATAATTTCTTTTTTGACAAAGTTTATATTATTATGCAACTATTTTTGTCATTATTTAAATCTGATGATTTGATTAAAATCAATTTCACTTGTAGAAATACCCAACATCTTAAATTCAACACAGTGCGAAATGTTGCGCAAGTGGGACGGAGACGTGCGTTACCTTCCAAACTTTGTATTTCGACGCTTTGGTAGACGACATGTCGAGCAAAATAAAAAAATGTTAATGACCAATAATGCACCTGATACAGAAAGCTCGCCGGTGCAAAAAGACAAAGAAAATGAAGAGACCAAAAATGCAGTTAAAGATAAAGCAGAGATGGATGTTGACTAAATATTTTTAAATAAATAAAAATACTTGTATCAAAAAAAAAAAATAATCATTTTTAATCCCCACTTATAAATTATAAATTAAATGACATAAAAAAGTTTTATTACAGGAGAAAATTGAATAATAAAACGGATAAAAGTGGCCTGACGACATAGTATTTTATGGATGAGAGTATCGACGAATACCACGACAGAGATGGAGCAAGCTGGTGGGTCCTCAAGTGAAACTCATTAATTAATGTAACTGAGAAGAAATTTTAAATACCTGTCGGTATGATCAGAGGTTGTTTCTATACGGTTATTCATTCTCGTTGGAAACCAAGAGATTTTGCGGTTAGAGATGAAAAAGCCAGGGGCTAAATGTTACCTGTACGTTCCACTGACCTAAATCCCCAAATCATGATTTTATACGAGAGTTCCCATATACATTGCTTTTTCCCTTTCACATTTGTACAGCATCATTACTTCTTCTGACATGCCTTAGCTTTGAGCTTATTGTACAATAAATATACGTTTCAATTTCTTTTTATAAATTTTTTTTTCTAACTTTTCGGGAAGTTTTATCCGAAACACTGTTGATTTTCAATTCATTTTAGGGTTTATGTAGTTTGTTTCATAATTAATACTTTTATGGAATTTGGTTTAGTATGTATATTATATTATATTTCAACTAGTCAATTGTGTAAATACTTTTGTTTCAGGAGTTGAATTTCATATTTTTACACCATTCTTATAGTATATTATTAATCATTGGATCGTAATTCAACTTTAATTTTTTATGTGATATTTTGACCACTGTATTTATTTTTATCAACAAATAAATTTGTTGATCCGACTTAATTTTTTTTTTTTTTTTTTACAGTTAAGAGATCTTCTTTAGCTTCAATTATTTAATCAGGAATTATAAAAGAAAATATTAAATAAATATATGAGAAAAGATACGATAAACAGTAATGAAATAGAATATTCACATTAATAAGTGTTAAAACTACTTCAATGTTAATCTAGGGCACGCTAATGGTAGTAACGACCTATCGATGACGTCTTAGTCGTGTAAGAATTTCTCTGTACACTAGGCGAGCACGATAAGTATACGAGAATAAGGAGTGAGAGCCGGAGGGGAGCCAAATAGTGAAAGTTAGCGATGCTGAGTGAGAAAGAAATAAAAAGAAAACAAAAAAATGCATAAGTATGTATATATATTTGAAGTTGAATGCGATTTAATTTTTCGAAGAATATAGCGGTAGTATTAAATTTTTTTTTTTTTATTATGGATGTAAAACAAATACCATGTCTCACCTGAACGTCGTACTTTGTTTCATAATGTTAAAAAATAGCGTATATTTTGTATGGGATTATAATATATAGAGTTATTTACCTTAACAGTAATAATTTGTCTTGCGTGAGCAAGTTAGCTTGTTAAAGTACTCACGCATTGTCACAAGACAATAAAACGCCGAGAGGGCAAAAGTTCGACCATGTATTTGCTCGGAAGTCATAATATGAGTATTAGTATATTATTTTTGGCTGTATGTGTGTATGAGTGCTGTTAATTACATCAAGAAAGAAATGTAGATAGTATACGGAGCAATGGAAACTGTATAGTACAGAATAAAAATACGGAATAATCTTCAACGTCGCATGCCAGGAAGAAATAAGTGCACCGTCAATTGTAATCTATGATGGGCCACTAGGTATAGTCTTGCGATCGTAATTACCACCTTTGCCTATGTGGAATCTCTTTGGTTAGATAAACTTGTGGTTTTCTTCTGTAAAGCTATATGAGTATACGGCCAACTGTTGTATACACTAAAAAAATTTTTAAAAAATGTAATGATATTAACAAATATATCAACTCCCTCTTGAAGAGTATTTTAATCAGCCTGGAAAATTAAAGAATATATATATTTATATATCCAAAAAAATTTTTTAGGAAGATCAAAGTTATTTTGGAGCAAATAACAATTTATTGGATCAAGAAAATTTGATCTCGTTTGAGAAATTTTCAATCTTCCTTAATATTTTCTTTAACCAATAGAATTTATTTTCAAGCCAAAAGTTAGTATCAAGTTTAATTATTTAATATACTTATATTTACTTGCAAAAAATAGCGAAACTAAAAGTCAAATATCTAAATATATTTCAAAAAAACGTTAACCAAAAGGATATAAGGATATATACATATATGGGTGACGCGCGTTAATGTCCCCGGACAAAATATCCCCGACAAAATATCCCCGCGTTTTTGTTGGTTTAATTTTGAATAAACCCACAAACACACTAAAAAAATAATGTTGAGATTAATTTTCAAATTATTATTGATGAATTTTTATATTTTTAAGAATTTTTAAGAATTTTGTCCGGGGATATTTTGTCGGGGATTAATATACATATGATAAAGGACATATACATGATACCTCAGTACCGCTAGGCATTTATTAAGCCAATATAATTTTCTTTAACTTTTTCTTTAATTTCTTCTTCAAGTTAAACTTAGGGATGCACTGTATATGATTAATCATAATTTAACTATATTCATTAAATGAACTAGATATATGTATAACATCTGATTAATTATTGTGTAAAGTAAAAGTTAGCTCTTTTAAGCTAAATTTTAATACAGTAATAGCTATCTATTATATTGTTAATGAATTAATTAATTAATCTGCATTTATTTTCTACTCTTTTCACTCTACCCTATGTAATATTTAGTATACTGTTGTTCATATGTAAAATTATATGTATTAATGACCTTGTTATTGGCTTTTTGGCTGTTGGGTCTGTATTAAGTAAATAAATAAATAAATAAATAATAAAAAATATTCGGAAAACAACAAAATAATAATATGGATATTTGTCAGAGTTTAATGATGTGATAAGAAGAAAACTGTATTACTGAGTAGAAATATTAAAATGCTGTTATATATAAAAATAGCAATAAATATATAAAAATTATTATCATATGATTATTACTTATTGCTCAAAGAAAGCTCAAGTTGTTATTTGCTAATAAAGTTTTGTCTTAACTACTGGTCTACGATGTTTTTATGATAACTTTCATGTTTGTGTATATTGAATCAAGTTGTCATAAAAGTGATGCGATTCTATTGATTGAATAAGGGAGATCATCAGTCTTTACGTTAAGCAACTTTTTTATGAAAGAAAGTAGCAGTGTAGTACTATATTAGACATCGTGAAATATTAAGCGTGAAAATGTAAATTGCCGTAAATGCGTGCACGATGTGACCGGTAGTTATGAAGTACAAGTATAAAGAAAGCATTTGAACGCGTTGAGTGGGAAAACCGGAAGCGCTCAAGTATCACGGTTACGCCTTCTTGCGTCATAAAATTTATTAATTTCCTTTCTTTTTATCATATCTTAATATTAAAACAATAAAATAAAAATATTATCACATTTTTTAGTCAAAGCCGTAACTCTACAACTAATTTACTCTTACGAAGATAAAATTCTAATAATTTTCTAACACAACAAAAGAATTAGAAACAAGATCGCCCACTAGTTGCGAGTGAAAATTTTTCAAAACCGGTACACAAATCAGTGTAAGTTATAAAGAGTCGTGTGAAATTATAAAAGTTGATATATCTACATAGATGCATTTGAAAGAAAATCACCTTTGATGATTATACGCACGTTAGAAAGTACGTCAACCTGATATGTCGCTAATGATATTTAGCAGTAATTATATGCCCATATTATTAATAAAACACGGAAAATTTTCTTTTTAATTATTAGCATTTTTAATCACGATAACATTGCTGATAAATCTATATGATACATTAAGTCGGTTAGTAGGAAAATATTGAAGATTGTTCAAAGCTAGAATTATATCAGTGATAATAGTGCGAGAGAGTTTTTTTTTTAATTAAATTTCATTTTTGTCAACTTTTTAGCGTAAATTGGAAATAATTGCAGTTGAAGTTTGCCAAGAAATACAAAAATTTATTTATACTTTTATTAAAATTAAGGAAAAAAAATTTTTATATTAACAATTGAGTTACAAATTAGTTGAACATCTTGAAATAGTCACCTAAGACATCTTTATAAATATTAGCCCAAAACTTGACACGATCATTAACTATCAACTTTTTCATTGCAAGATCGTTACCGATATCTAAGTAATTTCCATCGGTTCCCATTGGTTTCCATTCAACTTTCGCTGTATCCATAGTGGTTGAAGGGTTTCTAGACCAATAACAAAATATTAAAAAAAATTAATGTTACACTTTCAATTAAATGGTTAATTAATTAATCAATAGTTACCCTTGCTTTGCGAAATTTGTCCACATTTCTAGAATTTCATTTGTTTTCTTTTCCTCAGGAGATCCCGGTAGCGGCTTATTTTTAAGAGCAGTCGAATAAAATTCATAAGTCATTTCGTCACCATGCATCACTCCTAAAAGATTTATTCATTTAAAGGATAGTATTATTTTATTATTAATTTATCAATATACAAAATATTACCCTCTGTCATTTGGAAAAATGTTTTCATCATCCCAACAGGTGAGTGAAAAGTGAAAAAGTATTCATAAACTGGTGCCGAGTTCCTTGAACTTATAATTTTACCGCTCAAAGCAGCACCATATACAAAATATACGTCCGACAACAAATTAGTAAGTTCCATTGCCGTTTCACTATTTACAGGTTTTTCATTAAAATAGAATTTTTTTATCGATTCACCAATCATTTGTCGTTGACCCGCGTCAGTAACATTTAAATCTGAGGGTATGAAGAGATCAAAATGATCGACAAAATTGTCAGCTGCTGGCAGGACCACTGAAACATTTTCAATTATATAATACTGTCGGAAAAAAAAAAAATAATTAATCAAGTTTTAAATAAAATAGGCAATAAATTACTTGGTGTAAAAAGACCCGATTCATCAGCTGTAACACCGAGTATTATAGGAACATCAGAAATTTTTCCGGATTTTAACAGCTCCCATGGAGTCGTTGATAAAAATTTCTTCTGCCCATGATCTCCTT